GGCACTGAATCACATGCAAGGCTTTTTATTATTAATAATAATCATCATCGGCGATGATGAACCCGTTGGAAATTTGTCAACCTGCGATGTCCACATCTCCCTGGCTTAGTAGTGGCTGTTACACCATCACCGTTCAGTGAAGGGGAACACAAAGCAACCAAAGGCAATCTGCAGTCACTCTTAGATATGGAAATGGAGATGAAACTCTGTAATGCAATTAGGGATATTGGATACAGGTAGAGCAAGTAATGATGCTGAGTGAAATGTGCCTCAGAATATTTGAGTGACACATGTCAGGCACATAGGTTATGGGCAGACAGTGATCTCCAGCCAGTAAGGTTTTTGCGCAATTATGTGACATTTGATAACTAGGTGTTTCTTTATTGCCCGGTGTCGAGTTAATTTTCCGTTCAAAATGTGATATGATTTTTTTTTCCAAAAATAATTCCATCAAAGGGAAGTTTTTGAATCCACAGCTCTTTGGTTTCGTGTATCAGCCTGTGGCTCAATCGGAAGCGTTCTCGCCTCTGAGTCAGTAAGTTGTGGGTTCAAGCTCCCACATCGGGACTTGGAACAGTTAAAAGTCTGGCTGACACTCCACAACTCAGCACTCCAATGTGCTGCGTTGTCGGAGGTGCTGTCTTTAGGGCAAGACGTTAAACCAAAATCCCATCTGCCTGTTCGGGTGAATGTTAAAATTCTCCTGCATCACTATTCGAAAAGAGAAGGGAGTCTCTCTCTCTCTCCCGGTGGCCCAGCCAACAATCCCCAGATAAAATCGGTCACTCATTCCACGGCTGCCGTGGCCAATTGGCTGCCGCGTTTCGCCCCCAAAGCACACGGTCAATTCGCTTTGCGGTATATTCTGTGAACCGCTTTGAGACGTCTTAACGATGTGATAAGGCGCTGCATCAAACGCGAGGATTATTATTTATTATTATTATGGGGGACTTTGAACTCGCACAGTCTGGCCGGCTGCACACGCTGGAGAAAAATACCCAGTTCCGATATCCCGTTCGGGGTTTTCCCAGCTGTGTGGTGTTCACATGGTCCTGTTTTTTTAACGTAGTTCTGAGGCTGTTTTTTTTTTAAGAGAAAAATAATAACCATTACAGACTAAATGTTTTCACTCCAGTTGTTAAAAGCAAACCTGATGTGGCACCGTTGAACTCCCAGATGTTTGGAGGTGGAAACATTTGCCAAACGGGCTTAATTGAACTCTTGACTAATCTCCTGCGACTAACCGCGGAGCTAACCAGCCGGTAGCCAGCCACCAAAGCACATTAATTATCACATCCAATATTCTCTTCCTCCTCTCTCTTCTCCCCCTCTTAGTCTTTTCCTTCCCTCTCTCTCTCTCTCTCTCTCTCTTTTGCTCTAATTTTCTTTTTTTCTCTCTTTTTCTCTTGCTCTCATTCTCCCTCCTATTCTTCCCCCCTCAGTCTCTCTCTCTTTCTCGCTCTCATTCTCTCTTTCTCTCTCGAGTTCCCTCTCTTCCCTCCTCGCTCCCCTTTGCGCTCTTGCTCTAGTTCTCTCTCTCTCACTCATTCTCTCTCTCTTGCTCTCATTTTCTCTCTCTATTGATCTTCCCCCTTCTCTCTCTTTCTCTAACTCGGCTGGAGTTTTGCAGCCAGCTATCTGCTAAGTAAGTACAATATATTAAAGACAGCAACAACAACATCCACTGCTGGCTGTGGGATGGGTTTACTGACTGAAACCACAGTGGAATAGAGAATACAATACAGTAGACAAGGGTCGAGACCTTTTGGGGCAAAGCTTTTCTCGGGGGGGGTGGGGGGGAAGGAGGGTCTAGCGAAATGCTCACATAGCTGTGAGATCCCTGGTTGGAATTCCACCCCCCCACACCCTCCTCCCACACACACACACCCCACACATACACTCACACACATACACACACACACACACACAATTCTGTATAAGTACACAATCTGTTTGTTATTAGCCGCATTCCTCAGCAATTGAAGTGGGTAAAATCATTGCTGGTTTATGCTTCTCAGCGAATTAGCGACGTACTAATTAACGGTATTGCTCTTGGTCCGTTGAGCGCTTTGTGAACATCTTCCAGATGTGAAAGGCGCTGTACGTAAATTTGCGTTGCGTTCTTTCCTACAGAATTGTTCTGGGTTTTTTTTTCACCCCCCCCCCCCCCCACCCCCACTCCCACTTCTCTCCTCTCCTCCCTCCACTATTTGAAACGATTCCACCCCTCAGTAAGGGTCTCCCACTCCGAGCCTGATATCCGCAACGTCTCCATATCCACAGGAGCTGGTCTCGCTGGGGCCGGGCCCCTTTGACGTTACGTGGAGTCCTATAGCGTATTGGTTTGAGCACTCACCTTGCAAGTGAGAGAACCTGGATTCGATTCCCAGGCGGGACAGGGACCTTTGGCAAATGTCCTTCCTCCACACGCCTCTGTTTATCTAGCGGCAAGTAAGAACCTGGTTGTTAGTTGCTTTCACAGATCACCTTCCGGGGGTAATAATAATAATGATCATTTGGTCACTCAATCCGTGACTGTTTGTGGGACACTGCTGTGCGCAATTGGTTGCCGCGTTCTGCCCACAAGATATACAGTCTATTCACTTTGCAGTGTATTCTGTGAAGCGCTTTGATACGTCTCAACGACATAAGGCGCTCTCTGAAATGATCTAACAATAATGATGATGTAATAATAATCCCATATATTATAGGATTATTGTTACAGAGAGTTGATATCCACCGCCAGCAATTCCAGTCTTTACGAGAAACTCAGTGATGTGAATGGAATGCACGCAACCGGTTCCCATAGTTAAGTTTACAAATTACTTAATCGCAGTGTGGTCAAGGGGATGGGTGCTGCCTCCTCCCTTCCTCCACCCCCCCCCTGCTCCGCCCCGCCCCCCCACTCCCCCGAGGATTGAAACACAATCGTTCCTTTCAGTGATGTGAAACCTCAAAAGTTCTCGTCATCCCAAGGCCCTGCCTCTACAATTCAAAGAAAATTGCGGTTTGTTCAGTCGCTCGTCAGCCTGGCTCAGTCAGTAGCACTCTCGCCTCTGAGCCAGAGGGTTGTGGATTCAAGCCCAGTATTCCCACCCCCCCCCACCCCCCCCAACCTCCGACGTCAGGGACTTTGAGCTCAGATAGTCCATGCTGACACTCTGATGTTAAATTAAATAAATAATGCGCGCATTTGATATAGCGCCTTATCAAGTCGTTGAGACGTCTCAAAGCGCTTCACAGAATACACTGCAAAATGGAGTGACTGTATATTTTGTTGGCGAAACACGGCAGCCAATGGGGAAGGTACACGAAACTCGGTGTAAAAATAGAAGGGAGAGGGGAGTGGGGGGTGGTGGGGGGTGTCAAGGTGAGAGCGAAAAGCAAGGTGAGGAGGGATGAAGGCGTCTCTAATATGGTAGATCTTCACACACAGTAAACTCCTGATAACTCAGCACTCCCGGGGAAAAGGCCTCAAGGCCTCAGTGATGAGTTATCAGGAGTGATGAGTTAGGCATGTGTATAAATACATAAAGAAATATTAACAGCGTGATAAATTAAGTGGTAGTGACAAGTTAACCTCCTCCCTCCCCCCAGACTCGACCTCACTGTTGAGCACTCCGAGATGCTGCCCTGTGTGAAGGGCGCAGTGTAAATGCAAATTGTCGTTGTTGTTAAGCCAGGGTCGAGTTATCAGGAGTTCACTACATCAATCGGATGAGCTGAGGATAAGTGATGAATTATAGTTGAGATCTGTTAAAAGCTCCTCACATTTGCCGAGAGGGGAAGGTGGAGGGGTGGGGGGCTGCAGAGAGAGAGAGAGAGAAAAAAACATTTATTGGAGGATTTCACCTCTGCTCTGTGGCTAATTAATCCCAGATCCCATTTATAAGCAGAGTTGGCTTCTGCTGACATGTGTCTCCCTTGAGCTGGGGAAACCAATAAAACACAGCTCAATAACACACGAACCATCAGGGGGGGTAGGGGCGTGTGTGAGGGGGCTGCCAGGGGGGGAGTCTTTGACAGCTAGCGGTCTGACCCTGTGCTCCAGCCAGCCCCTCTCTTTCCTGTCTGTAGGCTTGCTGGCCAGAGACTGGGGAGCTGTGTTTGTGAGATCGAATGGGAAGGAAGCGAGAGAGCAGGACGTGCTCCGCTATAAAACCAAACTCTGAAGGTTTGGAGAGAGAGAGGAGAGATAGAGAGCAAGGGACAGACAGACAGACAGACAGACAGCGAGAGACACGCAGAACAGCAAGAGAGAGAAAGAGAGATAGACAGGCAGCAAGACGGAAAAAGAGAGAGAGAGAAATACGGAACATGCAAAAGGAGTAGGCCATTCAGCCCCTCAAGCCTGTTCTGCCATTCTATTAGATTATGGCTGATCTGTAGCTCAACTCCAATTGCGTGCCTTTGCCCCATATCCCTTGATGATGATGATGATGATGATGATAATAATAATTGTTACCCTGACCTAACAAATCTATTTACCTTATTTCTTTACAGTTTATTCGGCGAAGCACTTTGAGGCGTCTCGAAGACGTGATGAGCCGCTATGTTAAATGCAAGGATTATTATTATTATTCTGTAACAATATCCTTGCATTTGACATAGCGCCTTATCACATCGCTGAGACATCTCAAAACGCTTTACTGCAAGTATGTACTGTAAAGTGAACTGACTGCGTATTTTGTGAGCGAAACGCGCAGCCAATTGCGCAAGGCAGTGTCCCACAGACAGTCGTGGGTTTGAGTGACCAAATTATTATTATTTTTTTAAGGGATTATTACCCCCATAAAGCGATCCGCCAGTCGACTAACAACCAGGTTCCTATTGTACTGCTCGGTAAACAGAGGTGCGTGAAGTAAGAAAACTTGCCTAAGTTTCGCCCTGTCCGGGAATCGAACCCGGATACTCTTGCTTGTGAGGCGAGTGCTCTAACCAGTGCCCTACAGGACTCCACCAACATATTATTTTACGTTCTCTCACTCCCTTTCTTTCAGAGAACAGCAACTTCCTGGAGGCGTTGGAGGGTGGACGTCACGTGTCTCACAACCGCAGATTGTTCCCCAAATCCGGAGATTTCCCAGGTAAAGAATTCCAAATCCTGAATCCCATCTTAGAACGGAGCGTGTTGCTTTGATTCCCTTCCCTTCACCCCCACCCCCCCCCCCCCCCCTTACCCCAGCCCCACCTCCACCACCCTCCTCCCCCCTTTCAATGGCAAATAATCTCTACTCTGGTTTTCCAAACAAATCTTCTCTTTCCTTCCCGATGTTCGTTTTCTCAGCTCCAGCGCAGCTCAGGCATCAACGACACATTCGCAATCTGCTTCCACACGCACACACAACTCACCCGTGCACACACACGTGCACAACACACACATTAATCACACACACACACACACCACTCAAAATGGATGCTTTTTTTTCCCTGTCTGACAGTCCGCTGTGTGACCTGTTGCTCAGTGACCAGGAAGCACATTCCTACTGTGCTAAACATCCCATTTCCGTGGGGGCTCTCATCCACCATTTCCCCTCGTGAGCTGAGGTTGAAGGAACGGCCTTTACTCTCAGTGACGCGGTATTGGGATGGGTGTGAGATTCCTTCTATTTAAGTGGGGTTTTTTTTCTTTTGGAGGACTTTGAACATTGTCCTATACATTGCTATTCTATATGTTGCTATCCTATATGTTGTTAGCCCATTTATTGCTATCCTTATACAGTGTTATCCTATACGCTACTGTCCTATAATGTGGAGTGATGTGCTGACATGCCTGTTGTGGGGGCCAGTAATATGCAGTGGGGGTAGCCCACCCAGCACTGGGCGACACCTGAGCTCACCAACGCCTGTGAATATTGGCCGTGATCTCATAAAGCTGCCAGAGGCACCAGACAGTCAGGTTTACACATGGCCTGTGTTTATCTGGGCGGTTTATGGAGCGTGATGTGGCGGGGATTGGGTTGGGGGTTGGTGAGAGAGGAGAGCGAGAGAGAAAGAGAGAGACGTCTCTCTTACACAAAGCGACCAGTGATGGAAAGAGTTGAGTTCCAGCAAATGCACAGGGTCTGCTTCCCGTAGAACAGAGCAAGGCCCTCATCAGTTTCATCTTAAATCGCTTTCAGACATCGTCCATCTGTCCGCTGGCTTCCCCCCGCCTCCAGCAGTACTAATACCTATAGAAACTAGAGTAACAGTAACGGTAGCTATAGACTTTATGTAAGGTTATTGTCACTGATCGCTGAATATTGAGTAGATATACTCTGGTGTAGCAATCTGTACGTGCATTTGCAATAATACTAATACTTGCAGTTGATCTAGCGCCTTGTCACATCATTGAGACGTCTCAAAGCGCTTCACAGAATATACCGTAAAGTGGATTGACTGTATTTTTTTTGCGGGCAAAATGTGGCAGCCAATGGCCAGCAGCAGCGTCGCACAGATAGTCGTGGATTGAGTGACCAAATTATTATTATTTTTTTTTTAAAAATTGAAGGATTATTAGCCCCGGAAAAGACAATCAACTAACAACCGGGTTCCTACTTACTGCTGGGTAAACAGAGTAAATAAATGAACAGAGTAAATACTGCGTTGTAAGGTATTATGTGAATACAAAATGCAGAGTGAAGGCGCTTTGAGGTGTCCCGAGGGAGTAGCTAAAGGGTGCTGCGTCAAATGCTCATAACCTCGCTGGGATCAACCGGCGCCTGTTACTCAGACACAGGGTGGGGTCTCGCGGGTCGGAAAGAATGGAGAGCAGAGCCCAGCAGCACAGGGTCACTGCACACTTCCTGCCCCGATCGAAATCTCACAGACTCTCATGTGTTTCCACTTTCGCCGTCAGACAACCGACGCATCAGGGAAACAGCCAACTCAATCCAGCCCTTGTCCATCAGACACACACACACACACACACACAAAAGAAAAAGGAGTCTGTTTGCAAACAGCAAGTCTTAAATGCTTGAGATGGGGTGGGGGGGCGGAGAGAGAGTGGGAAGGAGGGAGAGGAGAGAGAAGAGGGGGTTGAAGAGAGGAGGGATCAGAGGACGGAGGGGGGAAGAGAGGGGACAGGGGGAGGGAGGGAAAGCGAGAGAGAGAAGAGAAAAAGTCTTGGTACTGATGTTAAGATAAGAAACCAAATGGGAACCCTGATAAGTCAAGACATAATTGAATGACAGGTTTCTGGCACTGTATCAATGAAAGGTTTATTATGATTGTTATCATCATGGGTCATCCCGGACACATTGACACATTCCCCTGCTATCCTCAGTGTGTCGGTACCCGGCTAACCGTCCACTGGAACCCTCCATTCTAATCCCCTTTCTCTCCAAGTTTCTCCTGGGTCCCCACCCTACAAATCCCCCTTCCCCGCCTAATCGCCCCTCTCCCACCCCCCCCCGCCCACCGCCCGTCCCTGTGATAAAATCGGTCACTCATTTCATGGCTGTTCGCGGGACATTGCTATAAGAAACCGTCTGGCACATTCGCCTACAAAGAACGCCGTCGCTACTATTACAGTTTAAAAAAACTTGTGAAGTGCTTTGACATGCCTTAACAACAACAACAACTTGCATTTATATAGCCCCCTTCACACGGTGCAGGGTTTCGGAGAGTTTAACAGTGGTGGAGCCTGTCGCTGAGCTGTGGGGAATGTGGGGAATGAGGGCCGGAAACACGGTCGAAGTGGAAGGTCTTCAGGCGTGATCTAAAAGAGGGGAAGGAGGGGGCGAGGTGGGGGGGGATGAGGGAGAGAGTTCCAAAGCCTCGGGGTGCAGTGGCTGAAAGTGCGGATGCCGATGGTGGAGCGAAGAGGACGAGGGACAAGCAGGAGGCCGGAGCCGCCGAGAGGAAGCAGTGGGTAGTGGAGTGGGCAGAAAGCAGGTCAGAGAGGTAGGGAGGTGCCAGGGAGTGAAGGGGCAGGACAAGGCAAATGCCAGGATTATTATTATGTTTCTGATTCTCTCTCCCTTGCTCTCCATTGTGCATTGTTCATTCACGGCAGGCCTGAGGTAAACCAGAGTGCAGTGGGCGGGTGGGGGGTGAAGTGTTCTTTAATGAAAGACTTTCCCCCTATTAGCCTGAGGTTAGGTTGCGGTGCTGAGCTCCAGCCTGGGTCAAGGTCTCTCAGACAAACGCAGTCTGCCCAGTTTCCTTTGTCAATGAACCACAGAACTCCAAAATATCCAGGGATTCGATCCAACTCCGGCTTTATTAGCAGCTGGGAAAGCGATCAGGAAAAACACTCACAGCAATAAGACAGACTCTGTGAAACAGCACGGTTTGTCAAATGTGACGTGCCATCCTTCAGATACATGACCCACCCCGCCCCCACCACCCCCTTAGCGTAGTGGTGAGAGCGCTTGTTTCCTAGCAGTAAGTAGGAACCCGGTTGTTAGTCGATCGGTGGATCGCTTTCTGGGGGTAATCATCCCTCCCCTCCAAAAAATGGTCACTCAATCCACACGCAGAAAGCCGTTGTATTACGAGGTCTCTCTCCCTTGTATTTCCTCGCAGCAAATGGACTCGCATTACATCCCGTGCAAACAGAGCAAGCGTCTCCCACACGCACACACACACGCTCTTGTCGGAGAACTGGCCCGAGCTTTCAAACGTCGCTTTAATATACGGCTGCGCTCTGCGTGTGTCAATGTCACGCTGACACCATAATCTGCTAAATCTGCTTCAAATAAAACTCCCAAGAAACCGGAGTTGAAGCCTCCTTTTAATAAAGTATAAACCAATATTTATCTTGGAGCGTGTCAGCCACGCATAAATCGCTTTGGGAAGCCAGAGAGGTCGGTGATTTGGGGATTGAAAACAAAAACAAGGTAAATGTGATGGGTGGATTGGCAATGGGCCTTGATGTCTGTCTAATTGCCTTTACTGACATAAACCTGGGTGTTGAGTCACAGACTTGCCGTGAAATATAATGCGGATAATTCGAGTAGCAAGTTGTAAAGTGGTTTGGGAAGGTTGGGAAAATATAGAGAGAATCACTTTAGGTCCCTTTTGATATACACCGGCTCATTGTCAGACTCCGTCACTTTGAAGCGCTCTGGGATACTACCCCGCATGAAGGGCCCTATATAAATGCAAGTTGTTGTGCTGCTGTTGTACCAGGTGCAAATAAATTCTGTTGCTCTCCGCACGGCTGTTTGCAGTGAAGTGGTTGCGTGCAATTCGCCTGCCGCACTCGCCCACAAAACACACAGTCACTGCGCTTTACGGTGAAATCCCATGCAGTGCTTTGAAACGTGAAAGGCTCTGTATAAAATATAAGCATGACTATTATTCAAGGCCGTTCAGTCCGTGCCCGTGTTTATATTCCACAGAAGCCTCTACCCCTACGATTCCTCTTTTTCTTCCCTCCCACCCATCTCCTCTTTCCCCTCCACCAATTCCCATCTCTCTCGTGCATCCACCAAGTTTCCTCTTGAATACGTTGATGCTTTCTGCTTCGAAAGCAGCTTCCAGCAGCGAGTTCCGTGCTCTCCCTCCCACCCTCCGATCGCAGTTTTAGCTGTGAAATCCGCTGACTCAAATTTGAGTTTGAGATCGTCCAGAAATATTTTTCTTTGCCATCTTAAGACTCGGATGTGGGATCCTAAGACTAAAAAGAATGGAATTTGCTGGCCATCTCAGCTAAACCTCAGCCGAAACCCATGGGAAAACAATCTTTGCAAATGTGTAAATTTCCTGTGTCGGGAATGGAATGCACAACCCTCCCTCTCTCTCTCTCTCCCTTCCTCCTGGATAGTATTTAGAAGCAGGTAGCCAAGAGCCCAGGCTTGGGGGGATCCCAGATTGTGCGTTGGGGTGGCTGCTGGAGTCCAACCAGCTAAAACTGCATAGCTTGCCATTGGAAGCACAGACCAGCAAGCTTTCCTGCTGCTTGTCTAGCTAGGACCACCCGACCCATTAAGGCTTTGGCTTGCGGAGTTAACAGAGATGGGGGGGGGGGGTATTGGCTGGGACAGTACCACTCTTGTCAGCGCTTGTGTATTTGTCCTGAGTAAAACTCCCTGTTGTTTGCTCAGCCAACAAAACAGCACGAGACACAGACACTTCCTGAGGCTGTTTAATGTGGTTCCCGGGACCTCACCAAGCGCTCGCTCTACCAGTCAGCACGTTACTGGCAACCTTAAGAATCAGCTGCTTTAATAGCGGATTAATATGTGAGAGAACTCTCGCAACCGACACTGCTAAAGTGCAGCGCGGAGCTGCATCAGTGACCGCTGCTACCAATAATAATCCTTACATTTGATAAAGCACCTTATCACGTCATCGGGACGTCTCAGAGCGCTTCACAGGATACGCTGTCAAGTGGAGTGACTGTATTTTGGGGCAGCCAATTGCACACAGCTTTGTCCCACAAACGGTTGTGGATTGAATCAGCGCCCTGAGCTTCTGAACTGTGTGTGTGTGTGTGTGTGGGTGCGCGCGTGTGTACACGCTACAACAACTTTCAGTTACGCAACGTCTCTTGCGTGGGCCAAACTTCTTTGAAACGCTTCCCAAAGAAACCCTCCGAAGCCCTTTCACACGTCCGTCCGCCTGGCACGAAAGGCGCCACGTCGAATGCAGGCACTATTGTTGTTGAAGTTGTTGTGTTATTTTTCTCACTTTGGCAATATCTTCCTGAAATAATAATCCCTGCCTTTGATGCTGTGATATCAAAACCTATCAAGCTCGCCCAAGTCGGGACTTTGAACTCGCGCAGCCACAGGCTGACTCTCGTGCAATCCCAGGCCAAGATCCCGCTGGATACAATCAGTCAAATCATTTCACGGCTGTTCGTGCGGTACATCGCGGTGCGCAAGTTGATCGCCGTGTTCACCTGAAAAATACACGGTCACTAAACTTTAAGTCGAAGCGCTTCGAAACGTGTCCCTGGCGTATATCAACGAGAGAATTATTATCAGATTAATTCTCTCGTCTGAGTTATGTCAAACGAGAGAACTATTACCGTGTTTATCAATTGGAAAAGAGCTTCAGGGCAATTGCTGTCAAGTGTAGTGACTGTGAGTACTTGTAAGTGTATTTTTGTTCTGTGTCCCCCTCCTTTCCCCCCCCGCTCCCCCTCTTTTGAGAGGTTTAAGGCTGCTCTTGTTTTCTCAGGTTGTTTGAACTGCACTAAGATCTCACAAATCACCAGCCGTCTCAGCACCCTGGAAGCAAAGGTATGCGGGAACGCTCTGATTAATAAACCGTGTGCTTGTTTGTGCGCTCGCGCGCGCGTGTGTGTGTGTGTGTGTTGTGAGTGGGGAGCTCTTCTCACTCTCTCACACACACACACTCTGTTTGTCTGTCTCTCTCTGTCACTTTCTCTCACACTCTCACGTTCTCACTCTCACACACCCACACACTCTTGTCTGCCTCTCTCTGTCACTTTCTTACTCTGACACTCTCTCTCACACACATGCACTCTTTCTCTCTCCGTGTCTCTCACTCTCTAGGTGGCGTTACTCGCTGCGGCTGAGCCGGCTAGTTCCCAGGTCCCCTCCCGGGGTCAGGCCGTGGACCCCGGCTCCTCGGAGACACTGGACCTGAGGGGAGCCCCTGCCGCGCAGGGAGAGCCTGGGGCACGAGGACCCAAAGGTTAGTAACAGCAATAAGAAATAAGTCATAATCCTCACGTCTGGTCCAGCGCCTTCCACCTTAGGATTTACCTGAAAGTGTCGTGACGGTGACTCTTCAGCACCCTCCCTCTCTCTCTCTCTCTCTCTGTCTCACTGTCTCTTGCTCACTCTCTCTTGCTCTCCCTCTACCGCTCACTCTTCCGCCCTCTTTTTCTCCCTCTCTCTATCTCTCTCTCTGCGAGTGGTGTGAACCCACTGAGGAAGGAAGGTTTATTTACTTGTTCTAGTTTTGCGTCCGTCTACCAGCGAGACGTTAGTTTGAGTCTGTAACTACCTCTGTCACTAACAGTGGACTTGTGGAGTTCACTGGAACTCAGTCATGGAGTGTAGGAGAAACGTCTTAACACAGAGGGCGGTGATGGTGAGAAGGTGCCGCTCACCGTAGGAAGCAACGAGGGTCAAAATATTTAGGAGGAACTTTGACACGTGAGTGAGGAAGAATGGAATAGAGAGAGACACATGAGAGGGGATTAGGAGGCTTGTGTAGAGTGTATTGACGCCTGTTTTCAGGATGTCGCTATGCGCAAATAGTCCTTGCATTTGATACAGCGCCTTATCACATCATTGAGACACCTCAAAGTGCTTCACAGGATATATTGTAAAGTGAATTGACAGAAAAGCACTACAGGATCTTTAAACATCGAACTGATTAAATCTGGCTGATTTGCGCAATCACACCCACAAACGTGCTTTGAGCGCTTTGAGACACACACAAACACACATTCATTCCGCCTCATCCCTCCTTAACCTCCTTCAAGTCCCACCTCAAGACTCTCCTCTTCGACCATGCCATCGGCCACCTTCCCCTCCCCTCCCTTACCCCCTCCAACCCCAGCTCGGGTCTGAAATGCTCTACTCTGTCCCGCGCCTTGGGACATCCTCCCGACGTGAAAGGCGCTGTACAAGTGTAATCTTGTTGTTGTTGTTGTTGTTGATGTGAAAGGCTCTAATATCAAAATGCAAGGATTGTTCCGAACCTATTTCTTATTGTAAATGTGATTTGCTGACATTGCACAGCGGAGGGCAGCTCTCAATGGAAATCGGAATCCGTCTATTCTGTGTCCCTTGGACGCTTTGTGTGTGTGTGTGTGTGTGCGTGTGTGTGTTGGGCAGGGTGGGGTGGGGTGCACAACACGCCTGGCTCGAGGGCTCGCGGTTCGCGTTTCCAATAAAGATAATCTTCAAAGCCCTGGCACGGAACACGTTAATCCCATTCCATTAGGCAGTTATTTATTTTCTGTGTGTTATGGCTGTGCTTACATGAGCTAAAAGATTGCATTTGATAAGCCCGGAGAGAGAGAGAGGGAAGGATGGTTTCACTGCTGTGTGTCAGACTGGCTCAGTCGGTAGAGCTCTCGCTTCTGAGTCAGAAGGCTGGGAGTTCAAGTCCCATTTCCCCCCCCACCCCAATCGTGAGGGACTTTTTCAGCTCGCAGTCTACGCTGACACTCCAGGGGTTGTGCTGGTGGGGGCGCTACTCGAAAAGAAAAGTGAGTCTCTCTCTCCGTGTCCCCGGCCGACAAATCAAATTTCCACCCACAAAATTCTCAGGAGCTCCTGAGTGCATCCGATGAAGCGCTTTGACATGTCTTGAAGACGTTTGATAAGGCGTGACATCAAACTCAAAAGGATTATTATCATTATTACCATGATGATGATTAAAATCTGTCATTTACTTCCCGGCTACAAATCTAGAGAAAAGCACACCAGGCGAGTCACCTCGCTGTGCAGCGGATCCCGTGAAGGGCTTCGAGATGTGAAAGGCACTGTGTTACATCGCAAGGATTATTATTACGGTTTTAAAGTGAAACAGGGGCTCTGGCTGTGCTGTGCTGTGGCCCAAACCCAGACAAGCCCGTGTTACATTAACAGCACTAACTGGTTTTACAGGCTCCTGGGGGAGGAACCATGTCTGCTGTAACTTCACAATTGATTTCATCTGTACAAATAACCTGCTGCTGGCAAAACTTCCCAAGGCTTATCTCTTCGGGCCGCGCGGAAACTCAGAGGAGGACTTGCGTTGTGTGGGTCAGACTCGGCCACTGTCAAGCGCTCCCCGACTCTACCCCGCGACCTGATGGGCGCTATACACGTGCAAGTTGTTGTTGTTATTGGTGATGTCACGAGAGAACGGGTCCCTTTGCTTTCGGGTTTCCGATTTTTAAAAAAAAATGTAGTGCAGGGTGGTGGGGTGGGGGGGGGGGGTGGGGGTTGCTCTGAAACACACTGGTGTCACTCTAGCCACCCCTCCCTCACCCACCCACCCACCCCACGACATTGCATGTCTGGGAGTGAATGGGACATCCTCCCGACCTCTAAGATCTCCATCGAAATGTAATTTGTTATTGTTGTTAAATCTGGAAACATTGTTATTGCTAATCCCAGATACTCGTTGGGCGATGAGCCCTCCCCCACAATAAAAAAATCATCCGGGCAAACATGCACCCCCCCCCCCCCACCCCACCACCACCTTTCGCTGTGTTCCTGTATTAAACCTGACCTCCCATGTTACACAGGTCTCCCTGGTGACAGAGGGATGGGTGGCTCTCCAGGCCGGGATGGTACGTACAGCAACGAGCCATTTGTTTTACGCAGCGGCTTTCACAGCGGGGTGGAAAGGGGGGCGCGGGTTCTCAGAGCACTCGACACAGCCGAGCCAAGGGAGGGTTGGGGGAGGTAAGTGTGTGGGTGGTGTATGTGTGTGAGAAGGGGTCGGGTGGCCAAGCGAGGTGTATGTGTGTGTGTGTGTGTGGCTCTGTGATAACACTGGAAACCATTGCAGGACTTGTCAATCTATCTACCTATAATAATAATAATAATAATAATAATCCTTGCATTTGATACAGCGCTTTATCACACAGTTGAGATGTCTCAAAGCGCTTCAGAAAATATTCTCTAAAGTGGATTGACTGCATATTATATGGGCAAAACACGGCAGCCAATTGCGGACGACAGTGTCCCCCAAACAGTGGATTGAGTGAACATTTTTGAGGGTTTTTGGAGGGATTATTATCCCCAGAGAAGCGATCCGCCAATCGACTAGCAACCGGGCTCTTGTTTACTACTAGGTAAACAGAAGCATGTGTGTGGAGTGAGGAAACTTGCCTAAGGTTTCTCCCCGCCCGGGAATCGAACCCAGGTCCTCTCGCTTGCGAGACGAGCGCTCTAACCACTACGCTACAGGACTATCCAAGACCCAACTGTCCGCCTTGGGAATCGAGGGCCCCTCTACACTTCCCAGGTCTCTGTGATGAGCCAGACAGGGCCGGGCAGACCTCAGCACAGGCTGGGATTTACTGCCGAGCCGAGCTGCCTGGCGATGTGCCAGACTCGTTCTCCAGTTCTAAGCCCCTCGGGAGACCTTGCTAACGTTCGCCTCTTTTCCCCCACTTCCCCCTTCCCCCCCTCCCCCCCATTCCCCCAGAGCAGAGGTTTTTCTAATGGAAATTTACAATGAAATGGTTCAGTCCTCAGTGCGCAGTGGACTCCAGTGCTGCTTCTTAAATTTTATAAGTCTTCTCTCTTGCGCTCTCTTTCTCCTTCCGTCTCACGCGCTCTCATTTCTCTTTCTCCCTCTTTCTTTCTCCTCGCTCCTCCTGCTCTCCTGCTTTCTACACTCTCTCTCTCTCCTTCACTCTCTCCCCTTATTGCTCTCTCTCTCTCTCCCCTCTTCTTTCACTCTTTCTCTCTCTCTTCCAGTCTCTCACTCTCACTCTATTAACAGTGATGTTCCCCTTACTGTTGCCTGTTCCTTATTCCTATATTTTTATTGATTATTTATCCCAGGTTCCCAGGGGTTTCCCGGTCCGAGGGGTGAGCCTGGCATCCGGGGGCCGTCCGGAATGCCGGGAACGCGAGGAAACATGGGACCCCCAGGTCAGTGTCCGGCGAGAGCCCCCCCCCTCCGTCAGACCTTATGTCTCTCTGTGTTCAGTGTAGGGCGCTGTGAGGGACACCGTAGTGCCCGACACATGCAAACCCATCACATGGGTTTACCACCACATACGTGTACCATGCAGAAATGTCTCTACGTGGGAATAATTCCGGAAGCTCAAGCGGTGTCAACTTTGACGGATTGAATAAGTGAACACAGACGATTTTATTTCAGATGGAACGTTGTCAGTATTGTTCACAATATACATTAATGATCTGGACTCGGGAATCAGCAGGACAATTTCAAAATTTGCAGACGACACCAAATCAATACAGAGGAGGACTGCAAGAGATTACAGCAAGACATTAATAAACTTGCTGAACGGACATTTAAATGGCAAATGCATTTCAATGTAGAAAAGTGTGAGGTGGTACATTTTGGTAGAAGGAATAAGGAAGTCACATACATCCTGGAAAATAAAAACCTAAATGGGGCAGAGGAGCAAAGGGATCTCGGGGTACACATACACAACCCACGCAGGTTAATAAGGCCATAAAAAAGCCAAACCAGGCATTGGGATTCATTTCGAGAGGGAAATAAATGAAAGGAGGGAAGTTATGGTAAACTTCTATAGAATCTGGGTTAGATCACACTTAGAATACTGTGTGCAGTCTGGTCCCCACATTATAGAAGGGATGTAGAGGCACTGGAGAGGGTGCAAAGGAGATTCACGAGGATGATCCCAGAACTGAGAGGTTATACCTATCAGGAAAGGCTGAATATACTTGGACTTTTCTCTTGAAAAGAGGAGGGTAAGGGGTGACCTGATAGAGGTCTTTAAAATGATGAAATGTTTTGATAGGATAGACATAAGGAAGATGTTTCTACTTGTGGGGGAGACCAAAACCAGGGGACATCAATCCAAAATAGTCACAAATAGATCAAATAAGGAAGTTAGAAGAAATTTCTTCACACAGAGAGTAGAGGGAATGTGGACCATGCAACCACAAGGAGTTGTTGAGGTAAATAGCAAAGATGTATTGAAGGGGAAGCTAGATAGGTACATGAGGGAGAAGGGAATAGAAGGTTAGGCTTGAAGGCTTAATTGAGGAAGGGCAGGAGGAGGCTCACGTGGAGTATAAACACCGGCATAGACCAGTTGGGTCGAATGGCCTGTTTTTGTGCTGTATATTCTAACGTATTCTAATGTATGATAATGGTTTCAGAAGGAGACACAACCCCTGGAGAGGACATGGTGTGTGTGTGTGGTGTGTGTGTGTATGGTGGGGATGGGGGGGAGGTTGGGGGAGATATTGAGACGCTTGTTAACAGCTGTGATAATGCAATGTAAAACCAATCTCGTACAGTCACGTATGTGTTTGTGCGTGTGTGTATGTGTGTGTGTGTCCCATGGCAGCTGCCCGCCTGTCAGGAAGAAGATGATTCTCTTTGAGTCTGCTATTTTGGCGGCCGGGGTGGTGGGAGCGAGAGTGTCTGAGGCACTGAAACAGCTCCTGTTGTTTATTTAACAGGGGGGTGGGGGTTGAGCTATGAGCGGACTTAACAAGGGATCATTCATCACACACGGCCACGACTGTTGGTCCCAGTGTAAACCCGGGCTTTGGCAGGTGATCATCACACTTGCAGTGTGAGGATCAGGGAGCAACTCCCGGAAAAACTATGGGAGATCAGCCAGGGCTCACTTTCCTGATTGCTGTGCGGAGATACACACATTGACGCACTCTCACGCACCCACACACATTGGTGCACACACACACACACACACACATTCACACACAAACACTTTCCTGCGTTAGATAGAATCTCCACAGGGTTTGTATAAAATCGATTCCAAGATTTAACGACGCGGTGACTCTCACTGTCTCAAGCCACTGTATTAATCTCCGCTGACTTCTTCCCTCCCTCCATCCGCCCCCACCCCACCCCGACCTGTGGCTGTTGTGTTTCGGCAGGTCCGCCCGGCGCTCCCGGACCAGCTGGAATTCCCGGAGAAAGGGGATTGCCAGGACCACCGGGGTCCCCACGCGCCGACATTCCTCACCGGGGAACAGGAGACCTGGGATACACGTCCACCAATGCCGGTGAGTGTGGCGGAACATAGGAACAGGAGGAGGCCATGCAGCCCTTCAAGCCTGTTTCGCCATTCTATAAGATTCTATACAGACGGGACCTCAACTTCAAGTACCCGCCTTTGTCCCATATCCCTCGATACTCTGATCCAACACACATCTGTCCACCTCAGCCTTGAAAATATGAATGGAACCAGAATCCACAGCCTTTTGGGAGAGAGAGAGAGAGAGAGAGATCCAGATTTCCAATACCCTTCAGGTCAAAATAACGCTTTCTTGCCCAGCTCAGTGCCACGGTATAACCGATGGACCCTTGGTTTCCTCACCATTCCGCCCCCCGCCCCCCCCCCACCCCCACACACACCTCCCCTTCCCCCCCACACCTTCTCCCCCCCATGTAACAGTCAGTAATTGATGGCTGGAGCTGAGTGTAATTCGCGGACATGCAGTCACTCAGTCAGTCAGTCAGTCATGGCCAACTCATGTTGTGTTTGCTTTAGTTAAAGAAGCAAATGCTTATGTTACGCTTTCCCGGCTCCTGTTACCGTCCCTATCTGTGCTGAGCTGAGATGGGTGGTCTATTTCTCTAATGGAACTTTCTCTCCCCAGTTCCCCCCGGCTGAAAAATGCCCCCCAGATAAAATAATGATCATAATAATAATCCTGGCATTTGATATATATCACGTCTTCGAGACGTCTCAAAGCGCTTCACAGGATATACTGTAAAGCGGATTGACTGTGTATTTTGTGGGCGAAACTCGGCAGCCAATTGCGCACAGCAGCGTCCCCACAAACAGCTGTGGACTGAAGTGACCCCATTTTTTTTAAGAAAGGGATTAATAAAATCAGTTATTAGTTATTTTTCATCATAGATATTAATAATAACTGAGTGTTCGTATCTGACCAGTTGGTGAGAGAGAGCACTGTTTGGTTATGTGCGTTTATCGAGAGACCAAGGTCGGGTTCTTTTAGTCTCTGGGTGGCTCCCACCCCCACCACCCCCCGAGGACAGGCTTGCCCCCCACCCCCGGGGGCAGCTGCTGTGAAACAATACACGGGCGAGAAGGTTTAACCACTTGGTGTAAACCTGTCACTTTTGGCCGTTAAGTTTTGTAATTAACGTCGCAGTTAAATAGTGGGTGTTGGGAGGTAAAATAGGCCTCTTTGTGGGAGTGTGATGGTGGTGGCGGAAAAGGTCAGGAAGTTGAGACTTTTGAGGTCCCAGTCTTGTCTGAGATCCATTAAACGGACCTTTCGAAGAGAGAGAAGGGAGTTTCTCTCCCAGAGTGCTGACTGACAATCTCCTCCCCAGATCAAATTGACCATTCACTTCACGGTGTTGTGTGTCTGCGCGTGTGTGTGTGTGTGTGAGAGAGGGACATCTCTGTGTGTGTGACACGTACGGAAACCCATCACCGTTGCTTAAGAGTCTCCAAACCAAACTGAGAATTCCATGCATCCCACCTAACCATGGAAATTCCAGAGAAAGATTGTTGGAATGGAATGTGCACTCTCTCTCTTTCTCCTGGAGGGACGCATCCTGTTTACCCAATTCCGGAAAGTATTAGGCGCAGGTTGGCGAGGGCCAAGGCTTGGGTGGTCGGTGGGTGGGAGAGGGTGGCCCAGAGTGTGCGGTTGGGGGTAAATGTGGAGTCCTGTGGCTCAGTGGTTAGAGCACTTGCTTTGCAAGCAAGACACCTGGGTTCATTTCCAGGCAGGGCGAAACCTTGGGCAAGTTTCCTTACTCCACACGCCTAATAATAATCCCTCCAAAACCCCAAACAATAATAAATTGGTCATTTTCAATCTACGACTGTTTGTGGGACATTGCTGTGCGCAATTGGCTGCCGCGTTCGCCCACAAATATACAGTCAATTCACTTTACAGTATATTCTGTGAAGCGCTTTGGGACGTCCTCCCGACGTGAAAAGCGCTATATCAAATGCAAGGATTATTATTATTATTATTATTATTATTATTATAAATGCTGGAGTCTGACCAGCTAAAACCACACAGCTCGCCATTGACATGGCTGTCAGCCAGTCCCTGGACTTCAGCGTAAAATCCCGCAAAGCGCTTTGCAATGTTTTCGACGACATTGTATCGGACCCAAGTCTTTTTTTATTGTTGTTCTAAATTGGTCACGAGCCTCATGACCGAGCACTGGTTTCGCCTCCTGATAAACAAGTCAGTGATTGCCAGCAAAGCACTTTGAGCTGTTATCTCCTGAAACCAATGTTAATGTCAGCAGTTGTAACAGGGCGTTTCCTTCAGTGTAACCAGCGATTAGGGATCTCTTGCAAACACCGAAAGGCTGATTTTGCAGCATTTCTTGGGGGGGGGGGATTCTCTCAACCAGGAATCTTGCTCGGGTTTCTGTTGACAAGCGCGTTGGGAGTAATACTCATCACGGAATCCTGTTAAATTAAATTAAGTTATTGTCGCGCCCACGGCATACACAGTCAATCCACTTTACTGTATAATCCTGTGAAGCGCTCCGAGACGTCTCAACGACGTGATAAGGCGCTATAATCAAATGCGAGGATTATTATTATTATTATTTCACGCCTCTTGTCGCTGTGCTGGTGCATTGGGCTGTCATCGCGCGCCCTCTAGTGGACATGCAGGGACACGACAACCCTCCTTCTCCCTGGTCTCTTCCCCCTTTCTCGCTCTCTTATCTCTACCCTCTCTCTGTCTCCCCATGCAGATGGGATTTTTGCAGAGATTTGGTCTCTTTATTCAGATGACTGGGGTCGGCCGATGCGGTGGGTTGCGGGGGAGGTTAGGAGATTAAGGGGGTTGGGGGGTCTGAGAGAGGCTCGTCGGGACAAGAATCATTTGGAATACCACCTCTTTTCCTTCCAGCTGGAGACTCCGTTCTTTCAAACACCTTCACAGACACAGTGCTGACTGGTGTCCGAGGTTCCCCCGGACCCCCTGGTCCTGTCGGTAAGTTGTTGTTTATGTTGTCGGTAAGCTATCTCTGAAAAGACGTCTGCCCCCCAACTACATACACACGTCACAAACTCCTCTCTCCTTCCCTCCCAACACCCTTCTATTCCCCTCTCCCTCATGTGGAGTTCTAGCTTCCTCTTAAAGGCATCTTCAAGACTGAGGTGGATAGCTGTTTGTTACGTCGGGGTAATCAAGGGATATGGGGCAAAAGCGGGTAATTGGGAGTTGAGGTACAGATCAGCTATGATCTTATAGAATGGTGGAACAGGCTCGAGGGGCTGAATAGTCAACTCCTGTTTCTTCTCTGTTTCTATCTGATTCAACCACAACTTCGGGCAGCGAGTACCACACTCTCACTACCCTCTGTATGAAGTAGCTCCTCCTAAATTCTATTTTAGATTCCCTCCCCTTCTCCCCTCCAATCCCTACTTTATACTATGTGTGTACCCTGGTTACAGGCTCCCCAACCAATGGGAACAACCTATTGATGCTAACCTCATCGAACCCTTTTATAACACTATGTCGTTGTGACCTTTTTCAGGGGCCCCAGGACCACAAGGACCTATCGGACCCCCAGGACCTCGCGGGAAAGATGTAAGTCACTGAGGGGAGGTGAGGGGTTACAGCCTTTTTGAGACGTCCACCCGAGTGGATGTGCGAATTGTGTTGTATTGTTGTGGAGCGGTTAAGTAAATCTCTTTCTTTGAGCTGGTGATCGCCCAACATTAGATTCCACAGCAAACGCTCTGCTTTTCATTCTAATTCTGCGAATGATTTCACATCTTACTTTTCTCTCTCTCCTTCTTTAGGGATTTATCGGGCAACCAGGTTTACCAGGGCCAGAGGGACCTAAAGGAACCAAAGGAGACAAGGTGAATTACTGACCAGCTCAGCAACACAGTCAATTTTCACTTTACAGTATATTCTGTGACGCTCTTTGAGACGTTTCAACGACGTGATAAAGTGCTACATTAAATGCAAGATGATTATTATTCTTATTATATGGACGTTTATGGGATGATTCCTGTCACTGATTGGTGAGTCCAAAACAAGAGGGAATAATTATAAGCAAGTCAGCGGCAGATCTAACGGTGAGTTCAGGAGAGAAGTCTTCACCCTACATGTGGTGAGTGTGTAACTGACTACCAGAAGCTGTTGTCGGAGTAAACATCATCAATGTAATTAAGATGAAGCTGTTTAGTATGGACTAAAACCCGTCATGTTTTTTTTTTACTTCAATTCATTCAGGGACCTTCTGGCTATCCTGGAGAGAGAGGTTTCAGAGGAGAAAGGGTGAGTTGTTGCAGATCCTTTCTCCTTACGTTCAAGAGACATTCTGTATTTGTATAATATGTAAATCTGTTTCATTCCTTTCTCCTCCGCACCACCCAATAATGTACACTACATTGGAGCCCTCTTACAAGGTGTTTTGGGGTTCAACGCTGATGATATTTCACCCTTGTTCCCGGGACACTCTGCTTCCCCTGTCTGCCAATGCATAAAACCCTAAACCCGCCTGATAACAGGGTTTCCATTGAGAGTGTGCAGCGTGCAGGAAGTGATATCAGAGCCAACCTGATGACCTGAAAGTCGGCCATTTGGTCTTTAGCACGCAATAAACCGGGCAGCGTTCTAAGCAGGAAAACAACAAAAAATGTCATCAAAGGGGCTTTCAAGGAGGGGAGAAAGGAAAAAAAGTCCTTGAACAATTTGACACTTTTAATATTCCTGTGATCTCTCACCGCAGGGAGAAGCAGGAGCGAAAGGAGAGCCAGGAGAGAAGGGACAGCCGGTAAGCTCCGTGCTTCATAACTCAACCCTCGTCTCCTGTCCGAGCTAAAACTGCAGCAAAATTACGTTTAGAAAATGAGTTGACTGCTACGAGCACTGGTTAAACAAATTATTAAGAGTTCAGTGCTGGGCGATACATTGAGATTAGTGAAATCCACTGACACATCTATGAACACTATTATTATTATTATTATCTATGAATAAGGGTAGTGGAAATCTGGAACTCTCTCCCCCAATATGCCGTGGATGCTGGATCCATTCAAATTTTCAAGACTGAGGTGGATGGGTGTTTGTTAGGTCGGGGTATCAAGGAATATGGGGAAAAGGCGGGTAATTGGAGTTGAGGTACAGATCAGCCATGATCTAATAGAATGGCAGAACAGGCTTGAGTGGCTGAATGCCTCATCCTGTTTCTATGTAACAAGCATGAAAGCTGCTTTTGGTCTTTTCCTTGCCCAGAGAGGAATTGACGACTGGAACAAGGGGTTTGGGCAGGAAGGGTGGTTGAGGTCAGATCACTTTAAAAAAACCTCAATGCCATGATGGTGGGGGGCAAGATGGTTGAGGGATTGTTCTGGAGGCACGAGATCAGATGGGCCAAAGGGTCTTTCATCATCCAAAGCAATCGTGTGATGGAGGGAATTCTGATGGATGTGACGACCGTTTGGGTGGGTGGTGGTGGCATTCAATCTGAACCATGTTCTTGCTGTTTCACTGAGCTCGTGGTTTCATTTTCACATCCATTTGCTTTCCCTCAACCCTTGAAAACTTACCGTTCTTTTTCTCTTGCGAGAGAAAAATGCCAGGATCGTGCCACAGCCACTCTTTGGGGAGAGAAAGTAAGCGCAGGGCTCCAAATTGCACCGTTTCTTAAATGTCTCCCTTAACAAGGGAGTTCCCAAATCACCGGTGGGTGGGGCGAGGGAGGGGGGAGGAGAGATTCCTTCCAGCATTTGGGTACAGGTCACGCTGGGAATACCACTCGTTGATGTGATCCAATTCTGGAGCTGAGTTCCCATGAGATCGGCGTGTCACGATTCCGGAGACTGGAAAGCGTCTCGGAGTAACGCATTAATTCCTATTGAAATGCTGCAACTTATACCCTCTTCTCTTCTTGTCCCCTTCCCCCTCTCTCCCTCCCTCCTTCTCCTCCCCCCCCCCCCCCCCCCCCAATTGTCTTAAAAGTCTCAAAATCTATTGGAAAGTCATGGTTACAAACATAGTTTCTGGGTTCATCGATTTCAGCTTTGAGTTAATTGTGTGTTCATTCCAAACCCATAAATTTGTTGGATTTGAAAAAAAATGGCATTAAGAACTTTTTTTTGTCTCTCGAGGGAGGGAAGGGAGGGAAGATGGAAGGAGGGATGGAGAGAGGGAGGGAGGGAGAAAAATTCTCTTATGGACTTCTCGCCTCCTGTACGAAGCTTCACAGAGTAAAGGCAAACGTTTGGGCAACTGTTTTTTTTTAAAAGACAAAAACGAAACAAGGGTTTCAATCATTCGTTACCCTTCCCTCGTGTACCAGGAGGGGGGATACAGCTATGGAAATGTCATTAAAACTGTCCTCCATTATTCATTGTTGTCGCACCTCATTGCCTTTCCCATGTGCCTGCCTGGCATGTGATGCCTATCTCTAACCCTAACGCGCACAGGTTGCTACGTTCTAACAGCGGAAAAAGCATCTGCATGCTAACATACCGTTGAACTTTCTTCCCCCCACAACCCTCTTCCCCACAAAACCCTCTTCCCCAACCTCCTCGCAGTTTGCATCCTGACTTGCACAGCGTGTTCTGCAGCTACTAAGGACTTGCTGTTATGTTGAGTGTGTGATGGTTTGCATCCGGTACTAAACTTCGGCCAGAGCCTGTGCTCAAAAACAAAAAAAAGTGAGCAGTTTTCGAACGGAATGATTGCAACTCTGCATTGTGTTAATAATCTGTGTGTGCATTGGTTTGCGTTGGGTTGAGTTACGCGTGCTGTTTCCTTATTTTGTCGTTGATTTGCGAAACTCACAGCTGGGAGCGGGGGAGAGGGAGGGAGGGGACGTGAATGCGTTGCTGGACTTTGGCCGACACTTTTTAAAAAAAATTTAATTTAATTTTCGCTTAAAAAAAATAGAATTTGCGATACGAAAGACCCAAGAGCATGCGTTTGTTTGCCTGAGAGTGAGTTTCGGTCGACGGAGGTCGAATCCCCACGAAAATCTACCCCCCCAACCCCAACACCCCCCCAACCCACCCCACCCTCCCGCCCCAAGAAAATGGAGGATATGACAGCAAATCAGTTGCTGGCATTTCCCTTGATGGCTGTATCTGTCTTCCACAGGGGGAAGGTATTCACCAAATCCGGGAGGCATTGAAGATTTTAGCAGAGAGGGTATTAATCTTGGAGACTATGATTGGTATTCATGGTGAGTAATGAGGATAGAAAGGTTTCCTTTGCACTGAGTTTCCGTGGGCGCGTGCACACAGTGAAGCAGACCGCACTGGAGTCCTATTGCGAATTAAACCTGCCGCGTAATGGCACCTCAAAAGCTGTGCATTTTTTAAAAAAAAAACATATATATATATATATATATATACACACACAAGCACCGGCCTTTTCTTCCAGTGCGGATTCGTAACACTGTTGTCGTGTCCCGGTTCCCACTGCAAACGTTACAGCGCCTTGGGACGTCCTCCTGACATGAAAGGCGCTATACAAATGTCACTTGCTGTTCTTGTTGTTGTTGTTTACCGCACTGCTCTCTCTCCGGCTGTGCGTTTCTGTTAACACCTAAGCCAGGCACTGCCGCCACAGCAGGGAACCAGGAAAAAAATACAATCTCATCCCTTGTTTACGGAGATGCGTTTTCCTGCACTATGTTGAAATAATCCACGTTTTTTGCAAAGTGCTGGCGAGGGTGCGGAAGGGGAGAATCTGCAAGCGATCAAGACAAAGCACTGTTCTCACCAGTGGACACCACTGGTCCGTGCAATTTTACATTACGATCAATTTTCCGAAAGCTTTTTATAAAAATTTGGAAACTATTTCACCTCCTCTGTGTTACTCAATCCTATATATACATATATATTATATATAAGAGAGAGAGGGGGAGATCAAGTCCTGGGTGTATTTACTGGGCTGAATTACATGGTAATTGGGGAAAAATAATTAACTAGGGTGTCTGGCCTGGTTCCCGGTTTTTGCTCAATGACTGGCTTCTAACTGGGGGAACGAAATCTTTTTTTTCTCTCTGTTGCTGTTTCCAATCTCCACCAGGCCGTTAGTTGGCAGATGTTCCAAGACCTTCAAGATGAACTAGAAGTTCTGGCTAGAAGGGTAACCTTGCTGGAAGCCATCGTGTGGCCAGGTAACTGAGCGGACGAGGAAAGGCAGGCCTCGATTGTGAAGCTCTTAGAGATCTTTCACGGGTTGTGAGCGCTGCAACAAGTACAAGGCCCATTGTTATCTGCAGTCATTTAAGTGGGGTCTCCTTGGAGCTGAACTGGCTCCCAAGATGGCATGCCTGGCAATGGAATCAGAATCGAGCCAGCCCTCTGTGATGGGTCTCCAGTCCGGTTCCCGAGCCAGGCGGGTCTGCAGCGTTCCAGAGCACTGCTGATGACAGCACAGCCGGGCTCATCGGCAGGACTTGGAAGGGCAGACCAGCCACTGGGGGCAGGGAGTCATTCCCACTCAGCTCCTGTTAACCCTACAAGCCAAAGCCCTAACGGGTAGGTGGTCCTCCTAGCTGGACAAGCAGCGGGAAAGCTTGCCGGACGGGAATATCAATGACAAGCTGTGTGGTTTTAGGTTTTAAACTTCACGCACGTGTTCAAAAAAAAAAAATTCTCGATCCCACAGCCCAACCTTAAATGATAGCAGTTTCCCAGTGGCACCTAACCAGAAAAAGCTTTCTTACTGAGACGGTTCAATGTCAAATAACGGGATCAGTGAAGAAACACAAATTAATCCCCTGTGAGTCAAATCGAAATTCACCCAAGGCAAAATGTACTTCAGAGTGTCTCCATTACTCAGCTTTGGAACAATGTCTCTTTAGGGCCTCTTTAATAGTTAACTCTGTCTCACAATTCTTTGCTCTCAAATACTTAAGAGGTTGTGTTGCACCACAGCAAGACCCAGTGACCACTAAAAATGTCAAGAGCTTAAAACGGGACGTGCTTTATATGTCCCTGAAGAGAATCTAACAGCGTTAGGAAGATAATAACAAGAAAAGTTTTCAAAAGGGAATTGGATACATACTTGAAAAAGAAAAATGTGGGGTAAGATCAAGTGAGTGGGACTAGAGCCAGCACAGGCACGATGGACCGAATGGTTTCCTTCTGTGCTGTAAGATTCAATGGTTCTAATAATTCCTTGTACTTGATACAGCGCCTATAACATTGAAGAAGGCTTTGGTAAAGGTACAATAAGAATAGTTTGTATTTGCGGGCAGCTGAGAAACAAATTACCATTTTTATGAGGAGGCTTGTCGGTCAGGATGGAGGGAGATCTTTATCGTCCGCCTGGCAAGGTTTAACATCTCACCCGAAGGTTGGCTGCTCTGATAATGAGGAACTCTCTTCTCCCCAACCCCCTTTCCCACGGTTGCGTTGCACTGTGTGAGCAATACAAGGTCCAGGTGTAGCTAAAATGCATCCTTTATGGAGTCCCGTAGGGTAGTGGTAAGAGCGCTCATCTCGTAAGCGTGAGAATCCAGGGTTCAATTCCAGGGCGGGGTGAAGCCTAAGGCAAGTTTCCTTACCCCACACGCCTCTGTTTACCAGCAGTAAGTAGGAACCCGGTTGTTAGTCGATTGGCGGATCACTTTTCGGGATGGGGTAATCTCTCCAAAAAAAAATGTGGTCACTCAATCCACAACTGTTTGTGGGACACTGCTGTGCGCAATTGGCAGCCACGTTCTCACGATAATACTCATAGATTTCAACTGAATCCGGCCAGGATCGTTACGGCTTTGCCTGGTTGTGTTGAGGACGTGTCAACAAAGCTTTTTTAAAAAAAAACAGCGAGAAGGAGCCTCCAGAACGGAGTCTATAATAATCCGAAGGTCAGCCTTCGAGAATGGAGCAGAGAAGAGTGGGAGGGGGTTGGATCAAATGCAACCTGATTTAGAAAGCTGAAGCGAGGACTCGTGACAGGCTCTGTAGTAAAGTGAATAGCTTACCCTGGTTAGAGGTGTTGAGCTCAGGGGGATACAGTTCTCCTCAGCCTCAGGAGGGTTGGGTAGCAGAAAGTTTATCCATTTTATTTTAACTCTGAAGTTAGCGAGAGATGAAACCTTGATCATGATCCTTACCATAAGAGCACTTAAAAGCAAAGCAAACCAATGTGTGTTTTTTGTTTTGATCAATGACAGAACCGGAACACGGATCGGGGCTCGGTCCGTATGCCACGCCACCTCCCAATTTCTTCAGAGGCAAGCGGGGCAGCTTTTCAGCGTACAGGATTATCTCGCACAGGCTTGCTGCACACAAAGCCGAGGAGAAATGATTAATGGACAATGTAAAAGCCAGCGAGCGTGTGCGTTTGCGTGAAACACGTGGTGCTCTCCTGTCACGATTGTTTGGTAAATTTGAGGGTAAGCGGGCCACAGAGCCACTGGAGCCTTTTGTGTTTACTTGTCCTGTGCGTGTGTGTGTGTGTATTCCTGGTGGATTCACTTGATTTGCCTCGTGTTCTACTGCAATTGTTACGTTCTTCCCCCTTCCCCCCCCCACTCCCTTCCCCTCCCCCAAACAACAACAACTTGCATTTATATAGCGCCCTTCATGTGTCTCAAAGCACCTAGTAGATGTGCAGACGATAGTTACGTTCCCAACCGCTTTATAATGGGAATGAATCTCTGAGCAATGACCCGCTGTCACCAAACGATTCCCTACTGGATGGATGTTTTGTGCTGTTAAAACCAGCATGGGCTTTCACCCCCACCCCCCCCACCCCATGCCCACCACCCCACAGATCAGTATTTCCACCAGGCACACACTGGTCGGCTAAAGAAAGTTTTGTTCACTTTCTTTTGGGCCTTGATTAATTATTTTCTTTTTTTATGAAAAATAAACTAATCATCACTATTTACCATCAGATTACATGGTGTACTTTGAAACATAACTGCATTGGAGAGCAGAGTGGGGGGGGGGGGGAAACATTATTTATCCTGAGTTTTACCTCTTGCCCTTGTTTTTTTTCTGCAAATATCAGTTTCCCAACAATTCTTTTCTGATTGTTTTTTTTATATATTATTTGGCTCCTGTTTTAGATTCGTAAATTCACATTTAATTTACTCTCCACTGATCTCTCTTTGTGACCTCAGGGTGTTGTTTTTTAAAAAGCTGATTAAGTCTGTCGGTGTTGATTATTTTGATTTCTTTTTAGAACCAGAGCAACCTTTATGGGGAACAATTGCAGGAATTCACTCATTCGTTCTATCACTCAGCCTCCTATTTTAACCCCCTCTCCGCTTCTGTGTGTGCAAGAGTGCTGAAGCTATGCCGTTTTAGCTGGTTAGACTCCCAACAGTAACCCAACCCCACTCTGGGATCCCCAAGCCTCGTCTCTTTCCAACCTGCGCCTAATACTTTCCGGAATTAGGTAAACAAGATGCATCTCTCCAGTGAGAGAGTACTCATTCCATACCAACAACCTACCTCATGTGTAGGTGGGATGCATGAAAATCTCAGCTTGGTTTGGATACTCTTAAGCATGGTGATGGGTTTCCGCGTGTGAGAGATAGACAAAGGCAGACGAGGAAATGTGTAAAAACACAGTTAGAGCACACAAAAGGTTGTACATTTCTAACTCTATTAAAGCACTCTTTAAACTGTTAATGGGTAGGGGAAATCTTAGGTTAACATCGACTCAATTAAAGCCGACTTAAGCTTGAGTGACTGCCACTTAAAATCCCAGGGCAAAATAATGGTGCCATCTGACAATGCAAATGTGCTGTATCAGACGTGTTTTATGTACAGGCAACTATCCGAATTTGTACTTGAAAGTAGCATTTCAATAAGTCTTGCAGTCTTTGAGGCTGCAAACACCTCTATAAGTGTCAATGGTGCTAATTATAATAAATAATCCTTTGCATTTGATACAGCGCCTCATGGCATGGTGGAAATGTCTCAAAGCACTTCATGGGATTTACTGTAAATTGTAGTGACTGTGTATTTGTAGGCGAACAAGTGTGCAGTGTTTTAAGTCTGATTATCCTTCGGATTTGGTTTGCTTGTTTTTGTCCCCTCGTATGTTGTATCCTGACTATTGCCTTATAGTGCTGGTCTCTAGCGAAAGTATTCAGTTAACTACAACACACCAAGTCTTGGTGAAACTGTGTCTTCATAACTGCCTTACTTTTCCTGTACAGAGCAGGGTTTTATACCAGTTAGGAGGAACATGTGTCAAAAAAATATCCATTAAAACAGAAATTAAGACTTTTGAATTTCCTACTTTGTGATTCTCTCTCTCTCTGGAGTTTTGTTTACCAATACTTTGCCTGCTGAATAAAGACAAGCAACGTTGACGATTTATTCCAAGTAATTTAAAAGGGAATCGTGCCAATAATCTTCGGGTGCATTGCTTCCCACACTGTAACCTGCAATATTTATACTCTAGTTATTGTAGTAACTTGCCTCAGCCTTCGCTGAACAAGCTTTGGAAGCAAAGTCCTATTGAATGAGGTTCTGTTTTACAGACCAGCAAATCACAGTAACAAGGTAATTCTAGGAATGTTTTATCAATTTAGGACATTAGCCATGTCCCAGGTTTTTGTTTTAACTAATAAAAGTATGACATTCTACTTGGTTGCCGAGTTTGAATCTTGAGATCAAAGTATTTGGAACTTCTAGGACTGGAATTTGAACATGTGGTGCGCAGGTTTTTATAGCCCAGTGCTGCACTTGAGAAGACAATAAGGGAAGCTGAAAACTTACATTTGAGGACCAGCTCTGTAATTAAAAGCAATGCTTTCCAATACCTAACAATTTACATTCATGTAACACTTTTCAGGTCAGGAACATAGGCCATTCAGCCCCTCGAGCCTGTTCTGCCATTCTATTAGATCATGGCTTATCTGTACCTCAACTCCAATTACCTACTTTTGCCCCATATCCCTTGATACCCTTACCCAACAAAAATCTATCCTCCTCAGTCTTGAAAATTTGAATGGATCCAGCATTCACAGCGTATTGGGGGAGAGAGTTCCAGATCTCTACTACCCCTTGCGTGAAAAAAAGGTCTCAAGGTGTTTGACAATGCTGGCTGGCCACCCAAGCTGGGAGTGGGAGCCAAGGGGATGGGGTGGGGGGAGATGACTGAAAGCACGGTCAAAGAGGTAAGTTTGAAGACTGGCCTTAAGGTTTCTGCACATTCTTATCATTTCTTGTATATTATTGCAGCGCTGTGTCCTTTCCTTCCTTCAATGATTCACTCAATGAGTAAAATGCACCCAAAGGCTATTGAGCACTAAGAATGTCACTCAGCAGAGAATACTTATGTTACAGAGCTGGTTCCAAAAACAAGTGAAACAAATTAAAATATCAAACTCTCTGCACGTTTTTATAATTTTTTATATTAATGTAATGCAGCTTCGAGCTGGGTTTTTTATTCCCCTTTCACTCTGGCCTCATTTGTTTGTTTAAAATCAGACCGGAATGCATTTTGTCTTATTGCCAAAAAAACCCTCACGTTATAAAATGGCAATGTGTCAATGTCAAAAATACTATGCAATGTCACTAATTGTCACGGCTGTTTACAGCTCGCTCTCAAACCAAATATTTACAACTGCACTCAGACATCCTGGAAGCAGAGTTCTAAATATCAACACCACAGCTATGTTCCCCGGCGAGCTATATTAATAGCCGAGACCTGTGCATAGAACTAGACAAAGATAACAGCCGCTGGGACAAGTTGAACCAACCACCTTTTTAGTGAAGCACGGATGTAAACGCCAACACTTTTGACATGCAGTGTTGACATCCAGGATCAAACGCACAGTAACCGTGCCACCATCTCCTCTCACTGAGTCGGGCATGGTTAAATGCAGGAGAGAGCAAGGATCGTCACTGCACTCAGTGTTTGCTATTCACTGTCACAACTGCTTCCTCCCCAACTTGGTCGTCCACCAGGAGATGGACTGCGCTCTCCACCTTCCCTGAAGCAGCCAATGCTAACACAGCCTTCTCTGTTGAAAAGCCCATTCGTTCCAATTGCTGTAGCCTGCGAGGGAGGGAGGACAGGTTAATAATTAAAACCTTGCATTTAATGTAGAGAGAATATTTCAAAAGGCTTTACAAAGTTTCTATAAAATGTAGTGCATAATTGTAGGCGAATGCATTGAACAATTTGCCTACGGCAAACAGCCAAGAGTTAAACGTGCTTCTCGTTTCAAGTCGTGCCATGCATTCTTTTAATGTCCACCTGAACAGGTAAACAGGTCCTTGGTTTAACATCTCATCCAAAGGATGGCACCTCCCAACAATGCAGCCACCTCCCACCCAGCAATGCAGTGGAGTCTGCATTGTTCCAACAAGGAGCTTGAACCTACTTCTAACCTAAAGGCAGGAGTGTTACTGAATGAGCCAGGCTGATAATTTACATTTACATAGCACCTTGCAAATAAAATAATATTGATATGTGAATGTTATATAAGCAAATGTTGAGGAGAAAGGGTATATATTTACAAAGAGGAATCTGTGCGTTGCATATGGAAGTGATAATATTGTACTAGTTCCACTGTGCGATCCCATTGGGAAAGTACTAAACACTGCAACTATCCAGAGACATTTCATTGAAGACAGCTGGCTACACAGCCATGTGTGTTCACAAAGTATTGGTCTCGCTTGAACCAATTTATTTGTTTTACTGATGTGCCAGCAAGCATGTTTAAGACTCTAAAATTACTGACAATTTTATTGAATTCTGCTTTCTCAGCACACACTGGGTTTTTTTGTCGGAGTAAAATTTCTGGGTTTGACAAAGTTGCCACAGTGAATTTTTCAGTATATGAATTTGATCGTTTGGCTAAGGCTGCGTTAAAGACATATGTGTGTGTGTGTGCTTGTAATGTACGTACAGTATTACGAAGCTCCACACACATCGCCTGTCACTCATACTCCCAACAATAACAACTTGCTTCATGTAGTGCCCCACAACTCCCCATTACTTACCGCAGAGAAGAGACTGAGGATTTAGGTACTTCTACTTTACTGTTCAAGTTGCTTCGAGACTCCTGTAGGGAAGCGATAACACCAGCCTGGAGCAAGTCATCGTCTGTGATCAGGCAACCAGTGGCATAGAGATCGTTTGGGCTCAAATCATACACTTCAGTAATTGGGAAGGTAGGGCCCAGTCCACGCTGGTTGTACAGATTGGCTGGTAAGTCTGTGCTGTGCCACTGCTTGGTGCGTGGCTGTGAAGCAGTTAAATTCCAACTGGTAGCCTCAGGTGGTAGAGGGCATGCATGTGAAGAATCCATTGCAACGCAAGTGTCTTCAGTCGCCGTGCAGCATGCAGCTGTTGGAGTTGAACGCACTTTGGGTTTCCCGAAGCTCGGTCACCCTCCGCTATGGGATGTAACCTGAAATCATGTGAACGTAACGATGAAACATGACACAAGCATTTACAAAAGGGATAGTACTGTATTAAGGATCCGATCAATAAGAGAAGTTCACAGATCAAATTTAAAACCCATTGAAATTTTTCAATAAGTGGCACTCGGTGCTGGGTAGACTGTAGCTCTGTCTATGTGGTTAGCAATACAATTCCACCTGAACAAGTCCAGTCTTATTCAAAAAGGTCACCTCCGACAATGCAGCCACCCCCCCCCCGCCCCATCCAGCGCTGCAATGGAGAGTCCGTCTGGACTATATATGTTTAAAGTCCTAATGTGAGGCTTGAAGGGAGAGCCTTCCGCCACTCTGCCCCCAACCTCTGGAATTCCATCCCCCAGTCACTCCGCCTTGCCCCCTCCTTAGCCTCCTTCAAGTCCCGTCTGAAGACCCTCCTCTTCGACCATGCCATTGACCACCCCCCCACTTCCCTTCCCCTCCCTTCCCCCCCAACCCGGGTCTGAAATGCTGTATTCTGTACAGTGCCTTGGGATGGCCTCCCGACGTGAAAGTCGCTACACAAATGTAATCTTGTTGTTGTTGAATCCACAACCTTCTAACTCATGATCTCCTACATGCAGCTGATAAAGTAGCTTTGGTAGCAATACTTTGTTTTCTCTTGCATTTCTGAGCCAGGTGGGGGTGGGGGGGAGGGGGAGAAATCGTATGTCCTCAGTGTAAGACGCGACGGGGCAAGAGCCTCCGTTTCTCTGCAAGCCATGGACTGAGGAATCGAGTTGTTTGACATGTTGTCATCGTGTGGTTTCTAACGTCCTGCACAGCTTGCTGCTGCGATGTTGCAAATTCAGTTACAAAGAGACACAAACAAAACTAGAAGATTGGCCGAAAACCATGCTGACTTGACCTTGTTCCACAGTCTAATCGCACGACACAAGCAAAGGAATCGTAAAGACAATATTCTATTAAAGTCTGGACGCTTCATTTAAAACAGTAAGAGGGGAGGGAGAGAACGGGATATGCCTGGTTTCTTGGTGTGTGTTAATCAGTTAGCAAACAAAGAAATCTTGCAATCTCTGTTCACTCACCTCTCAGTGTGCTGTGTGATTGGAAGTCGATCTCTGGCTGGAGATGAGATGAACGGAAAGTAGGAACCGCATCTCAGGAACTTGCAGATCACAAAGCTTTCCACACATTCCACCACTGTCTCAGGCAGCTCCAGAAAGAAGAAAAACCTATAGCTATCTGGGCAAAAATGCTGAGGGATTTCAAACTGATTAGCACTGGTTTGAGGTGTGTGATATGGAGGGGAACATGCCTTTTCTTCATATTCTACGTAAGCTGTTTTTTTGGTTGGTTAAATTCCAGCAGTTACCCCAATCCACATTCTGGGGTTCCCCAAGCCTTGGCTCTTGCCAACCCGCGCCTAATACTTTCCAGAATTAGGTAAGCAGGATGCATCCCTCCAGGGAGAAAGAGAGAGAGCACATTCCAGTCCAACAACCTATCTCTGTGAATTCCATGTGTAGGCGGGATAATAATAATAATCCTTGCATTTGATATAGCGCTTTTCACGTCGGGAGGACGTCCCAAAGCGCTTCATAGAACATACTGTAAAGTGAATTGACTGTATATTTGTGGGCGAACCCGGCAGCCAATTGCGCACAGCAATGTCCCACAAACAGTCGTAGATTGAAAATGACGAATTTATTATTGTTTTTTGGTTTTAGAGGGATTATTATTAGGCTCTGTGTGGAGTAAGGAAACTTGCCCAAGGTTTCGCCCTGACCTGCCTGGAATTGAACTCAGGTCTCTCACTTGCAAAGCGAGTGCTCTAACCACTGAGCTACAGGACTCCACGGAAATGCACGGGATGCACGGAAATCTCAAGTTTGGTTACTCTTTAAGCACAGTTTCCACACGTGTCAGACACCCGGCCATCCTAAAAAAAATTAAATTATATTAAGCTCAAACTACCGCTTGTAACAGGATCTGAATATGCTTGTCATTTACAGTGTTTGGAATGTCAGAACATCTCGAGGCACTTCAAAGGCCTGTAATTCTTAAGATATATACTGTATAATTAATTATTATCAAGTGTAGTGATTGTTTTTGTTAGACAACCACTGCAGGAAATTTACTCCCAACAAAGCGCCATAAGCAGCCAGTGTCCATTAGTCAGGAGGTCAGGACATCTCCTTTGAGATCCACCTGCACTGGTAGACAGGTGGATTGTGGGCTTGTCAACGCACCAGAAAGGATACACGCCAGCCCGACGATAACTCCGCATGCGTGAAGAGGTGCGGATGAATCGGGAATGAAAAGGTAAGATGCTGCCAGAAGTATCCAAGGGAGCGCCGTAGCTTTAATCCCGGCCACGATCCTGATCCTTTTCACCTCGGAGCTGTGGCAGCCTAGCGTTACCATAGCAAACTGGACGGTGGTGAATCCGCGGGCGGCCGTGCCCTCCAGGCTCAGCAGTTTGTCCAGCAGCAGGTAGAAGAATGCGGACAGCAGGGCGAAAAGCACGGAGAGGTAGAGGAATCGAACGGTGCCCAACTGCTGCTCCAAGCGGCTGCTCAGCAACACGATGAGGGACAGGTTAATCAGCAGAGTCAAGAGGTTGCCATGGGAGAAACAGTAGCCCAATAAACGGTACACTGTCAGAATAAAACGGGACACAGATACATTAATTCTACCAGAGAGGGAGCTATAACCATTTAATACATTTCAATAAATACATTGTCTTCCATACTGTAACGTTAAAGCTATTTCTTCACTCAGTGGATTATGAAAATGTAAAATTCCATAGAGGCCGAATAAATGGGGTTTGAAAAGGAGATGGATTATGATAATAATTCTTGCTTTTGATATAGGGCATAATCATGTCATTGAGACGTCCCAAAGATACTTGAATGTGATACTTGGAATAGATAAAATAGATACTTGGAAGCGAGGAAAGCATGAGGCATGGTAATAATCCATTGAAGCTTAATTTAATCTAGCAGCTTTCATGTCAGGAAGACTTCTCAAAGCGCTTCACAGGATTTACTATAAAGTGCAGTGACTATGTATTTGCAGGCGAACAGGCAGTTTCATTATTAATTCAGCATCTTAAGGATGCTCAAGTTAATCACCTTCGGGACTTAGGACCCGAAGGCACTGGGTTTAAACGTCTTTGAAAGTTAATAAAATGGAATATGTCTAACAAATATAGAGATAAAAATATATCCTGCAGATTTATCATGTTGTAAACTTGGTGTTGGGAATACCTTACCTTTGATGATTTTAAACAATACCTATTGCCAATGGTTTGCAATGGCAGCTCTTTTGTTATCTGCTGTAAAAACTAATTAAGTGAGAAGCACACTCATTGAGCCTTTTCTGGTCTAGAAATCCATTACTTTTTTAACAAAGCAGTATTGGAAGCAAGCTTCAAATGTGGCTTACCTTGCAAGTAAATGGCTCCCGATGTGAAAGGTCTCGATAAATCTAAAGTGCCTGTAATGGTGTCAATTGCTTTACTTACCCCACCCACCCTCAACTGGCTGACTCAAGAAACTAGAGGGCTACCAACTGATCCAGGCTGATGCTATTATGATGATGGAGGAGGGCTTTCAATCACAGATGAAATATTAATGGGTAAAACAGAGTGGCCCAAACTCTTTGAAGCTCCAAATTTCTTTCAGAAGTACAAGTATGTATTAAATTGCTTATATGGGTAGGACACTGGGTAAGACTTTCAAAACCAAAAACAATAATAAATTGGTCATTTTCAATCTACGACTGTTTGTGGGACATTGCTGTGCGCAATTGGCTGCCGCGTTTGCCCACAAACATACAGTCAATTCATTTTACAGTGTATTCTGTGAAGCGCTTTGGGACGTCCTCCCGACGTGAAAAGCGCTATATCAAATGCAAGGATTATTATTATTATTATTATTATTATCGATCGCTATCCCATTTTCAAATTACTTAAGGATTTCCTAAGCAATTTTCTTCCACCTATACCTCGACATATAAATTCAGTGTGAAATTCAGATTTTGCATTGTGGCATAATTTATAGGAATATTGAGTTTAAGGTTAATGGATTAATGCAATCATCAGCTCAGCTGCCAAGGTCTCCCTATCATTTTGCATTAGTAACTTGAATGTTGCATTTTGCTGTTCTACATCATCTTGTATCCACACCGAGTTGATAACTGGTCCTTTATCATCATATGTGCAGTACAGCACCAACACAGAGCACAATGGAGGGGAAGTATGCATTGATTTCTGATCTCTCCAACAATGCTTTGAGGAGGTAAAGCGCGGGGGCAAAGTGACTGAAAAGACAAGGGGCATGAAGCAACAACAACTTGTATTTATATAGCGCCTTTTATGCATCTCTGAGGGTTCAACAGTAGTGGAGCCTGACGCTGAACCGGGGGGCAGGAAGTGACCATGATCACTATCAAAGTCGAAGGACTTTAGTCGTGATCTAAAAGAGGGGAGGAGGGGGCATTATTTATAGCTATTTGGGGCACTATTTGTAGCTGAATTCTGTGACCAATTTGGATACAGGAAGGTTGCAGTCTCCCCTCTCCTCCGATCTCTCCCTTCTCATACCCCTTATGTTACCATTCGAGGCTGAAGGTGACCTACATTTGACAATGAGATTCATATGTGGAAACTGATCCACAGCAAGATTGATTCCTGTGCTGAATTAAGACACATGCCAACATGAATTGGAACAGAGCTCCCCTCTCTGGCAATCATGTTCCTTCTGTATTAACTGCCAGATCCCACCCCAGACTACACACACATTTCAGCACAGTATGAATTAACTGCAGCTCTGGAGCTGGCCTTCTGAGAGCTGTATTATAAGCAGGGTCGCTCTGCTTGGATGCCCTTGGGGCTTAATGTCATGAGTCTGGATTACGTAAGAAAGCTCATGCTCATAAGCTCCCTTCAGTGTCTTCTTGTTGACTCCAAACTCCTTAACCTCCCCGGCCAATCCCTCAGGTTGGGTCCCCAGCTATCCTTTCTATCCCAACATCGGGTTCATGATCAGGACCGTTTTCCTCCACCTCTGCCACATGTGGAGTGCCTCTGACCTAATCTCACACCCAACGCAGCCAAAACCCTTATCCAGACATTCATTACCTCTCAGCTTGATTATTCCAATGCCCTCCTCGTTCCACTATTCATAAAATCCCAATTAATTCAACGCATGTACTACTATATTTAGGTATAACGTGTTGGCTGAACAATTTTGTGCACTTGTACTGTTAATATCAACTTCATTTCACCAAATCGTACAGTGAAACATCCCCACAGCACTTTTTTTAAAAAAAATCTTTATTCAGAAAATTTGCACACAATGTATTTTTCCAAAAAAAATTGTAATACAAGCGAGCATTGGGCAAGATGCAGCATTCGTGATGTAACAACCGTTTAAACAGAAAGGACAGGTCTATCCAAAGTGCCCATAGTAAGACAAAAAGTTAGTTAGCAAACAGGGATGTGTCAATGCATGTTATAACCAGTTTGCACTGTGTTGACAACCTGGACCACTGTCCACATCTCTCCCGATTGACTGTTGGCCCAAAATATCAAATAATAATAATAGTATTATTTGCAAGTGAGAGACCTGAGTTCAATTCCAGGCAGGGCAAAACCTTGGGCAAGTTTCTTTACTCCGCACGCCTAATAATAATCCCTCCAAAACAATAATAAATTGGTCATTTTCAATCTACAACTGTTTGTGGGACATTGCTGTGCACAATTGGCTGCCGCGTTCGCCCACAAACATAGTCAATTCACTGTAGTGTGTTCTGTGAAGCGCTTTGGGACGTCCCCCCGACGTGAAAAGCGCTTTATCAAATTCAAGGATTATTATTACATCAAATGTTATTACTGAGAATGTGCTGTGTTAGCGGCCACAAAATCTGAAATGTTCATGGGACGGTGGGAGGAGGTGGAAGTGTCCGATTCCCTTCTGGTTGCAACACGATGGTATTGTGGAGTTCTAGGCGTGGAGTCCTTTGGCTTGGCGGTTAAGAGTACTCGCCTGGCAAGTGAGAGGGCCTAAGGTTTTATTCCACGTAGGGCGAAACGTTGGGCCAGTGGTGTGATAAGTGGTGTCATTCCAGGTGTAATAATCGCTCCAAAAAAAAAATCACTCTATGTACTGGCTGCCGCATTTCGCCCACAAAATACAGTCAATTCACTTTACAGTATGTTCTGTGAAGGGCTTTTAATAATAATAATAATCCTCGCATTTGATACAGCGCTTTTCACGTCGGGAGGACGTCCCAAAGCGCTTCACAGAACATACTGTAAAGTGAATTGACTGTATATTTGTGGGCGAACGCGGCAGCCAATCGCGCACAGCAATGTCCCACAAACAGTCGGGGATTGAAAATGACCAATTTATTATTGTTTTTGGTTTTGGAGGGATTATTATTAGGCTCTGTGTGGAGTAAGGAAACTTCCCAAGGTTTCGCCCTCTGCCTGGAATTCAACTCAGGTCTCTCGCTCGCAAAGCGAGTGCTCTAACCGCTGAGCTACAAGGACTCCACTTTTGAGACGTCTCGACGACGTGATGAGGCGTTTTATCGCTCGCCATGATTATTATGGCTATCATTCGTGCCCACGACGGAAGAGGGGGGGGGGAGAGGGCCCGCGCTTACCTTGGCGGTGGCTCACCACGCCGCTGAGGGTCAGGGACAGGGCCTCCTGCGCCCGGGCCGCCCACAGCAGGCCGATGACAGACAGGAAGCAGGCGCTGGCCGCCGGCACCCGGCTCTGGGCCCGCAGCCGCTGACAGCAGCTCCTCACAGCCCGCATGCCAGCACCGAACCCGGCGCATTGTAAACTAAACCCGCGGGGCCGCCGGCTCCGACCGTCGCTCGGGCCCGATGGCGGTTATTGGTGTCACAGCGAAATGTCTCCCCCCCCCCTCCCCCCCAAACACCTCCCCCGCGCGCGGGAATACTCGCATCTTCCTCCTCGTAAGCCACCCGTCCCGCGGGGCGGGCCGCGTTGTTACCGAGCGCAAAATAAAAAAAGAAGGAAAGGCGAGCAGACACACGACAGGGAGAGAGAGACACACACACACGAGGAGAGAAGAGCAACCGCCCGTCTCCATAACAACAGGCCGCTCCGCTCCCTCCCCGGAACCAAAGTCGCGGGCGCCGCGTTCTCCGGACCTCTTCACTCGCGCCCACCCATTGTTTTCCTCGCCCAGTTCACGTTGCGACGCCACCCGTTTGCGTCACCTCACCGGCCGCCGCCGCCGCGCGCTGGTTCGTTTAAATAAGGACTCGGTCGCGCCCAAAAGAAGGTGTAGGAGGAGGAGGAGGAAACGAAGAGGTTATTCGTCACAGGAGATAAAGGAGTCGGCGGCCTTCGCTGGCTTTCGAGACGTGATTTGTCTCGCTCGATTTCAAAAGGAACCACGATAAAGAGTCTCGGGGGCATTCTTTACCCTTTCCCGACCGTCGGTCTGAAGCGCACCACCCCCCCCTCGCCCCGCCATCTCCTCAGTCCGCCTCTCCCTCCCTCTCGTCGAACCAAGCCCCTCCCCCCCGCCCCCCCCCTGCGGCGGAGGCTCGGCGCAGGCGCGCTGCGGCGGCAGTCAGAGGTCGGTGAAGATGGCGTCGACGGGTAAGGGAGGACTTTTAACTGTTGGGCGAATGGCGGCTTGACCGCGAGGAGGGCCTCTGTTCGGAGCGGACGGGGGCGGCCGAGAAATGGGGTACAGGCCCGGGGGCGGGATAGCTCAAGAGAGGGAGGAGGGAATTTTTTTTCTGTGAAGGGACGGGTTTTTTTTTTTGGGTGGGGGTTGGGGGGCGGCGGGAAGAGGAGGGAAAGAAAGGCGGGAGCGCGGAGGGCCTAACTCGGGCTGGGCCTGGTGGGGGGGGGCGGAGAGGGAGAGAGAGGCCTTATCGCGTGCTGTGCTGTGTGTAAAAAAAATCGAGCGGTCGGCCGTTGGGGCCTTGTGCGAACCTAAGCTCCTTTTTCCTTCCCCCTCCCTCCCTCCACCATCTCGTCCGCCCGCCATCCTATTATTCTCTTCTCCGTCGTGTTTCTTAAGCCGCTCGCTGGGGGTCGACACATCTACGCCACACATGTTAACCACCTCTCTCTCTCTTCCCCCATACACACACACACACACACACAAAAAGAGAGGCGAGGAAGGAAGGAGGGAGGGAGGGCCTGGGCTGCTGCTCGGTCGATTAGATTTAACCTGCGGAAGGGGGTTCGTGTGGTCGGTACAAGGGAGGGGGGAGGGGGGGTGGGGGTTGCTGAGGTGTGGTTGATTGTCTCCAGGCGGCGAGGGTTTTTTTTTTATCCCCCCCCCCAATCCCCACCCAAACGTGTCCTTGCTTTGGGACCTCGTTTGCTGGTGATTCTTTTCGGGTGAGATGGGGTGGGCGCCCACGGAGAGGTATATTTTTGTCCATCTTTCTCTCCCAATTATTTCTACAAAGCGACTTGATTTTTTTTTTCGTTTTTTTTTAAAAAAAGGCTATTCTTTTTATAACTGAAAATCTTTCGGGGGAGGGGGTGCGGTTGCGGTCGAGGGTCTTTTATGACATGAGAAATGGTCATATAAATATAATAATAATATAATATAAAATGGTAAAAATTATAAAGGTTTCAAATTTTGCTCGGGCATTTTTTTTCACAAAAAAGAGGATCAAAGTGCCGTGCTCTGCTTTTGGGAGGATTTCTTGCCTCTCCCTCCTCCCCCGAGGGGTGGGGTGGGGGAGAAAAAAACTTTTTTTTCCTAAAATTTTTCAAAAAAAAATCACTTCGAACTTTCGGAGGAGTCGACGGGCGCCATTGTGTGTGTGTGTGTGTGTGTTGTGGGTTGAGCGTAATGTTTGATTTCGAACTTTTTTTCGGTTTTGCCCGCACGGATTTGGCATCGTGCAAAAATGGAGTCGCACAGAATCCTGAATTAAATTTTGAAAAAAAAATGCGCGCGGGTAGATGTGTTAAACCCGTCCCCCTCCCTCACGGTTTAAGTAAAAGTCTTTTAACAAAGTGAGATTCCGTCGTTTAAGACTCGGTTGATATTGATATTCGTCCTCAAAGGGGGATATCCTCGTGGCTGCGAAGCAGTCATTGATCAGTGGGGTTCCTTCCATGCAATACATCAGGCTGTGTGATTTGTCTGAAGCCTCAAATGAGATCACACATTTGCAAACACTGGGTACCTATTTAACACAGGTCATTTTTGCTCCCTTAAATGCTTCAGCGATTGTGGCTCTCTGTGAGGTTGTGCTACCAATTTTTAGTGTCTTCCCCATTGAACATTTATGATTGCTGTTATACGTACCCGCAGTTGCAAAACATCAAAATGTGGCTTGTGTCTTGGCCAGCAATCTCTCTCCTCCCCCTCCCCCATGGTAATTTGTTCATGGCTATTCCTGGGACATTGATGTGTGCACATTGGGCCCCATTCATCTATCACATACCGTTTACTGCACTTTACAGCAATGCTGTCCTGACTTGACAGGTGATATATCAAATACAAGGATTATTTTAATATTTGTTTTCATGTTGGTATCTAATGCCAACTGTGTACTTCCATCTTTTTGGCTGGGCAAAATACATTCAAAGGTCTGAACAATAATTTTAGGTAGTTTTAATTGCTCTCTATTTCCTCCCATTTGTTTTGAAAATATTGGTGGCTTTGGTAGTTTGAGGCACATAGTAGAAAGCTAATGTTTTGGCATCATTTATTCTATAGGTTAACACCCAACATGTATTGCTGTCATTGAGTCCTGGAGTTATAACTTAAAATGTTTTCTAGTAGGGCAGGACAGGCATGAATTTGACCAATTTAAGAACATGAAGTGGTATGGGTACTATACTTTTGAGTGAAAAGGAACCTATTCCAATGCCAACGGACAACGCATTTAGAAAAAATACATAAAATAAATTCAAAACTGCTTTTCGAGTGGAACATTTTCTGTAAGTCTAATCACCAACCACACAGTTTAGTCACTTACCCCAAGGATGTTGAGAAAGATGTTCCTTGTGCCAACACAGTAAGTTTGTATACATATTAGCTTTCTTTTTGCCTTTAGTTTCCCTTTTGATGTGGGAGGAAACGCCAAACAGTGAAAATGTAGCTTTTTATCGAAATAATGCATTTAGTTATGAAATGTTTCAGGCTTTCCTGAATGTACCCATGAATGGAATACTTTGCCAACGCTTGCAAATTTTATATAATACACTGGTTTACCTCTTAGGTACTAGCTAGTACTGGGGCTTATTCTGAGGCATCCTATCCTTTTCAGTACCTCACTCAAGTGCTTATTTCTGCTTGTAAGACCATGAGTATTTGCAATTGATTAATGTTTGGGTGTAAATGGATCTCTACATCCCATTCAGGAGTGAAAGATGATGGAGTGGACTACCCAAGTATAGCAGGGGTATTAAAATTTTGGATTTGGACTCAGAGCATGTTGTGGGAAATAATGTTTTGGCAGGCGATGTGACATTGAATTTCCTGAAGGAGGTTTTATAGCAATACAATACAAAATTACATTTGTGTAGCGCCTTTCATGTCGAGGTGACGTCCCATTCCTCAAATGACAATGGAGGAAACAGTCCCATCTCCTGACACACTGGGTCTAAGCGCTGAAGCTATCAAAACTAGGAAGGTAATAGTATTTGGACTTGCACGAAAAAAAACTTCTCAAACGTTTTCAAAATGAACACATTTCAAATCGCCTCATAAATCCCATATCCATCTTGAGTTGCTGGATTCTGAATGAAGTGAAGAGTAGAGAAGGTGGGAGTACAACCACATCTAATTGGCTTTTTTTTTTGATTGTGCAACAGAGCCAATGCAATTTCTGTCCTCACTCGATCTATGTGTGTAGATTTGTGAGCCCCAGGTGGGGAGCAGTTTCTATTAGATTCGGAGGAAATTTATCAATTAATTTTTTTTTAAATAAGTCATCGTAGAATGACTTTGACACATCTTTAAGATGTATTTCTGAAGACCTAGAAAGACATTCAAATTATCCTTTCTCTGATTCCAAGAGATTTCAGTAACTAAACTGGCAAAGTTCAGCTAGAGCTCGTGATTTAGTTTGGGACTTTACCATACTGATATTGGCGATTTGATTGTAGTTTGAGTTTTCTGAGACATCAGTGGATGATTGGGGGTAGATTATCAGCTTATCTTGACCATTTCATTGTAGTCAGGGAGCTTGTGATAGAAGCATGTATGGATTTCGGGTGAAGATTGGACCATGCTCTAGCTTGATGTCCTTATGACCAACACTCTTGTTAAGGCTCATAGTTCAACAGTGGCCGATTTAGAAAATTAGACAGTATTCATGTCACCAACCCTAGTTAATGTCCACCAGATTCAACATTGCTCAGGCATGATCTTTAAAGCTACTTCAACACCATTCGTCAAAGCATTTTTGAAGAAAAGTGTGCTCCAATTTACATTGAAGTTGTCTGAATTTGATGCAGCTGCTACAAATTCAATACTTCTAGGTTTTGTGTCTTTTATTCAGTGTTTTTTTCACTTAACTGGCAAAACCTTGCCAGCAAATGTTGATTTGCAAGCTTTTGTTACATTTTGGGGGGAGAAAGATTACCTTTATTCATTTGTGTAAGAAGTTGTATTTTTTTAAAAATACGATCAATCACATAACAGTTTACGAATCATTCTGACCTTTTAAACCAAATACAAATAACCTATTTAGGTTGGGGTATTGTTCTATTGGTATTGGAACATTTGAATAGTTTATTTTTCAAGCATTTTTATTTGGAGTCTTTTCTCTTTTAGATTACAGTACCTACACCCAGGCTGCAGCTCAGCAGGGGTAAGTATCATCTGTGCCCATATCAAATGATCACATATTGAATTCTGAAGCAAGGAGTTGTTTGTTTGTTTGGTGGATTTCTGGTGGCACAAAATTTTTGTTCAGTGAGGAGCTAAAACCTGGAAAATCCAAGGTTTGATCCAGGCTGAGTTAACCCAAGTAGCAAGCCGGAAGCCCTCCATTTACTCTATTGCCCAGATTAGCTGAATGGGTGCAGAGAAGGGTGTTTGCACTTAGTTATCACTAATTCATTTGAGCAGCGAGGTACATAAGTCAGCAACTCAAATTTGATGGGTAGTTTTATTCCAAGGAATGAAGCCATTTTTGCTCCTTAATCTTCACAGGTATGGAACCTATGCAGCAGCTCAGCCTAATCAAGCATATGGCCAGACCACTCAGGTAAGCTTTTTTTAAAATATGTATGTTATGTTTAAAATCTTGCTTGGTCAACACGTTTGTGTTCTATACCCCACACTTATACAACCACCCTTTTCTGAATGTTTGTGATTAGGCCTATGCACAGCAGAGTTATGGGACCTATGCCCAACCCACGGATACCACGTACTCTCAGGCACAGACATCGGCGTATGGACAGACAGCATACGCTGCTGCATATGGGCAACCTCAGACTGGTAGGTATTTGTCTGCACTGTACTGGGAAAACAATTCTCTTATAATTGAGTGACGTGTATTCTGAAACTGTACTCTTTTTATTCCTGTCCGTTGTGCTTTCTGGGGTAGAAGGGACAAGTGCAGGTTTGAATGCCTGGTCATTGTTGCATGCCTTGTGTTGGTGTTTGTCTCGTTGCTGCATTGCATCAGACATCTAGAACTCCCATTTGCAAACCTGACAATTTTTGCCATGCATGTGAACAGTTTTTAAATGTTCCCAGTTTTTGGATCAGTTTAACTTATGATGTGAAAGTTAAGTGTAGTTACAAATCTATTCCTTTTTTTCATTTACTGATCTAGTATGAATATTTCTCTAGAATAGTAGTCGGGTTACAGAGACTTGCATTACCAAAGAGAAATCCATAGGATTAGTTATGGAGCAGAGTAGTTTGACCTTGATGGGAATGGTGTAACTTGAGAATGAGCAGTTGCATCCAACTTCATCCCTCTGGATATTTGTCTGTTTTGTAAGGTAATTGATGTCCACGCTTCGTTAGCATTAGATTAACTTTAATAATTCCCAACATGCTTTCAGTAACATAATTAGCTAGGCTTTCAAAAGGCTTAGCCATACAGAGCAGGAAGCACGTATCTCTTTATTTCTGCTGGTTAGTTAGCTTACTTAGCCATTCCTCCAGTATAGGTTTTTAGTAAAATTTCCACTCATTGTGCGATCTGGTGATAACTGGAAGTGGTGAATTTTGGGGCATTGAAAAATCTCATTTAGTTTTGGTGCCCTCTATACTTTTCTATAGCTTAGCACCAATGGCTCCTATGGGGAAAGGAAGGAGAGCAATGTTTATACGAGCGACTTTTCTTTTTGGTGCTTCAAACAATCATTCCATGTTATAGAAGAGAAAATGTTCTAAATAGCTTATCGATTTGCTTTATACATTTAATTCCATGGTCGTTGTACATAGAACAATTAGTATCAAATGATTTGGTACAGAATATCATCAAACCAGTTGAACATTATTAAATTGTTTCGCAGAACTACACAAGATATTGTTTAAATATAGCAAAGTAGTGAAGATGCACAACGCGTTGCTTCATTTGTTTTTTGATTCTGTCCAGCTTACAGTGCACCCGCTGCACCCCAGGCTTACAGCCAGCCTGTGCAGGCCTACAGCACAACTGGATATGACAGCACTGCTACCCCTCAAGCTACTTATGGGCAGCAGCCCACCTATGGTCAACAGCCTACCTATGCTGCATATGGCCAGCAGACTGCTACAAGTGTTGCACCGACCAGGTACGCGCCTGTAAGGTACGCATGATTTTTTTTTCAATTTGATTTAGCAGTTATAATGTTGAACTTTCTGATCCAGAGCCAAGAATGCTACTAACTGAACCAGGATGATGCCTACATAGAAACATGTGCAGGCTGTTCAGCCCCTCGAGCCTGTTCCACCATTTTATAAGATCACGGCTGATCTGTACTTCAAGTATAATTTCCTGCCCTTGCCCTTTATCCCTTAAAACCCTGACTAACATATCTATCTACCTCCAGCTTACTATGTAGTTTACATTGTTTGACCTATGTTCAATACATTGAGTTTATTGGTACACAGTGTTTTTATTTTTGGGCTAGCTTATATTTTAGGTCTACTGTTTATTGTCTTGTCGCCCATTTGTTTATCACACCTCTATTTAGCCTTTCAGAAAAGAGCAGTGTTGAATATTGAAATGTAATTTGCTGTTGTATGAAATATGAATTTAGCGTTTCTGGCAAGTCTTGTCCTACTCATCACAACTAGATAAATGAAATGACCTGAATTGTCCAAACTTTTAGACAACAATTCAGCCAGTATTGCAGTAAAATGTTTTCTAAGATGGTGGTAATGTATTTTTGTTTTTTTTAAAAAAGGGGGAACCTGAGCATTATCTAATTGCCTTTTGATACAATTTTCAGACCACAGGATACCACCAAGCAGGACGATTATAGCCAGCCCAGTACTGGGTACGCCCAGTCCAGTGTGGGATACAGCCAGGCAAGTTATGGGTACCCACAAATGAATGTCCACAGTGGTTACCCTCTTCAACCACCCAGCGCTCCTCCATCTTTTCCCCCCACAAGGTAAATGTCCAATTTGAGTTTCTTAATGAAAAGGGCAAGCAAAATAGTGCATGGGGTTTCCACCGTTTTTTGTATTGAAATGTGATGAAATGTTTAATGAAACAGTTGGCCTTTAATGAAATTTGTGATGCTTTGTTTGGGGGCTAGATGCTAGGCTCCTTAATGGTATAATGGGTGAACACACCACTGGGTGTAGCATTAAGGCAAACATACCATAAGTTACAGTTATGCTTCCCTGTCAGTGCTAAGTCAACTAAATTTACGCTGCTATCCATTGACCCACTGCTGAATTGTGTGTGCAGCCAACTAACGCTCTCCAGGCTCATATTCGTGTCTGAACCACTATAAAACTAGCAGAAAGCAATCTAGTTGGCATTCTTTGTGATAAATATATAAATATGTAACGATAGGAGCTACAAACTTTATTCCTTTACAGTTACAGTAGCACCAGTCAACCCACGGCTTACGACCAGAGTAGCTATACTCAACAGACTAGTTATGGACAACCAGCAAGCAGCTATGCCCCACCTCCTCCCCCAACTGGAGGATACAGCCAGCAGCAGCCACCAACTGGATACGGGCAGCAAAGCACCTATGGACACCAGCAGCAGACAGACTACAGCCAGCAAAGCCAGTACAGTAAGTAAAAATACTTATTGGGAATCGTAAACGTGCCTGCACTTTTGGTTGGCTGTCTTTCCCATCCCCACCCTCCTTGGCTCCCACCCCCAGTACCTGGCTAACACTGCAGCAAGTTGACACGTACAAAGTAATAGGCACTATGTAAATATAAATTGTGCTGTAAGATTGTCCCCCTCTCCCCATGATGATCCATGCCACACTGCCCCTCCACCCCCACTCGTTCTTAGTCTCGGCGTGCGCATTTTGGCTGCCGCCACCGACTCCAGCTGCTTCTCAAATGCTCCCACTCCAGTCCTCTATCCCACCTCCCTCTGCTCAAGTCTATGAATCTTCTGTTGGGCCCACCGTGGCAGGCGCTGCTGGCTGTCCAACAGTAGCCATTCCAACTGCCCTATACCCCATTCCCACCGCAAGGTCCAGCAGTCCCTGACCATGGGGGCCATCCTCTCTTCCCTCATCCACATTCCCACCCTCCCTGACAATCCTCCCCCTCCCCCACATTCTGCTACCAACTGTTTCCTCTGCATCGGCCTACAAAATGTCTGCTCCCTCTCCAATAAAACACTCACCATTCAAGGCCTCATTGTCGACGAAAACATCGACATTCTCACCCTCACCAAAACCTGGATCACTCCAGGCAACACCTTCCCCTGACAGAAGCTACACCACCTGGTTTCACCCTTCATCATCGCCCATGGTGGCAGTGTGGCTCTCATCTCCCAGTCCTCACTTGGCCTTATCCCCTCACTCCTTTGGAACCTTTCCCTCTGAGCATCTTACCCTTTATTATCCTCATCTTTCCCTCAAAATTGTCCCTCATCTATCCCTACCGCCCTTCCCCACCTTCCTTCCTGATATTTCCACCCCCTGTCTTCCCTTTCCCTCTGCTCCAAACGCCTCCTCATCCTTGGTGACTTCAACCTTCACTTCACCCCCTCCTGCTCTTACTTCTGCTGACTTCTCCCTCCACATCCATTCCGCCAGCCATGTCCGCGGTCACTCCCTCGACCTGGTGATCACTCGGAGCCTCATCGTCTCAGACCTTGCCATCATCGACAAAGCAATCTCGGACCATCACTTCATCTCCCTTAGCACCTCAATCCCTCTCGCCACCCAACCCACCTCTACCTCCTGCTGTGCCTGTTTTTACTCACGAAAGTCACCATGGTACACCAGCCACGCTCCCTTAAAGCACAGGTGCGTGCTGCTGAACAATACCTGGCTTAAATCAAACTTAACGTCCATCGGCAGATCTGGCTGGAACCTTCTCAAATCTTACCGCTCCACTCTCACCTCTTCTAAATCATTGTTCTACTCCAAGACAATCTTATTCCCCACCTTGACTGCCCCACCATTGGCGGGTGGGCCTTCTGCCACTCTGTCCCCACCCTCTGGATCTCCATCCCGCAGTCCCTCAGCCTTGCCTCTTTCAAGGCCCATCTTCAGACCTTCCTCTTTGACCGTGATTTTGATTACCCTCCTCCCCCACCAAACCTCCCCAATCCCGACCCCCAGCTTGGGTTCGAAGCACTGACTGTCCAGCGCCTTGGGATGTCTTCCTGCCTTGAAAGGCACTGTGCAAATGTAAATTTGTTGTTGTACAAACATTGTGTACATAACCATGTACTATATCTACTTAGAACTGAATTCTTGTGGAATTAATTCTTGTGGAATTATCACTCTTGGATGCTTATATGGTGTATAAATGATATAACCAGGTTCATACAGACAAGAGCCACCATCTAATAACATGAGTGGATATGGGCAAGACCAGAGTAGCTATGGAGTGCCAACCAGCGTATCTGATACCCGAAGCAGAGGGGCACGTACAAGCTATGATCCAGGCAGCCGAGGAACTTCTACAGGAAGTAGTATCAATAGAGTTGACAGTCGTGGTACACGAGGTGCCATGGGGTAAGATAAACCTTTTTAAACATTGATTAATACCAGTAATAACTTTAAAGCAAAAGTTATCGATACAGGGCTGAAAGTGTTAATTTGTAAATGTAAGAAAAATAACCTTTCAGGTAAACCAGGTCAATTCTAATTTAAGCTTAAAGAATTTTACAGACGCTTGGCTTTGGATTTTGGGGAGCTGTTAAATGAGATTTCCCCGAACTCGTAAATTCGCTGCTCTTTATTTTAGTCCGATCGCTACTATTTTTAAAAAGGAGCCACATCATCGACCTATTTTCAAATCAACCGGCTACACAAAACATGGACGTGACTTTTAGCCCTGGTTCGATTTCTCCAGAGGCAATCGGTGCCCAGCCTCTGTGGAATCTTTTATTAGCTTTTATTTAATTGGACTATTTTCAGCCCTGTTAATTGCTGCAGGTAGAATGTTCAGACAGAATGACGGCTGTAATTCTTCAAATGATTTTTAAAATTTTGACGTAGCTGCCGAGAATCTGTAAAGTAATGGTTTGAAATTGATGAACTGGTAAGAGGTTGCGTGACACAGTAGAAAGCTGATTATCCCCTATTGTTTGGGGACTGGCCCCATTGTGGATAAGCAAACGGTGCAGATAATTGGTCATAATCACCCAAAACACAAATTGGCTTCAGTGCTAACTAACCCAATATCTGTTAAATCAGGAGTTAGCACTGTCATATTACCACACCGTGCCAGCCCTGGTTTATTTTTCTCTCCCTTTCTCCACTTAACTTTTGTTTTTGTTTTGTTTTTCTCTCTCGTCTATCTCTGTAACTTTCTCTATCTCTGATTTTCTCCCTCTGACTAATCTTATACTGCACAAAATCTTACCTTCACACTACTGGCAAGAAAAGTCTTCATTCTGCGCCTTTACAAATTTATGTTCATGGATGTGAGGTGACTAGACCTTCACAGAGCAGCTGAATTGCTAGTATCCTTACATGGAAACACAAGATTTTGTGCATGTACGCAGCTAGACTTTCTTGCTGGTGTGTTGCAATCTTTCATCCACTCTTGCATCAAAGCCCCATGCAGATGAGCGGCTTTCTACTGTAGGTCTAATTTTGATTGCTCTGAACATTTTACCTGTTGATAGTATTGTTTAAACCAAATGTGCCAGTTACTGCATTTAATCTAGTTAACGTTGAACATCATAGCATTGGTTACGTAAAATTGCTATCCACATAATTCAGACATTGCCTTTCCTGGGTGAAACCTTTAATCCTGGCCTTGTTTTTCAAGGGGCTAAATTATTATTATTTTCAACTAAAATTATTGTAGGTATTCACTTGGGTACGTTTTCATTGCATTTATCTGAGAACTGGGGTGTGTCTCAAATACAACACGAGAATTTATATTTAAGGGGAAGGCAGAATAATATTCTGCTTCCTATGATCAAAAGGAGAATGCAACTCTTTAAAACTGATAAATTCATAACCGTTTAGGATGGGAAATTGTGGAATTAAATCAAGTGAGGATAACGGGCGTTGTTTGTGCTTTATTTTTAATCTGCAAAAAATTTGGGTAAAGGACTCCTTGAACCCATTTTTCTCCTCTCTCCCATCTCCCCCCCCCCTCCCCCAATGATTTCCCTAGAAAAAACTGGCACATAGTATAGGATATAATAAAGGTTTCACTTCAAGATTTGGAAGTTAAATTGACTTTTTATATAAAAGAAATGGGGTTTCCATTTGCTAAGTTCTATAGTGTCCAACGTGTGTGGTAATGCAACAGGTACTCTTGACCTTATTTGAGCCTAAATGTCTACATTAAGTGGAGAATAAAACCATAATTTGAAATTAAACCTTTGTTCAGACACAAAGAAAAATTGTTTAATGCTGTTTTGTGTTTTTAATATGTACAGGCAATGGAAACCCTATAATGGATGCTTTTTTAAAAACTCAGTTGTATTTTACATACTAATGAACAAGGGAGCTGAAAGCATTATCGAGAGATGCGTTCTAGTAATAGGCAGGGTCAGTGGAAAAAAGAGCTGCGGCTTTGGATGTTTTTTACCCCTTTTTTTAAAAAAAATAATAGAACCCAGCTTTCAAAATGATACCTACCTTGCCAGTATCTCCCATCTTAAATGCTTCCGATTCAAAATGGTTGGTTCTGGCCCAGAGACCTATCAATCTGCAAGCTTGTCAAATGAGTGTTTTTGTTTTTCTATATTTTTTAAAAAAAAGTAGTTGCTCCACTGCCACTGAATTGCCCAGGCTAGGTTTTCTGGTGTCCTACAGGTGAATTTGATTGTGTGTTTGAGTGGTACTCTTAATAAGAATTTAATGTTTGCTCACTTGATGGTTTTAATGGGGGGAAATGCACCACCTGGTGCAGGTTTGAGCTGTACAGACCAGAAAGCAAATATGATGTGAATCTTTTGATCTCTGCCACGGTGGCGGTGGGACTTTTGCAACTGACTTGAGTGAATTGGGTTTTTTGTGGGAGAACGGAGAGAAAATGAGTTGGGTTTCTGCTCCTGATCTGTTCTCTTGACACTTGCTGGATATATGGGTATCAAATTGAAGGCAGGCTGAAAAATGTGGCCCAATAGCCTATGAAGGCTTGCTTTCCAATGGTTACAAAAACAAGTCCTCTGCCATCTATTAAGCCTTGCCTTAGAATAAGCCTTGCCTTTAAAAAGGAAGAGGATAGGAGAAAATATCTGGAGTGTTTCTGGTCTCATCATTGATACCTGATGTGTTGAATATATCTTGATGAGAGTGCTGAATGGGACTAAATCTGTTGCACATGGACATGCACGCACACACTCCCTCTTGTTTTCCACTGACTCTGGCGTCTAGATGCTACCTCGAGGTCACTAGCTTGGGTTTTGATCAAACGGGTCTGAGAGTAACTAGTGATCCTCAATTCAATGTAGTTTGGGGCACAGCAGAGAAGAGTGGTGACGTTTAGCCTAATTGCTCTGGTCACTTTTACTCTCGTGCCACCTCACACACAGAAATCCATCCCAGTTGTGAATCCTATTACTAGAAAAGCTATGTGGTTACTGTAAAAAAAGAAAACCACAACCCAACATTTAAAATCTGAGCAGGTAAGTATTACATGAATAAGGGTACACAAACGTTCACTCATGCTCTCCAGAACCCTTTATGGCTTATATTTCCACAATTCTGTTCATTATATACCGTTATAGTAACGGCACACGTGGGTCTGTCTATATCCTTCTCATTGGGGGAGCTTGGTGTTGTGTTCAGTAAACACTGGTTTGGTTAAATGCTGTTGATGGAAAATTGTCCATCAGAGAAACCAATTCTCTCTGGCTTATTAATGACTAAATACACTGCAAGTGTCTAAATCAAGTCAATGTGTAATATTGACAAGTTATAGGATTTAGGTATAAAAGTGGTTGAGATGCACTATTTTAAAATGGGCTGTGGAGGTCATTGCCGTCTCGTGATGTGCTACTGAGCTAAATAAAACACAAAAGCCTTGGGTTCGATCTGTTCTTTGTGCTGTTAGCCGGTCTACAATGGGGACAACAATCTGTGTCTGTCGCTGGATTAGGGAGGGGGAAAATGTTCAACCTATTCTCTGTGCTGAGTTAGCTGGTCTACAATGGGGCACTACTACTGCTTGTGAATCACAGGACTAGGGAGGGAAGAACTAACTAGGTGTCCTGATTCCTAACAGTGCCCCCGGCTAAAAAGTTTTTCTCCTGTGTGTGTGTTTGCCAATTGAAGGCTGGTTTGGGTTTGGCCTATCGTCCAGTAGCCTGTTAACCGTGGCTCACCACGTGAAGGTTACTCTGAAGAGGTATGAGGGTCGCTGGTACCCATGGAACCTCCATACGAGTCATTCCCTTTAGGAGAGGAATGGATATAATTGCGGGAGGAGGGGGGAGATCATATTGGTAGAAGCATGTGATCTGTGTTCTGGTTAGTGTATTGCTGTTCTCAACAGTGGTCACAATGGGATGAGTTGATGCCTCAAGTGATAACTTCAAGCTCTCGGGAATAATTTTGATTGCAAGCTTACAGCTGAACCAACTCTCTTACCTCGCAGCAGGTAACCCATGCCTGCTCCAGATCTCACAGGGTGATCCACCAAACTTTTTTTTGGTCCTAAACCAATTTTTTGTTGTATATTCTATATTGGTCCTAATGATTTTTTTTCCATATTCAATGGAGCCACCACACCTTTTTGACGAAAGCCACTGAGGGAAAAGCGGTTTGCAGTGATAATGCCGGGAAACCTCTGTTAATTTTTAATAAGGATTGAATTATTGGATGCTTAATTTCAATTGTGGAAACGACTTTCAGCCAGATGTGGAAATCCTCAGTTTGCACTACTTATTTTGTTAGGCGGAGGCTTCCTAACTCTTTTCCCCCCTCCCATTAAATTAGATTATTTCTCTCTGAATCATAATTCAACTATGAATGAACGGGAAGGCACTTGGTACATGGCTGACCCCTATCCTTGGGATATTCTGCTCTCCAAAGGCATTCATTTAGAAAGATGCAAGAGCAGCTTTTGTTTGCAAAACTCTGCGGGAAGGTTGTCCTGTACTGTCTCCCCACTGAGGTTGCAGCTAAGAGCAATAACTTGGCTATCTTGTTGGGAACTTAAATACTGTAATCAGCCAAACAAGCCAAACATAACCTTTCCCCAGTAAATTGATGGTGCAATATTCTGAATACCTGAAGAATATTTTGACCCTTAATAGCTTTTTGAATACATTTTTATCTCCCACTCAAAAAAAATGGACGTCTGTTTTCTCACAAGGATTGCAACTTTCAGAGAATGACTAACTGGGCTCTGAATGCTTTTAAAATGCATCACTGTATTTAAATGTGGGAAATAGTTTAAAGTAACTTACTGAAATGCAGTTTTTGGCAAAGAATTTAAAAGTAACTTAACAAACAAAATTGTTTGGGGACATGATAAATTTTTAACCTGGATTTGTTATTCGGATTATAACTCTTCTAACCTGGGGGGGGCAGGTTAATGCATTTGAAATAACTTGAACGGTTTGCCGTTTTGAAACTAGTTTGTCATTCTGTGGAAGAACTTTTAACTGTATAAGTGCCTGAGCAGTTACGATACTGCTTTCACTCCCTTGTCTGCAGGTGAGTATTAGAATGTAGTTTGATTAAATGCCGATACAGTATTTATTTTTTTACAAAATGCTTGACTATGGAAACTATGTTAACATGCTTTGTCGCATTTATATGCTACAGGTTACAAAGTGAGAGCCTTGTTTACACTTCAATACTTTAAACTATTTTGACTGAGCCGGCAGGATATTGAAAAAGTGGGACTAGACACGTTTTCTACCTGTGTATGGACAAAAAATATATGGTGTATGCAAGTGGAGTAATACATAAAAGCATGGTATTGTACTGTACACTTGTAATGTGGTAAACCAATGTAAATCTGGAATTTTTTTATATATATATACAGTAATGTTATTTACTTAGAAGTTAAAAACAGAGTAATGTAAACCCCTAGCATTAATGGTTATGTAACCGTTCTGTTATAAACTGCATGCTACCAGCTTTAGTTCTTGAGATCCTTGTTGACTGGCAATTCAAAACCGTGAAGGTACATATGGTTTTCGAGGGTGTGCGAAAGCTTTAGGAGACCTACTCTGAAGAAAGGCAAAACTCGCAGCTGAAAACTGGTGAAACTTCAGAGGGCCTTAGCCAGTGCTTTTAACGAGGCACAAGTTTCATCATTGAGCCTTAAGCTCGAGTGGTACTGGCTTAAGGGATACTTCATTTCTTCATATTTGTCCCTGCAGCGGTGGCGATCGGGGTGGCTTCAGTAAGCCTGGTGGTAAGTTTTTGAGTATTAAAATGGTTTAGTCGAATACATTTGTGTTTGCAGTCTGTGATTTGGGGCGGGGGAAAAAAATCTGTTAAAATTTTACTTATACAAATANTTTTTTTACTGGTGTCAAAGTGCCGGCATTAAAATGGGTTTGCGTTTATATAAAAAAAATGGGTTTCGAATTACCTGATCCTGGTGATGTGGATATGGATGTGTAAAGGGATAACCACTCAAGTGGCAAAGTGGTACTTTTCTTTTTAAAGGAGTTTTTTTAAAAAAAGTGGATGGGGAATTGTTTTTTTTTTAAAAAAGTAAGACTTACCAGATAATTGCTTATAAACTTCTCAAGTTGCATCATTGAGAATGGTTTCACACGATATGGTCTAGAATTAAAGTTAACCTCAGAGTTGACTTTTTTACGTTTACAGTGCATCTCAGTTTCAATGAATAACCGAAAAGGTGCTGGAATTTAGATCTAGATGTTTTTTTAAAAGGTAGCGGGGTCGTTCGAATGCAAAGTAACATGGTTGCTTTCTCTCCTCATGTCCTGTAGGACCCGTAGAAGAGACACCGGAGCCCGAACCAGGTAATGTGCTAGGTTACTAGGATAAGGTGCAGATTTATTATTTTACATAGATATCATGCAGAAACACCAAAGAGCTTTTTTTTCTCTGTCTCGTTAGTAAAATGTGCAGCTACTTTAAGAAATGGTCTCTTCCTCTTTTGTCCTCCAAGCATGGGTGTCAGGGAAATAGTCACATTGGAGGCACGAATAGCTCCTATCCTAGACTGTATGTATAAGTGGACCTCAGTTGTGTTGCGAATTTATTCGGTCCAAAGAAGAAAGTTGATGGGTAACTAACCTTGGTTTAGGGAGTCTCCGAATAGTGGAAGGTTCTGTTTTACTCCAAGCCTGTGTGTAATTTTTAATTCTGGTTCTATACATTGAGTTTTTCTGTGTTTTTAGTTGCAGTTGCTGAGCCCCCACCACCCCCACCTCCACAGGAAGACCTGGAGACTGACACCATTTATGTACAAGGCTTGGGTGAGAATATAACTCCCGAAAGGCTGTTGGACTTTTTCAAGCAGACTGGGTCTATAAAGGTTTGTTTCTGATGTAATGTACTATCGACTAGATATTGCATGTTTTTTTGTTGTTAATGAACCTTCTTAACTTGGTACCTGGGCCCTACCCAGATCAACAAGAGAACTGGACAGCCTATGATCAACATCTTCATTGATAAAGAGACTGGAAAACCCAAGGGTGAAGCCACTGTGTCTTACGATGACCCTCCTGCCGCCGAGGCAGCTCTGGAATGGTTTGATGGTAGGGCTTTCAACCATCTCCTGTAATCTCTCTCACCCCCACTCCCCCCACCGGAACAGTGTGACACCTTTCTCTCTGTTGTTTCATATCTTGTATTCTAATCTGCAGGCAAGGAGTTTGACAATAACCCGATCAAGGTGACCATGGCTAGAAAGAAGCAGCAGCAATCGCAGTCACAGAGCCAGCAACCACCACCGCTGACATTCAACAACATGCGGGGAGGGATGGCTCTCCGTGATGGCAGAAGTGGCCCAGGCCTCCCTGGGCGTGGAGGTGAGAATACTGCGTTTCGCCCACAAGTCATTCCACTTCACTATATATTCTGTGAAACGCTTTGAGATGTTTTAACGACAACTTACAGTAAAATATTATATTTGTTTAGCGTCTTTCGCGTTGGGAGAACGTCCCAAGGTGCTGGATTTATTTAGTGCCCCTCATGCAGAGTAGAGTCTCAGAACGACATAAGGCGCTATATCAAATGCAAGGATTATTATTATAACTGATCATATCCTGCAATTATTGGGTTTTTAAAAAACAGATAGCTACATTGAAACAACAGCAACTTGCATTTATCTAGCATGCCTCCTCATGCAGGGTAGTGTCCCAGAGTTGTCTTCAACGAGATCAGAGGGCTGGGCAATTACATTTTTAATCTTTCGTAATCCATTCTTATGGTCTGGTGTCTTAACCGTGGCTGTTGGATATAGAGAATTGTCTAACGTTACCCATCAGTTTACTAAATGGCACTCGTGTACTGTTTAACAATGCTCACATGTTAAGCACTGAATGAACGTATCCCAGTATTTGAAGTTACATGTGTGTTCTGTATTATGTTCTTCATTTCAGGGCCCATGGGACGTGGTGGCAGCGGAGGCAGTGGTGGTGGAGGCGGTGGGGGATTTGGTAGCCGAGGAGGTCCTCGTGGCCGCGGTGGACCTTCTGGAAACACACAGCAGAGAGCTGGCGACTGGCGGTGTCCTAACCCGTATGTGGACCGGTTTATATGAGCGGTGGGGGGGGGGTGGGAGGGTGCTGTTGCATCTTGAATTGTACTGCCAAAAAAAGGCTTCAGACTGACATCATCTTCTATCTTGTCTTCAGAGCCTGTGGGAACTCTAACTTTGCCTGGCGAACTGAGTGTAACCAGTGCAAAGCTCCCAAGCCGGACGGCCCTCTCCCACCACCCTTCCCTCCAGGTCAGTAAACTGGGTACCTGTTAATGCCCCGGCTCTGCCGTGCCATGAGCAAACATTCCATGCCGTTCCCCAATATCAATAGGTTGTATTTTAAGCCTGTGGGACAGACTTTGCAGCATTGTTCACACTTAACAAATTATTTTCCTGTCTTTACCATTGAACAAGATTGTGCCACGTAAATCTGCACAGTATTCTGTTGGCAGCTTCCTTTTGTTGCAACTTGGCTGCAAGCAGGAGGACTGAGTGTACATTGAGCTCCAGCTTCATGTGTGTTACTGTAACCTCAAAGTGCTTTTTAAATTCATCGGATTTTTTTAAGCAAGAATGAACTTGGACACTTAAAGTGCCTACGCCATCGCAACCTCAGGTGCTGTGCAGTCACTAGTTTGCATGTAATGACTTTTCTGCAGATAGCTTTGCTTCAACAAGTGTGTTTGAAAGTATTGATTCAGTATGCCGTGTAATTGAATAGNTTTTTTTAGGAGTGTTATCTAAACTTTTCTTGGAACATTTGCAGAGAATCTTAGTCACTCAATCCACAACTGTTTGTGGGACACTGCTGGGCACATTGGCTGCTACGTTTCACCCACAAAACATAGTCAATTCACTTTAGAGTAATAATAATCCTTGCATTTGATATAGCGCTTTTCACGTCGGGAGGACGTCCCAAAGCGCTTCACAGAACACACTGTAAAGTGAATTGACTGTATATTTGTGGGCGAACGCGGCAGCCGATTGCGCACAGCAATGTCCCACAAACAGTTGTAGATTGAAAATGACGAATTTATTATTGTTTTTGGTTTTGGAGGGATTATTATTAGGCTCTGTGTGGAGTAAGGAAACTTGCCCAAGGTTTCGCCCTCTGCCTGGAATTGAACTCAGGTCTCTCACTTGTAAAGCGAGTGCTCTAACCACTGAGCTACCGGACTCCACTTTGAGGCGTCTCGAAGACATAAGGCACTACAGCAAATGCAGGGATTATTATTTTATTATCTTTCAAGTTGCTGAATTGGCCTCCCTCTGTCTGTCTGATTGCCAGGTGACCGTGGCCGGCTGGGGCCCATGATGAGAGGCGGTCGAGGGATGGATCGCGGGGGATTCCGGGGGGGCCGGGGTGGAGACCGCGGTGGGTTCAGAGGAGGTCGCGGTGGTGATCGAGGTGGCTTCAGAGGTGGCAGAGGCATGCCTGGCATCCCCATGGGGGAGCTCATGAGCTTCAGAGGCGGGCGAGGTGGACCAGGAAAAATGGATAGGAAGTAAGTGAACAACCAGTCCTAAAATGGTGTGGCTTGTGGATTTATTCTTAAGTGTCATCCTCTTTCTTCGTAACCCCGTTTCCACTGACCAATGCTGGGTTACTGCACCACACCACAATTACTAGGCACTGCTCTACCTCACACACCCATCATTCTTCATGTATTGCTGCGCATGAGTATCTGCCATCTATTTGGCTTAGAGTATTGCAACTATGACTGCACATTTACACTTGGGGATAATTGGATCGAGAGCAAACTGACTGACTGTTCCTCTTCCCTGCCCTAGTTCAGGGTTAGGGTGCCAATTCAACACCCCCTCCCCCCCCCGCCCCCATCTGATATCATCCTAACTCTAGATACAAATTTGAGGTCTATTTCCCCCTCTGAGCTGATAAGATTCATGGTAGTCCTCACCTCTGTCTGTAGTGGTATCTGCTGTTCATGGGAGTTGTCCATGAAAAGGTGATTTGGTGTGATAGTGATTTGGGTGGAGATGCCGTAGTTTTCCATTGGACCCACATGGTCTTATCGAGTGAAATACTAACTGTCTCCATTCCCTTTTAGGGGCGACCGTCGCCAGGACCGTCGGGAGAGACCATATTGAAGTAGATGACGCCCGCCATCTGCTTTTCTGTTTACTACAACAAATATTTTTTAAAAATGTTTTAAATTTGTAATTCCGTATTTATAATGTTGTTTGCAACAACATTACGGCAATATTTCGGTATTGTATTAGTTTTTTTTTCAGTGGATATAGCCGAGTCAGGAAGTAAATTTCATGTTAGGGTGACTTTTTTTTTCTTTTTTGGCTTAATTTTGGTCAAAGTGAATGTAATGATGTGAATGAGATCCTGAAGAGCATGCGAAACAACACAAAAAATGTACAGTGCATAGCTTTTGTTCTGTTTATACTATGGTGATACTGCAATAAAAAGCTGAGTCGCTCTGTTTTAGTCTGGCTTCCTGGAGTTCTGCTAAACAAAAGTTAAGTAACTTGGCAGCAATGAGTCAAAACGCAGATTACTAAAGTTTCGGATAATGGCAGTGAACTGAGCTTCTGCAGCTTAATTAAAAAGTTCAACAGCTATTAACAAAAAAAAAAGTTGCACGCGTCGTTTTGCAAATTTTCATTGCGCAGTAATTGCTATAGGAAATCCAAAAGTATACACTGGATAATTCCCAACCTCGCCCTCCCCAACCCAACTTCTGTGATCTTACCAAATGACCCCCAACTTTGCATATTGGCTAGATTTTTGACCCCCCCCCCCCACCTTTCAAAATGATTTTAAAAAAATAGCTTCTGAATTGACTGATGCGTGATGCGATCAAATACTTACTTGCAATCTGAGGTGAGGTACCCAGATCTGTGACCATTTCAAGAATGCTTCAATAATCGTGGATTCATGCGATTGGGGAAAATATAATAGCATATTAGCCATATTAATTCTTCATACAATGCTGCTTTTCAGTGGTTAGGCTTGCTGACTCAGGTATTCTCTGTAAACTTTTACCTGTGAGACTAGCGATGGTGTTTGAGTTTGCTTTGACTCGAGTATATTGCTGTGCGGCATATTCTCTTTCTTTGTGTGTCTCTCACTCGTTTAACAAAATTGTGCTCCACTTATATTTTTTGGCTTTTTAAAAATTTCAGTTGTGCCGATTTTTTGTCTAGTTTCTTTTATCCAACGTATTAACCATCAGTAAATAGTGAGATTACAGACTGCTCACTTCTCGTTTTCTTTCAAAGGAAGGGGGAAACAAGTGATGTTTCCAGAGCTTTGATGTTACAAAAATTGAAATTAACTAAGATGATTCACTCTGATCAGAAAGAGTGCACATCAGCCAACTCACTTTTTTTGTTAAAAATATGAACTGAGAAACTGTTATTGGTAAACGTCCTTTTTTTGGAAGATTTGTAAAATTCTGAGCTTCGTAGGCACGTTGTTTAAATTCTCCTTTCAAAACAAGAACTTGTTGAATATTGTTTGAGAACCGCCTATGACTTTTACGGTTTAAACAACGCAAAAAGATTGCAGAATGTTGTATTATAAAAGTGATGTGCATTATGACTGAATAATGCTTTGGGCATATCGATAGCCTGGGTATAAAATATGGCGTTTTCCAAACCACACACACCATTAGAGTTCTGTATTGCTGTTATTTTTCTAAGTGATTAAAACTTGATTAATAAAGGTTTTCTTTATTGGCTGAGGGTGTGATTTTGGTTCAGTGTATTGGCGTGTGCGAGGCTACAAAATCAGCCATAGAGTGTATGTTTAGTCATGTAGGACAGGTATGAGTTTCCTTTGCATGCATTTCATCTGAATCTGTTTTTTGGTGCCTGAAACAGCTTGAGTTGGCATTATTCTGTATGTGATTTTTTTTCCTTCACTAAAACCATCAAGTTAGTCCAGTGTGAAAATTTAGACCGACGATGTAGTGTAGTTTAGCTTTTAACTGCCGTGTGTTCAACATATAGAGTTGAGATGGGCAGGGGAGAGAATTGACCCAGTGCTGGTAAGAAATATGGAGTCCACAATTAATAGCCCCGCAAGCGAGAGGACCCAGCGCGATTCCGGGCAGGGCAAAACCATAGACAAGTTTACTTACTCCACATGCCTCTTTACCTAGCAGTAAGTAGGAACCCGGTTGTTAGTTGATTGGTAGATTGCTTTCCAGGGCTGACAAACCTTACAAAAAAAAATAATAATGATTTGGCCACTCAACCCACAAGTTTGTGGGATACTGCTGTGTACAATTGGCTTTCACCCACAAAATGTAGTCTTGAGACGATGTGATCTGGTATGTCAAATGAAAATTATTGATTTTTTTTCCCCCCAGTGTAGTGTAAGCTATAAGTCATGTTCTTCTCGCATTCAACTTGAATATTGGCTGATTGCACAGCAACATGTACTTTTTGTCCTGTTTTGGGGGAAAAGTTAATCAGGTGCCAGTTTTTCTGAAGGCCGCTGTCGATGTTTTCTAAGCCATTTGTGCTTTTCTTTTTCTACATCTTGTGCCTGGGATAGATTGGTACATGTCAACTCATCATTTGGCCGGTGGAACAAAAATACAGCCAGAAACCACAAAGCTTTAAGCATCAGTTGCCTATTTACTGTTTCCACCAACTCACTGTCTCGTAGAGACAGAGCTCTCTTAAGACACATGGTTGCTTATTAACTGGCTGTTATGGAGCTTTTTCTAGGTCACTGAATATGTCCCAGCAGGTCTTTGCTCTTATGCAAACAAGGGGAAATATTGTACAATCAAAAGCTCTGGGTCTGCACTGACTGAAATGGGTCATTCTTTAAGGTTTCCCTTCCAAACTACTTGTGTATATATTTGGGTGAATGAAATCTTACCCATTACAAACGTCTTTCAGGACTTCGATCTGTTTTTGGAATTCTCTCCATACAATCCCTCTGCCTTTGTCCCATCCTTCCCCTCTTTTAGATCATGATGGAAGACCTTCATCTTCGACCGAGATTACGGTCACCACATCCCTCCCGCTGACTCGGGGGGTATTTGCCAGCAAAAATAGTCACTGCACTTGTTAAGTGTTGTCTGAAGTGCTTCAAGGCAGCATTAGACACAATAATGATGCTTGCATTTGATACAGTGCCTTCTCAAAGCGGTTCACAGAATATATTGTAAAGTGTAGTGACTATATTTTGTGGGTGAAACATGCAGTTTGCCAAGTGCAGTGCTAAACTCCCCAAGTTCGAGTTGGACAATCTAGTGGGAATTTCATCAGCCAGTGAAGTATTCAGCAGCTGGACACAATGATGTACAAAGAGACTGTTCTTTTGAGGTTTCTGGCAATTGTGCACAAGATCTGGGAATGATAAATAAGTTACAAAGCTGGAAGCATTCCCCCTTTCCACTAGAATACTTGGAAGTACAGTATTGGATTTTGAATCTTCACAGCTTGGTAGTTATAGTTATTTTTAACCGGGTCGTGTTACTGCTGCGGATATATTCTTACAGAGACCAGATACACTGAGCAGAAATCGAAGCCTCCTGATCAATTCCTCCTCGAGTCTTAATTTGCTTTACAGACCAGAAGCATTACTCAGCATTGCGCCACCAGACAGCACAGTCAGCCAGTCAGTCCAAGCATGTTTTATGACTGCAGCAGGGAATTGGAATTATAGTACACCAGGACAGCACTAGATGGAGCAATTGCCCTCAAATCCTCCAGTGTTGAAACCTTTTGCAACATGGATTTGAAATGCAATATTTATTCCTCAAGAGAAGCACAATATATTGATCAATAGTGGACCCCTCTCGTGCATTTGAGAGAAATACAGCGCTTAGTCTTTGTCAATATTCTTTCAAATAAGCTGACTGTATTAACAATATTCTCTCCACACGGTTCACCTCCTGTACACCGACCTTGTAAGTCAATTTATTTCAAAAGATAATCTCTAAACTTTGGTTTCACATAGAAGAAAATAATGAGTGAATTATTTATTATTACGAGGGTCAAACAATTGACCTAATGAATGGAGAGGGTGGAGGAACTGAGCCAACTTTCACTGCAACAGAAAAGCTTGAGGTCTTTAAACTGAGAGAAGGGTTTTGATGAGTCGATAGGGAGAAATTATTTCCACTGGTGGGTGAGTCTGACTGGAGGACATCAATTTAAAAGAAGGCAAGTAAATGGGACAGAATGGCTTGCTCTTCAAATCTGCAATCAACAACATGGATTGGAAGCATAGCAAATTATAGTAATCTCTATAAATGAAGAAAAATCAAACAAAGGTTAATTAATGCGATGGAAGCTTTGTAATAATAATTCTTGCGTTTGAGGTAGTGCCTTATCATGTCATTGAAATGTCTCAAAGTGCTTTACAGAATATACTGTGAAGTGAATTGACTGTGTATTTTGTGGGTGAAATGCGGCAGCCAATTGCGCACAGCAGTGTCCCACAAACAGTCGTGGATTGAGTGACCAAATTATTTTTTTTGAAAGGATTATTACCCCCAGAAAGTGATCCCCCCCCCAATCAACTAATAACCGGGTTCCTACTTAATGCTAAACAGAGGAGTGTGGAGGAAGCAAACGTTGGCTGAACACCAGGATCTGGGGGGGGGGGGGGTTAAAAATTGTAGTGGTTTGTTAACCCATCCCTTGTGCTAATTTGGTAATTGCCTCTTTGCACAGAATGTAGTGTTCCTTAGTCACAAGCGGTACATTTCAAGTTGCAAAAAATAATAAATGTAATGTGATCTTTCCACCATGTTTTATTTACAGAGTTAGTAAGCTTTTTCACCCTGAGAGTTGGCAATTTATTAACACCATCCACCACCGTCTGTGGGACACTGCTATGCGCAATTGGCTGCCGCGTTTCATTCACGCTCAATCCACTTCACACCGTATCCTGTGAAGCTCTTTGAGACGTCTCAATGATGTTATAAGGCTCTATATCAAATGCAAGGATTATTATTATTATTAGCTGTTTGGCATTAAAACAACTCTGCAAAAGGCGGGCAATAAATGTTCCCAAAGGCTGCAAGTTGATGAGTTAATGAGAGCTGTTTTGCTCCCATCCCAGGGGCTACGAATGAGGTAATGGAGCTTTGAATTCAAGCAAAAAAAAAAATTCCAATTCATTGTGTCATTTGCACAAACCCAGTCCAGTCATTACATCATTCCCCAACTAGAGCCAAGACACGTCTGGCTTTGCCTTGTAAATTCACAAGTGTTTTGTGGTATTTACATGAAATCCACCAACAATAATTCCAAAAGAAACCCTTTGGAAAGAAGAGGAGGAGAGGTGGTGGTGGGCTGTGGGGGAGGAGGTTGTTTTATTCTATTCTTTTTTTTTAAGTTGAGTTAATTTTCCTGGTGTTTTATGAAATGAAATAGATCAGTTTCTCTCTCTCTCTCTCTCTCTCTTTCTCTTCTTCACACCCACTCAAAAAGTAGAAGGGGGAATATTTTTTTTCTCTATATATATATAGAAAAAAACAGGCAAATTGCAAGGGAAAGGGAAAGGGAAGGGTGTTGTCATGGTGTTAGCCTAACTCACAGCAAACTTAGTTGGGCAGGACAGAAACTGATCTAATTAAAGCAAGTTCTGTCTCATCAGAAGGAGGTAGGAACTGCCATCAGATAAGCAGCTGTTTGGGCGTGTTTGCAATCCAGAGACGTAGGCAATTCATTCCAACCCCTTTCTCTCTCCCTTTTTTTCTCTCTTTCTCTCTCTCTCCCTCTCTCTCTGACCAAAGAAAAACCAACCCATTTGAGTCCCTGATGCGTTGCAGATGAGACAGCACTGGGCAGTGTTTTGATTTGGCAGAGAAGTGCACTCCCATCACTGCGGTAAAAAAAAAGGTTATTTTCTCTCTCCTCTTTCCCTCTCTTTCTCTTTCTCTTCTTCCTTCCTTCCTTCTCCCTCCTTCCTTCTCCTCTCCCAATCCCAGGACAGCCCCCCCCCCCCCCCAAAAAAAAAGAAGTTAAGAGGGACCAACAAGAAGATTTGAAAAGAAGAAAGAGGAGAGATGGAATTTGGCTGATGAATTCTTTAGGGAAGAGACGAGGAGAGAGAGAAATAGAAGAGAGATAGAGAGAGAGAGAGAGAGATAAGAAACTTATCTGCAATTGACAAGGAAGAGAGAGAGAGAGAGAAATAGGGAAGCGACAGAGATTGAGGAAGAGAGCCACAGAGAGAATAAGAAACAGCAATCAATAAGAAACTGATTGCTTTAGGGAACAGACCAGGAGAGAGAGAGAGAGAGAGACCAAGGTCAGCAGAGAAGGAGAGAAATAAACTTACCTGAAATCGACAAAGGAGAGGAAGGAAAGGGAAAAAAGGGGGAATTGGTTGGTTAGGAGATGGCGGATCAAACTAATATCCAGTCCGCTGCCAGCAAAAGCATTCGACCCTTCAAGTCGAGCGAGGAATATTTATATGCCATGAAGGAGGATTTGGCTGAATGGCTAAACACCTTGTATGATCTGGACATCCATGTGGACCTGTTCATGGACAAGTTGGAGACGGGGTACGCGCTGTGCAGACACGCCAACAACCTCAACCTCATGGCTGGCCAGTTTGAGGCCAGGAACCCGGAGTTGGCCAGCAAGGTGCAGATCCCCAGGGGAGAGGTGATCTTTACCTCCAAGAACGTCTCCCCAGGCTCCTTCGTGGCCAGGGACAACGTGTCCAACTTCATCAGCTGGTGTCGCGGCCACTTGGGCATCAGGGACGCTCTAATGTTCGAGACCAACGACCTGGTCCAGCGCAGGAATGAGAAGAATGTGGTCCTCTGTCTCCTCGAGGTGGCCAGGAGAGGCTCCAAGTTCGGCATGTTGGCCCCCACCCTCATCCAGATGGAGGAGGAGATCGAGGAGGAGATGATGAGGGCATCCGAGGCTGGACAGCCCCCCGGGCACTCCAGGAAGCCTAGCGCTGGCCCCAACACAGGCACCAGCACCCATTCCCACCCCCACACCATGAGTTGGGGGGAAGGGGCTCTCCAAGAACCTACAGCCCAGAGGAGGTTGTGCGATTTCAAGAACCTGGACGCAATGGTGAGTGCTGCCCACTCTAACCACCCACCCTCCCCTTTGATCCCCCCACCTCCCCATCTTAACTTACAATGTGTTAATACCCAGAAGTACAGACAATATAATACACATGTTGTTATATATTTCGCCTAACAGCAAGTACGAATCTGGTTGTTAGTTGATCGGGGGATCGCTTTCTGCGAGTAATAATAGGTTCCCCCCACCCACACCCCCCAATAATAATAATAGCTTGATCCCTCAGTCCACGACTGTTTGCGGGACACTGCTGTGCACAATTGGCTGCCGCATTCTGCCCACAAAATACACAGCCAGTTCACTTCGCAGTAAATTTTGTGAAGCGCTTTGTGACGTCTCAAGGCGCCGTATCAAACGCATGGATTATCAGATAATGTTGAACCCGCTTTGGGCCTTTGAACTGAAACAGGCAGCGGGATATGCAGTATAGCTCTGGAAATTCTCTTTAAAAAGTCCCAGAGAGTTTTATTTTAAGTAAAAAAAAAACCAAAGTGGAAGTGCTCCTGAGGTCAGCCAGAGCCCAGAGACTGTAGGAGACTTTTCAGAACGTGACACACAGCAAACTCCCCCACCCCCCTTGCCCCCCCATGCTTGCCTGTTCATTAACACTCCCAGAAGGGGTGTTTAATTTTTCCTCCCCGCCACGCCGCACACCACTGTCTTCCTCAAAAAAAACTCTTAACAAGAAGCAGTTTCAATCAAGTAACATCACAATCAAATTCCCCTTTTTAAAAAAACCTTTAAACACCTATATATGGACATGTGTGTGTGTATATGTGTGCGTGTGTGTGTATATATATATATATAGATATGCATATTAATTGGAGTTGAGGAACAGATCAGCCATGATCTAATAGAATGGAGGAACAGCTTCGAGGGGCTGAATGGCCTCCTCCTATGTTCCTATTGAACCAATTGATTGTGATTGGTTTTAAAGGCCGGCGAAATCAACAAGGGATGTGGGCCAACGGCTGCCAGTGAGACAACAGCTTTGAGCAAGAAACACCCACTTATTTTTTTTGCAAGGTTTTGACATGTTCTAACATTGGCAGCTATTTCTTTTGATCCTCCTTCCACTCCCCTCCCCCAAATCAAGGGATTTTCCCCAAATCTCTCGAACACCTCCATCCCAGGGCTCCACCGCCTCACGCCCTCTCTTGCCTCCTTCAAGGCTCATCTCGAGACCTTCCTCGTTGACCGCTCCTTCAGCCACTCTCCCACTTCAATGCCCCCTGCCCTCCGCCCCTTTTGATTCCAAACCCCGGCTCAGGTGTAAACCCCTCACTGTCCAGCACTTTGAGACATTCTCCCTGCAATATATTGTTATTGCTTGTTGAATTTGTTGTACATCCCACCCCCACCCATCCCTATCTGCCTTCAAAATCNTTTTTTATAAAGGAACTACCTCAGCAACCACACCAGTTCCCTTCTCCTCTCTCCCCCCACCCCCCCCTTACTCCCTCAGAGTTTGACCCCCATCACTGTGAAGAGCATGGAATAAAATACAAGTTGTTGTTGATGTCCCATTAGAGGCAGCTGCAGTAATCTAGTCACCTTGATGCGGTGACTGGCACATAAGGGGGTTACAAAAATTTACAATGTTCTCTCTCAGGCGATCGGTTCTCACTCTGAGGTCCGGGGGGTGTTGCGGGGGGGGGAGGGGGGGGGGGGGGGGTCGTGTCCAAAACAAAACCCTCACAAGAGAAGTTTTGAATCACTCTGTGTTATTTTGCTGTCAGCATCACTGGTCGACTGACTCCCTTTCCTTGCCAGGAGCATTTGACATGCAGCCAATAAGGCTTTCTTGCTGGTCTCACTGATCAATCAAACCTGGAGAGATGTTGGAAATGGCCTTTTATTAGTGTGCCCAGTGCTTTGTTTGCTAAATTGGAAGCTTCACTTGACAGTAATGTGACTACGTTAGCAATTTAGCAGGTGGGTGTTTGGCTTTGAAGACAGAGGAAGGGAGGGTGCGTGTGAGTTGAAGAGGAACCAGGGATTCAGGTCATGTTAACCCCTCAAGTGAAAGCTCCAAAGGACAAGCTGGACAACCAGCAGGAAGCTTGTCGGACAACCCTTTCACGTTACAAACGAGAGGACCCAGGTTCGATTCCCAGGCAGGGCGAAACCTTTGCCAAATTTCCTTACTCCACACTAGCTAATAAGTAGGAACCTGATTGTTAGTCAATTAATGGATCAGTAATAAAAATAAATTTGGTCCCTGTTTGTGAGACACTGCTGTGCGTAATTGGCTGCCACATTTCAACCATAAAATACACAGTCACTCCACTTCACAGTATATTCTGTGAAATGCTTTGAGACATCTCGATGACGTGATAAGGCGCTATATCAAATACCAGGATTATTCCTATTATCAGTGGAAGTTTTCATCCAAATGGATATCAAATTGCAGCTTGAATTCACTCAATGCAGTCTATCTCGCTCGCTGTCTGTTCCACACATCGACCACAGTCTGCTTAACGTAATTAAATCTGGACAGTGCCCTCACCTTGCCCCTAATGTGCTTGCTGAGGTCTATGTTTAAGATGGATTCCACAAAGCTTGGGGGCGTCTACGGCCGTCAGTCTGAACCTCTCTACTGGCTGGTCACAGGACAGTTGCTGTCTGCAAATTGGCATCTGTGATCGCCTACAAAATCCACAGTCACTGTGGCTGATAGCGAGCAGCTGGGAAGCGCTTTAAGAGAACTTGGTGTTAGAGATGAGATGATAACAACAACAACAACAAGATTCCATTTATAAAGCGCCTTTCACGTCAGGAGGACGTCCCATAAAGCCTCATTCTTGACTTCAAAGCCCTCCCAATGCCTTGCTGATCCCTTCCTCTGTGACCTGCTAACTCCATACAGATCTGTCCGCTCCCTCCACTCAGCAGAGGAGTAGACAGGTCTCCGGCCTGCTCCCAAGTCTTCCAACCGGCCCACCCCACCATCGGTGGTCAGGCCTTCAGCCTCTCTGCCCCCACCCTTTGGAACTCCAGTCCCTTTGCCTCGCCTCCTCCCTTGCCTCCTTCAAGACCCGTCTCAAGATCCTTCCCTTCGACCACGGCTTCGGTCAACCTCCTACCCCTGCCTTACACCCCTCCTGATCCCAACCTCCAGCTCGGGTCCAAATCCTTGACCATCCAGTGCCTTGGGGCTTCCTCTAATGTGAAAGGCGATATACAAATGAAATTTGTTGTTGTTGTTACCTATGCATTTCACATTCAGAAAGAACAGAGATGTGGATCTGAAGCTCACTACCTTTCGCGATTGACGTGAATCGGGAGGGGTGCCGTTGAGACACCTGCGAGTTTGGCAGTTTACTGACCTCTTTCTGTCTCTTCTCTTTCCTCCTCTCACCCCTCCCAACCCCCCCCCCTCCTTCCCCCCAACAAACACACACACAGGTCCGGGAGATCCTTGGCTATTGCTCCTGCCCGTCGCAGTTCCCTATGACCAAAGTCTCTGAGGGTAAATATAAAGTGGGCGAGACCAGCGCTTTGATCTTCATCAGAGTAAGGGCCATGTGCTGTTTCCATTTTCATTCTTTCCGCGTGTTGACTTGGTTATCAGACCGGGAAGCCCGGCCTCGGCGTGTGGTGTTTATGTTATTTTTCATTTATCAATTCAATCCTAAACAGAAACAAAGGTGTTGAATTGTTCAGAAAGTGATAAGTGAGTGTGTGTGTGTATGTGTGTGTGTGTGTGTATATACGTGAGAGAGGGATGTGAATCAAAGCTGAGCACTTTATATGTCAACTTGTGACTCAGGCGCTAACATTTTTACCTCTGACTCAGAAGGCTGTGAGATTAAGACTCCGCATTGTGACTTTGAGCTCAGAACCCATGCTGATTCCAGTACATTGCTGGGTGGGGGGGGATCAGATGAGACATTAAACAGAGGTCTTATCTGTGCCTAGTCCTGTTCAGGTGGGTGTTAAAGACCCCGTGTGGAGCCAGTAGAAAAGAGAAAGGAGTTTCTCTCTCCTGGTGTGTCCTAGCTGACAATCCCCCAGATAAAATTGATCATTGGCTTTATGGCTTTTCATGGGAAATTAACTATGTGTAAACTGGCTACGGCGCTTTACAGTAAGCCCTATGAAGAGCTTTGAAAGGCCCTCCAGATGCGAAAGAGGCAATGTCACACAAGGATTATTAATATAATTAATAGGTTAAAGGTTTATTTGTGAAGTCGGGTTTGGTGTTAAGAATCGGTGTTGGGTGTTGCTCTCAGGTGCTGAGAAACCATGTGATGGTGCGAGTGGGGGGTGGCTGGGACACACTGGAACATTACCTGGACAAGCACGATCCCTGTCGCTGCGCCTCGTTTGGTAAGTCAACAACAACAATTGTACAACGTCCTTCATGTTGGGGGGCAGGGGGGAGCATTGCCCTTAGGAGTCCCGTAGTTTAGAGGTTAGAGCATTTGCCTCGCAAGCGAGAGGACCCAGATTTGATTCCCGGGTGGCTCGAAATCTTAGATGAGTTTCCTCACTTCCCACACTCCTCTGTTTACCCAGCAGTAAATAGGAACCCACTTGTTAGTCGATTGGTGGATCGCTTTCCGGGGGTAATAATCCCTTCAAAAAAAATCGTTGTGCGCAATTGGCTGCTACGTTTCGCCCATAAAATACACAGTCACTCCACTTTACAGTATGTCCTGTGAAGCGCTTTGAGACGCCTCAATTACATGATCAGGGGCTATATCAAATTCAAGGATTATTATTATTATTGTGATCCACAAGGGCCCTGAATGTCCATCCTGTTATGGTGGTACAATCCCCAGCTGATGGGCCAGCCTCGCCTCGCCTTTTCCAGTGACTAATCTGCCGTTGCGGTATTTTGTTTGTTCACAGCTCATCGCCTGGTGCCGGGGAAGGTGAGCGGTTCCAGGACCCCGCGAGAGTTGCTGGGGGCCGGGGGGCACGGGTCGAGGTCGTCGAGCCCGGCTCCTTACCGTCACTCCGAGGGGAACGTCAGCCTGAAGCCACCAGAGAGCGCGAGGCTGACGGAGAAACGCGGCTCCTTGGTGTCGGACAACAGGGCCGAGGGCTGCGGGGGCCGGGGAGGTGAGCGTTCCTACAGCCCTTCTAACGGTGGCGTCAGAGCGGAGTGGACACGAGGGACCCCCTCGGCCAACCCCGCTTTCAGGCCAGAGTCCCCCGACAACGGCAGTCGTTCCACCCGATCGCCGACTCCATCTCATCCGGGAAGAGCGTCTGTCCCACGCCGGCCGCAGGACAAGACCCATGGCAGGTAACTATCGCCCGACCTGGGCGCGGTAATGAAGTGCTCAGTCAGACCTGCTGTTCTGTGGCCGTGTTTGCTCCTCCACGAAGCTTCAAACCTAATCTCATCTCCTGCTCTGCCCTCCCTCGGTTCCCTGCGCGTCTGTCGACCCAATGCCACGTTTCGGCCACAAAATACATAGTCACTCCACTATGAAACACTTTGAGATTGAGATGTCTCAACGACGTGATAAGGCGCTGTATCGAATGCAAGGATTTTTATTATTATTAGAAGGAAACGTGGCATTCACCCCCCACCACCACAGTTTATAATATCCCACTCCCCACCCCACCAGACTGAGCATTTGAGCTGTCTGCGTTAGCCGTTTAATGAAGTATCTACTCTGTTATTAATGAGCTGTCAAATTGACCCTTTGCTGTGGATAGACTGGAAGAACATTGTCCCATTGCACAATCCTCTCTCTGTCAGGCTACGTGCTGAGTCTCTCTCCTCATCCGAACCCATATCAGCCACGTGGCTTATCTCGTGCTTAGAAGATAACTGAGGCAATGAGTGTTTTTATAATAATGATAATCCTCGCATTTATCACTTCTTCGAGATGTCTCAAAGCGCTTCAGAGAATACACTGTAAAGTGAATATTTTGTGGGCAAAACTATGCTAGAATTGTATTTTTTTTAATTGACTGCGATAGAATTTTGTCGGCCACACAAACGGGGACAATCCTCTATAATATTTTGTTCTTGTTGCCAATTGTCACTAAAGACGAACGATGCAATGGGTTTCCGCGTGCGGCTGATCAAAAATATGTCTAATAATGATAATAATCCTTGCATTTGACATAGAACTTTATCGCGTTGTTGAGACGTCGCAAAGCGCTTTGCGGAATATACTGTAAAGTGAGTGAATTGGGGTCACTTTAAGACAGTGGCCCGCAGGCTAAGAGCGTGTGGAATTACAGGGCCCGAGCGTGCCGAGACACTGGGTAAGCGTTCAGGGCTTTGATCCTCTTCATTACATTAATATATTAGGACAACAGCATGACGTGCTCGCTCATTCTGGCGTGATCCAAAGAGGCTGATAAGCTGTCGCTTTGCGTCAGGCAGAATCCTTCCTGAGCTGCAAGTCTTCACAAGAGTCGGATTACTCTTCAGGGGTTATTCAGTCTGGATGGAAATATCTCTCTGCTGCTGACTGAATGAATGGGGGTTTAACCCTTGCGTTCCTTTAAAAAGAAGCGTCCTTCTTCCCCTCTCCATCACTGTGTTTCCCCTCTGCTCCAGAGAGTGACATTCCTTCCCTCACCCACCCCGCTGTGAAATAGCTCTGTGGTGAAGTAGTCTAAATCACTGGTTCTGTTCTGCCCACTCAGCGTTGACCTATGCGTTGCCCATTGTGTGCTGACTTGTCTGTAATGGGCCCAAGGCCATGGTTTGAGAACTTGCCTACACTTAGCTCCTCGTCAATGCTGCGCATTCAGCTCCAGCCAGCCTGCTAAACAAACGGAGTTGTTTGGACGTGGCGTTACCAGTAAATCAGCTCGAATTGACGGCATTCATTGCCGGGCCCGATGCGAGAGTGTGAAACGCAACGAGCCTGACCTCAGTGCTGAGAATCACTTGCTTTTCAAAGTAGCATTGTGGTCCAGCCCTGACCAATAAAATGTCCTGGGTGTGAATGGGACGCGGACCAGGCTCAATTGGTAGCACTCTCGTGTCCTAGGCTGAATGTTGACACGCACCCACTCTCACTTCCCCGGCCCACCCCACTGGGGAAAAAATAATTTGGTCCCTCAATCCACGATTGTTTGTGGGGACACTGCTGTAGACAATTGGCTGCTGCGTTTTGCCCACAAACTAACAGTCAATCCACTTTGTAGTATATTCTGTGAAGCGCTTTGAGATATCTCAATGACGTAATAAGGCGCTACATCAAATGCAAGGATTATCATATCATAATAGTAACCCGAGGGAAATTGGTAGTGGATTCCATTTGCGCAGGCAGCTGGCTTTTTGTCTGTCTCGTGTTCCCCATTCCTTGTACTGCAAAAGACACAAGGGACAGTGACTCCCCTCCTTCCCCCCCCCACCCCCACCCATCCCCCCTGCCACCCACCCATCCCTAAACCGTGCCTGGGAATCAAGACAGTCAGTCCTCCCAACTAATGTTTAATTGAACTCTCGCGGTGCAAGGTTCAAACGCTCCGAACGGGAGTCTGCGCGAGACGATAGGGCAATTCACAAAGGTCTCATTGTGTCAGAAAGATGGCACGTGATAGTGGAGTGAGAGAGAGGCAGTCAGTGACAATTAGCGGAGACGGAGGTCGGAGCGTAGAGGTCAACAGCAGCGTTAACCCATTTACAGTCTATTCAACCAGATAAGGACGTTTTGTCCCTCGGATAAGGAGTTAACCCAAGGTCCCATCTGTGCCTGTTCCTGTGGATGTTGAAGATCTCCGCGGCACCTTTGAAGAGGATTCTCTTTACCCCCCCTCCCCTGCTAAATCAATCATTCACTTTGTGGCTATTTATGGCCTTTGCAAATTGGCTAACCCCATACACACCCCTTCAAGCCGCTATCCCTCATGTACTCATTATCTTTCCTCTCGTAACCCACAATGGACCTCCGGTTTCTCTCTCCCGGTGTCCTGTCCAACAATCCGCCAAATAAAATGGGTCGCTCACTCCAACGAAGAGGTTTGCGATGTCTCTACGGTGATCAGGTACTGTATCAAATGCAAGGATTATTGTTATTATTGATTAAAAGTTCACTTCCCTGTGGGTTTCAGACGGAGGGAGCCGGTGGGTGAGAGCCAAGCCGGGAGAAGAGAGAAGCCTCCCGTGTCTGCCCTGGGCTGGACGAAGCCCCGAGGGGAGCCGGCTGGTAACTCTAGGTCCAGACTCGAGGACCAGGCGAGGAGGCAGAAGAGCGAGTCGTCCGAACGGGGCTCGTCTCCGAAGCAGAGGCCGAGGGTGGCGGCCACTGGCGGGCGGCTGAGCAAAGGCAAAGCGGGGAGCGGTGTGGCCGTGCTGGTGATCAACCGCGGCAAGGAGGGCCGGCATTCCTGGGCTCGGGCCGGCGAGGGCGAGGAGGGGAGAGCGCAAGTGGACAAGCGGGTGACTCGAGGCAAGTCGCCAACACGACCACCGACAACAACAACCACCACAACAACAACAAATTGCGTTTATACGGCGCATTTCACATCAGGAGGCCGTCCCAGGCCACTGGAGGCTTTGGGCCAGAACCGCTCGACCACACAGCGAGCGAGAGGCCAGAGGACCCCCGCGGGTGGCCAGTCTGTGTCCAGCCGGTCACCTTGGGTAAATCAGAACGTTTCGGACGGGGGGCAGTTGATGGGGAGAACGGACTTGGCTTGGGCTACTGCCAGGACCCAGAGTTGGAGCCAGACATGGAGCGGGAGAACGGGGTCAGCTGCCGCCCTCTGGCCGATGCAGGGGAAGCGGAGGATGCCTCGGGCTCGTGCCAGGACCCGGAGTCAGAGCCAGATACTGAGCGGGAGCGGGAGCTTTACCGCAGCTTCGAGGAGGAGTTTCTGGCCAACACCAGGCGGGCGCTATTCGAGGGGGACGGCGAGGCCGAGGCAGAGGGCGCGGTGCAGGAGGGAGGCCTTCAGGTGGACGAGGCCCTGAAGACAGTAGAGAGCATCTCAGAGCCTCTGTTGCCGAGTCCCGTGGCGGAGAAACGTGCCTACAGTGTCGTGCCTGAGCAACGAGGAGCCAGAGACACAGTTGTGACGGAGGACGAAGAGGAGCTTGTGGGATACGAGGATAGCGTAGAGTCAACGGTGGAAACATCCAGCGAGTCGTCCTTCAACATCCGCTTCCCGGTCTCCCCAGGGCCCCATCGGACTCCCACCGTCGTTATGAGGCCCAAGAAATCACTAAGGAAACCCGACCGAGTGCCATCCATTTACAAACTCAAACTGAGGCCCAAGATCAGGCCCAGGACGGACAACCGGCCCGAAAGGAGGCCCTCCAAGATACCCACCCCCGCTAGTGTCGGCCTGAAGATCCCAAGGCCCCCCCAGGAGGAGGAGGAGGAGTGAGTGAGGCCATTCAACATCTGAGCTCATCCCAACCTGGAAAGGATCTGGTGTCTTCATCCCACCTCTGGGGGTAGGAGAAGTCAGTCTGTGGGTATTGAGTTATGGCAGAAATTATAATACGTTTGTAGCTCAAAATCGACCAAATATTAGCCTGACACAGTAGGTAGCACTCCAGCCTCTGAGTTCCATGAGGTTGTGGTTTCAAGCCCCCACCACGTTGGTGGGGTAAGTTTGCAAGTTTTAAGTTCAACCCCCCGCCACTTCAGGACTCGGAATCACACAGTCTAAGCTGACATTTCAATACAGTGCTGGGGGGGCCTCGCATTATCCGAGGGGCCGTCCTTCTGTTCAGACGTTAAACCGAGCAGTTTCCCCATTCAGGTGGATGTTAAAAAAGTCTCCCGTGGCAACGCTATTCGAAAAGAAAAGGGAGTTTCTCTGTCTCTCTCTCCCGGTGTCCTGGCAGACAAACCCCCAAATCAAATCAGTCGCTCACTCAAGGGCGAACTTGATTGTGACGTTGCATTGCAAGCAGTCACCTTGGAGCCAGCTCAGCTCCAGGGAGACCATGCTTACTCCCCCCTCACCTCGGCCCCCCCCCTCCCTCCTTCCCTCCCTCCCTACAAGGAAACAAATAGAAACGCAAGAACCCCCATGAACACTAAGACATCGTACCGATTTAACATAGGAAACACTAAGTCTAGCTGCAGAACTTCAATGCGCGATTTGCACATCGGTAAGACCTGAAGCGTTATGAACCCGGTATCTATTTCATTAGGTCGTACACTGGCTTATTTATTACCTGACATCTTGCAAAAGTGGTGCTGTGTGACTTCATGCTGCTAAACGGGAGACTGCTTTTTTAGTGGGGGGGTTAACAGGTTTGTGCGTGCTGTTTGTTAATGTGTAATCTCTTAACCCGTGGAATGTTCTCTCATCGGCTGTAAGTTAGCAATTTGAGCAAGATGTTGCCCTGAACACGGGGCGATCAGTACTTTAGGCTGAGCCAAGACAGCAGGACAAGAGGGCATGGGTTTGCAAGCAAAGGTGGTAAATTTCGGGACAGATTTCTCAGGAAGTTTTTGTTCACCCAGAGGAGAATTAACGACAGGAACAGGGAGCTCGATGCTGCGATGGGAGGACGGGTTTTCTGCAGGACTGAGATCAAAGGTTCTCCTCACTCAGTGACTCTGCCCAGTGCTCCTCTGACACAGCACTGCGCTGACTCACTGCTCTGTCAACAACAACGAATTACATTTACATGTCAGGAGGACGTCCCAAAGCGCTGGACAATCGAGGATTTAGGGGTTGGGATCAGGAGGGATAGAGGGCAGTGGAATAGGGTTGGGAGGTGACCGAAGGTGCAGTCGAGGAGGAGGGTCTTGAGACAGACACACACAAGCCTCAGCGGCCAAGCCCTGAATCTTTGGTGCGTGTTATTCACGGCACCCCTTGCTTTATTGAGCCTCGAAGACAACATTCCCATTCAAGAGAGAGCGACACATTAACTAAGCTTTTTTCCTTTCCCCTCTCTGCTTTGGTTTCCTTTTCCCACTTTTTAACGACACAAATTACCTCTCAGATTCCCTGACAAATCACTTAGCTTATTAAGACATTGGAAAAGAAAACACGGGAGAAAAGAAATAAGTGAAATTGAATCTGAATCGATAACTTTGCTAGTGTGTGGATACAGTGTGTGGGAATTGGCACTAGTTCCTGTTGAAATGGCCACAACAAAGTGGCCCATTCATGAGGATGATTGGTCCCAACAGGATATGTGTGTGTGTGTGTGTGTGGGGGGGGGGGAGGGAATGGAAGCCTCCAGAGTAAGATGGGTCTCAGTGTTAAGCTGATTTGCACAATGATGAGAGATGTTCAGCATTAGTCCTCACTAATTCACTAAGACAAATCTTGTGTATTGTTAGCTCTCTCGGGCCGCACGGTGTATGTAAAAGACTGCTTCGAGGGCAGTCTTCCATAGATTGATGAGCACGGATTTTTAAAGTAAAAGTTATTTCGAAAGAGGGGAAGGTGATTTGCTGGTGGGTGGGGGTGAAAGTGTGTGGAGAGGGGAAAAAATGCAATTAGAAAATACGGTACAAAATTGTACACAGGTCAAAGACTTGGTATTTTGCTCCCCCCGTCTTGCTCCCACCTGACTTTGTGTTCTGTGCAGCCCTAATGCATATCCTGGCCTGCAATCCTGCAATGCTCTCTCTCTCTATCCCCCCCCCCCCCCATCCCCGTCTCTCTCTTTATCTCTCTCCCTCCGGAAGCTAGAAACTGCATCTTGTCTTAACCCCCCCCCCCCACACTCTGTTTCATCTTAAAATTTGAGCTCGCTCTTGGAAATTGTGACAACTTCTCAAATTCAGTCTTAATTTGGGCAAACTACCTAGACAGGGAGAGAGAGATAGGAACGAGAGAGAGATAGAAAGGTGGTGGGAGGGGTCGGGGTAAGAAAAAGATCCCTTAATGATCCCTAAACTTCCCCTAATGATAAAATGACTAGGAAATAGAATAGGCACCACAGCAGATGGTAATTTAAACCGAGATGAATATTTGATGCTGTTAACATTGTACTAAATGTCCTGTGAATGAGCTCCGCAGTAATGAGTATTTATAACATGTAATTTACCCTATCGACTGCAATGGGTTTACTTGAGCGTAATAGCTGGCCCTATATGTTTCCGTAGCATTAAAGGGTATGGATTGCCTGTGTTGTAAATATATTGTACAGTGGATATGTAACAGGTGTAAATAGGAGAATGGCCGACATGCTGGAATCCCAATGCTTTTCGCCTTTACCCCACCTTTGCCTTAAGAAGTTGCTTCTAATCTACTCATCAGGGACTGCAGTAGACATATAAATTATTCAGCGGCTGCATTTAGGAATTGTATGGCTGTTTCATTTGCTCGAAGCCAAACAAGTATCGGTTTAGGGGTGGTGAGAGTTTAACGTGTGTGCGCGTGGGTGTCTGTTTGCGTGCGCGCCTGAGCGAGAGAGTGAGCGAGCGAGCGAGCGAATAAGCCTGAAACTTGAGGTCGGGCGGCGCGGAGTGAAAGGAAGGAAATTCCCCCACCCCCCCACCAATGCGGCAATAACAAATGACAAAGTTCAAATAAAATGAAAATGAAAACAAATCGTAAACGTTTACAATATTTGTAAAAAAAAAATGGTTTTATTTTTCCTGGTAGAAGGAGAAGTTGGTTGGGGGTGGGGGTGGGGGGGTGGAGTGGGGGAGGGTGAGAAAGGATCCTGCTATAAAATTCCCATCCCGCACGGAAGGGTCTGGATTCTGACAAGTGACAGACTCTCTCTGGTTACCACAAGGGCGACGAGATACAAAGTCAAAAAACTTATCAACAGGGGTCAACGTGAGTTACACTACGGTTTGATGTCCAAAACCCACTGTGTGAACAGACCACTTTACAAGGTGATCCCTTGTAAATGCAGATGCCATCACAGACTCTTAACCAACCCCGCCCTCCTGTAACAAGATCCAGACGCTGGTCTCCAAGAATACCTCCCGGCTTCCGGTCTGAAAATTGTCCGTGAGTGAAAAATCCTCCCAAAGCCAAAGGTTGACTATGAAGCATAAGGAATCACATCACACTGCACCTGTTTCCCTGGAGTGCACCTTGGATGCAGATGGAGGCGTGAGAGTGTTTGTAGCCTCGCTCCACGGTGCTGCTCAGCAGCTCCTTGAACAGCAGCAACACGTGCCAGTTGTACTTGGCCGAACACTCGATGTAGCCGCATTTCCACACCTTTTTGACCAGGACGCACAGGCTCCTCCGCCGGGCAAATCGCTGCTTCTGCAGGTCCCGCTTGTTGCCCACTACGATGATAGGCACTTTGTGCGAGTTGTTGCTGGTCCTGTAAAGGCAGGCGGGAGTCAAACAATAACAACAACGACAACCCAAATTGCTTTGCCAAGTCTTAAAATTTAACTGAGTTCCGTACAGCATCTCCAACAAACCCAACTTGCGTTTATATACTGCCCTTCACGCAGAGCAGCATCTCGGAGCGGGTGGGGGGAAAGAGGAGGTAACCGTAAGCACGGTCCAAGAGGAAGGAGGGGTGGGTGGGTGGGGGGGGTGAATTATCAACCAGGGACACTGGGATACAAACTCTCTTTTCATTTAGCACCAGGAGATCTTTTAATGTCCACAGGGTATGGACGGGGATATCAGTTATCACCTTGGACAATGCATCTGACCGAGTCACTGTGAAGCGCTTTGAGACTTCATGCTACGTGACGGGCTCTATATCAATGGAAAAGGGAGGAGCGGTTAACAGGATGGGATGGAGCGGGGGTGGGGAAGTGGGTGGGAGAGAGAAGCACACAACATCTCTTGATTTTGCTTCACTTTCTCTACCAAAATGGTGCAAAGAGACATGCCACCATCCCCCAGGCCAAACACCCCACCCTGTGGCCAGTTTGGGGAAATCGAGAGCGGAGAATATTCACGACACATGGGAAACTCGCACAACACAGTCCACGGCGTGAACAACAGATTCTCTTCGAAATCAGAGAGGAGAATTGTTGGCCAGGACACCAGGAGAATCCTATAGCATTGTTCCAAAAACAACAACAAACTACAGTTTCACAGCACCTGTTGGGAGGACGTCCCAAGGCGCTGGACAGTCAAGGATTTGCACCTGAGCTGGGGTCTGAGATGAGGAGGGGTGGAGGGCATGGAGGGTGGGGGTAGGAGGGTGACCAAAGTCTTGATCGAAGGGGAAGGGTCTTGATACAGACCTTAACAGAGGCGAGGGCGGGGACAACTGTCAAAGAATCATAGAATTATACAGCACAGAAGGAGACCATTCAGCCCATCGTGTCTGTGCCGCTAAGAGCTATCCAAATCAATCCCATTCCCCCGTTCTCTCCCCTTAGTCCTGCAAATTTGACCTCCCCAAAAGGGCTGACAACACTCCCCAACTAAAATTGATTCGGGGGAGTGGAGGAGGAGGATGGAGAAAAAGGGAGGGATGCACCTAAATTGACTGACACATTCACCCACGAACACACAGTCACTAGGCAATGCAGCCCAGCCATGAGGTGTGTCCTCTCACCTGAGATCTGTGATCTGCTGCCGAATCATTTTCACGTACTCGAAGCTGTCCAGGCAGCAGATATCGTAGACCAGCACGTAAGCGTTTGCGCTTCGAACGCCCCTGCATCGTGAGTCTGACCACTCCTACAAACCCAGAACAACAAGACTTTTTATTATCGCTTTAATAACAATGAAAGATTCGATTCGGGTGAATCCTCGGGAAGTGGAGGGTGTGTCTGTCAATACACACAAAAAGGATGGACACTTAGTCGACAACAATAGACAATTACATTTACACAGCTCCTTTTGTGTTGAGAGGATTTGCCCCCAAGCTGGAGGTTAGGATCAGGTAGGGGGGAGGGTGACAGAAGGCGCAGTCGAAGAGGAGGGTCCTGAAGGAGGCAAAGGAGGGTGAGGCGGAGGGCCTGTGGAATCTAGCTCCAAAGGGTAGGGACAGAAAGGCTGCAGACCCGATCGCTGATGGCGTGGCGGACAGGGTTGAAGACATGGAATAGGCTGGAGAGGTCGGTATGGCAAGTTGGCAAGTGTAAAACCCCTATTCCAGCAATAGGGAGAAAGGTTTTGCCCTGACGGGGAATCAAACCCGGATCCTCTTGCTTACGAGGCGAGTCCTCTGACCAATACACTGCGGGACTCCACGTAAGCTGTGAAGTGCTGCAACTGCGTGTATTTTGTGGGCGAAATCAGGTGGCCACAATAAAAGAACCTTGTGACTGCGTGTCTTAACTACAATGATGTTCCATTTCACACCGGTCTTATACATTAAACCTTTTTAGAAACAAAAACGTGGAGAGCTGGATTGATAGGCTGACAGGACTCCTGCATTGCCAAAGGAAAGTAGATGTGCTTTTCTTTGTTAACAACTTTGTGCCTGTCAATGTGGCTGTCTGTCAAGCTGTACTCTAGGGCACATGCAGACTCGTTCTGCATAGCATACAATTGACAATTCCTAGCCTTACCTTCGCCCACAAAATGTACAGTCAAATCAGCTTATAGTATATTCTGTGAAGTGCTTTGAGATGTCTTACTTGATAAAGCGCTATATAAAAAATGCAAGGATGTAGCACTCATTCCTTCTCCAGTGGTTTTACAACAGGGGGGTGCAGGCAGAGAGCCACAGGATTGACAGTAACTCGCTTTAGCATGTGGGGTGGGGGCGGAGGGGAAGGAAGGGGTTTGGTAGAGGGTAAAAACATTAGTTAAAATGAGCGAACATCTGGAATTTCAAGCCTAAAAGGTGCAAGATGAATAAACGCTAGATCTCCTGTGAGGCTACTCAAAAAGAAAAGGGAGTTTCTCCCTCTGTCCTGGCTGACAGCTCCCCACCCAAATAAAACGAAAAAAGGTCATTCACTTTCGCGGCTGTTTGTGGGAACACTGCTGTGCTCAACTGGCTGCTGCGATTTGCCCACAATCATGCACAGAATACACAGTCACTCCACCTTACGGTATATTTTGTGAAGCGCTTTGAGACGTCTCAGTCAGGTAAGGCGCTATATCGAATGCAACGATTATTATATCGAACAGAATAGGATTACAATTATTGTAAACGTTGTGTACGATGGACTGGAGGCAAATTAAGAATAGGGGGGGGGGGGGGGGAATTATTTTTATATAACTATATATAACAAGACACACACACACACACACATACACACACAGAACTGAGCTGATAAGAATCAGGTGAAATTAACATCTGTACCTGGGTCCTGTTGGCTGGAAACTCGGGGATGTGAGGCACATCCATCATCTTCAAGTCGAACAGGTTGTCGTTGAGGACCACAGAAGACCTGTAAGCGCAGCCCTCTTTGCTGGGGCTGTAACCCTCACTGAATTCGTTGTACAGGAACTGGCGGATTATAGAGGTTTTGCCCACCCCTGGAGACCCCAGCACAGCGATCTTAAAGGTCCCCAACATGATCCCTTGCCAAGTGCATCATGTCACTGGGTGGGGGGAGAGACAGCAGAGAGAGAGAGAGAGGAGGCTGGTGCTGATGCTGCTGGTGCTGCTGATGGTTGATTTTAATATAAAAGACGTTGCAATGACATCTCAAGGCTTTTTTTGTTTGTTTGTTTGGAGATCGTGCGTGGGTTTTGCAGAGTAAGGGGTCTTTAAGAAGGAAGTCTTTAAAAAGTCTCACGACCCCCCCCCCACCTCCAATCTGTTTGACTGCCTCGTTCTCTCTCTCTCTCTTCTCTCACACACACACACACACACATAAGACACTCACTCACTCACACCTCTCTCTTTTTTCTTAACTGATTGACTAATCGAATCACTGGTTAAGAACGAATTGATCCATGACTTGGGTCATTTGAACTCACGACTCATCTCTCTCTTCTCTCCCCCACCACCTCCTCCTCTTCCCTCCCCAAACACTGCACCGATGTTCATTTCGTTTATAAAGGTAACACGATTAAAATTGATATCAGAAACATTTGCACACAGTAACCCCCCCCCCCCCCCACCCCACCCCTCCTCTCCCTCACCCCCTCCTCTGCCCCTTCCAAAAAAAATAATACAAACACCTGTGATTTTTTTGGGGTTTAAAAAAAGAAAACTATTTTGCTATGGAGGAGAATTTGGCTTTGGTTTTGCAGAGGTCACTCACTCACTCACTCACTCATCACTCACTCAGATAGACGTGGTGTGTGTGTGTGTGACCAGCAGCTGATTTTGTACCTATCGATAGATATTTTCTTTCACACACACACACACACAGAGGTCTGGCCAAGGTTCTTCCAAATGGTTTCCCCATCACACGTCCTGTTTGCTGGGAGTGGGGAGAACGTGTTCTCTGACTAATCACTATTAAACAGCAACAGTCAAATTGTGTCCAGGTGTTTAGTTCTGCAGCATTCCTGCAGTGTGTGTGTGTGTGTATTAGTCACAGTCACTTGGTATTCAGTATGGCTCTACTGTAATTCACATTGCTAAAACACCTCAAGACCACGTTGATGGTAATCATAATCCTTGCAATTGATTATAGCACCTTAGCATGTCGTTGAGATGTCTCAAAGCACTTCACAGGTTGTATACCGTAAAGTGAATTGACTGTATTTTGTGGGCGCAACGCGGCAGCCATTTGCGCACGGCAGTGTCCCACAAACATTTGTGGATCGAGTGACCAATTTTTGTTATTGTTGAAGGGATTATTACCTCCCAGAAAGCAATCTGCCAATTGATTCACAACCTGCTTCCGACTTACTGCAAGGTAAACAGAGGCATCTGGTGTAAGCAAACTTGCATAAGGTTTCACCCCGCTCAGGAATTGAACCCAGGTCCTCCCGTTTACGAAGCAAGTGCTCTAACGACTACACTAATCCACTGTAACTAGTGCTACCAAAACACCTCAAGATCATGTTGATGATTATTATAATGCTGGCATTTGACATAGTATCATTGCATTCATTCACCGAACATCTGAGTGCCTCATAGGATTCACTATTAAGTGCCAGTTGGCACCCATCAAATGTGCTCACAAACTGGCATGAAGCAAAATGACCAACTGCATTGTTCAAGGTGCTCACCTTTTGGATGAGACGTCAAACCGAGGTCCCTTCTGCCTGTTAGGCCAGATACTTAAAGAACCCGCAACACTATTTGACGAGAGAAGGTGGCATCTCCTCATACGAAAATACATTTTTCAATAATTTGAAATAAAAAAAGCTCCCTTAATCTTCACTGACTTCAGTTAACCCCGGCCAAATCCTGCAATTTGATTACGATCTGATAATTCAGTTAAGGGTTTTAGCTAATTAGACTCCAGCACTTACCCCATCCACGCACTCTGGGGTCCCCCAAGCCTTGGATCTTGACAACCTGTGCCTAATACCTTCCGGAATTAGGTAAGAGGGATGCGTCCCTCCAGGGAGAGAGTGCACATTCCATTTATTTATTTCTGGAATTTCCATGTGTAGATGGGATGCATGGAACAGTTTGGTGTGGATACTCTTTAAGCTTGGTAATGGGTTTCTGTGTGTGTCACTTGGCTGACAAAAAAAAATGAAGGGTACACATTAACCTTAACCTCCATATCCGGCCCTTTTCACCATCGACTTGTAAAAATCAAATTTGTGAATAGAACCATGAATAAGGCAGGCAGAGAGAGAGAGAGACTTCTCATTGCGCCTGAGGGACAATATCTGTTGACCTATTGCACACATTTGAACTGAATTACTGAAAGCAGAGAACCCATTCACAGCGCTAGATTGACAGGTTGGGACTCTTAATGTGCTTTTAAAAGTGAGGACACAGTCCATTTGCTGATGAAGCACCTAGGACGTGTGGTGGTAAAATACACTGAAAGGAACAAGATTACCAGAAATAATTCACTGACCTTTGTGAAAAAAACTCTGAATATCATGATTTGATATTGCCTCTCTGTTTTTTGACCCTGTTTCTTTTTCTCTCATGCAGTCACTCAGCCGACCTCCTGCTCTTCTCGTGGGAGGCTTGAAAGGCATCAAACTTGCCCTCAAAAGATGGGTCACACTCCTTCCACCCAAGGGACTCTTTATTCAGTAATGGGTCGATTAACTGTGATCGAAACTACCCATGTTTTGCCAAAGCAAAAGCCATCAACTTGCAGATAAAAAAACATAGGGTGACTGTCTCAAAGTGCTTCAGAACAAAATGGTGGGGAGTGTGGGGGGGGATTTTTTTTGTCAGCTGGGTGTCTGACACAAGTGGAAACCCATCACCATGCTTAAGAGTATCCAAACCAAAATGTCTTTCAGATTCAAAGTACGAAGCTTCACAGTCAAGCGAGGTAGAAGTCACTCTTAACTGTGATCAGTTTCACATCAGGAAGTGATTTATACTGTTGCCATCTGTAAAGGACGCTGGCATTTTTCCAATTAAGGATAGGACGACATTTATGGTTTAAATAGGAAGGTCATTACCAGTTGTACAAGGCCTGCCTCTATGAAGTGACCTTGTGAGCCAGTTCAACGCAACCCATTGTGTTGCCGCAGAGAGACAATTACTGGGCTGAATGGGAGACGCACATTCCATCCGTGACCTTGAGTGACTGCAGCATCAGTCACCCATTGATTACATCTGTGCAAGAGTGGCTTCCTCTAAATATGTACTAAATTGATGATCATTGCATTTGATACAGTGCTGGGAGAATGTGTCAAAGTGCTCCACAGGATTTACAGTGAAGTATAGTGACTGTATTTTTGCGGGTGAATGTAAATTCTCCTGGTCAGTGCTATAACGTGTGCAAGAAGCTGCCATTCTAATCTCCCCCAAATGAATAAACAGCACTGTATCCCAAATCTCTCTCTCAATCCCTCTGTCTTGCCCCCTCTTTAGTTCACGACTGAAGACCTTCCTCTTCGACCATGCTTGCCCTCTCCCCCAGCTTGGCTCCTCCACTGTTAAGCGCTCCAAGACGCTGCCCACATGAAGGGCGCTAAATAAATGCAAGTTGTTGTTGATTAAACAATGCAAGGAATACCATCTTCTTCTTAAAAGATACTGCAATGTCAAAGAGCCCACAGCTAAAAACAATATCAGACGAGATACAAATACCAAGGCACAGCGAAATGAAGTCAGCCTCTGGGTAGTGTTTTTACCCCACAATTCCAGTTTATTTTTTTTGATATGATTGATCAAACACCTTAAACATCGGCTGCAATGGTGGAACCCAAAGAGTGCGTGGTCAGCACAGAACCATATTGCCAGTGGTACAAATACAACGTAAAATGGCATACCACACAGTTTCAAAGTCACACCGCACGTATGAAGAGGATATACAAAAAAAAATAATCAAACGAGAACAATTACCTGACACTTGGAATGGTGGTGTACTCAGCACAGTCTAGTCTTGTCACTCACAAGCGTAATGCACCATGTCATGATATTACGTTACATTCATATGACCAGGTTTTAAAACAAATCAATATATCCATTGTCTGATTCTTTTTCTCTCTCGCTCTCCTCTTCCTCCTCCCTCCCGTATTTCGGAGCCAGGTATCGGCAGAATAACGATTTTTTTTTGAGACATACTAGGATTATACAATCGATTTGTAGTGTCACCGACCGGGTCAATATACCCTCGAGGTTTTGAGTATACAATAAATACCCTTCACAATAAGTTGAACGAACTTCAGCGGCCATTGCTGGGCCGTTATATATAAACTCTGTCCAGCTATCAGTGCTTATATGCTTCATAAACTAAAGGAAATGAAAGAAACACCACAACTGCTAGGGGGGGGTGTGGGGGGGGGGCGGGGGAGGGGAGAGGGGGGTGGAGGAGGGAGAAAATCTTCCGCACAGCAGCCTCTCAGCTTCAGAACGGCCGCCACACAAAATCTCAATTCTTCAAAATCGTTTCGTACGCCCCGAAAACATGCTGGGCTACCTCGGGCGCCCGGCATTTCAGTGATAACTGAAACAGAGAGAGCAGGTTACATATAATCATCATAATGATAATAATAATCCTTGCAATTGATATAGCGCCTTATCACGTCGATGAGACGTCTCAAAGCGCTTCAAAGAATATGCTGCAAAGTGAATCGACTGTGCATTTTGTTTGCAAAACGCGGCAGCCAATTGCATACAGCAGTGCCCCACAAAGTGTCGTGGATTGAGTGACCAAATTATTATTATTTTATTCTTTTTTTTGACGGGATTATTACCCCCGGAAAGTGATCTGCCAATCCACTAGCAAGAGGGTTCCTACTTACTGCTAGGTAAACAGAGGTGTGTGGAGTAAGGAAATTTGCCTAAAGTTTTGCCCCACCTGGGAATTGAACCTGGGTCATCTACACTTCAGGGCTGTAGTATTGAAAGATTTTAAGTTAGAACACGAGAAACACGAGACTGCAGGCTCGTGAATAGAATCGTAACTCTTCAGTGAGTTAGCTATTTTGCTTGAATGAAGTGCTATCTTAGTTTGTCTGAAGATAGTTGTCGTTCACATGAGGAAGCTGACCTCCCACATCCCCATATTTTTTTTTACTGCACTCAACATGAAAGTTAGTGAAAAGAATAATTCCCCCGTTATTTCCAAACAAAACCCTCCAGATTTTTAATAAACTCACGAGCCGAGGCCAGGATAGAAGACTGAGCGAAATCTTTAGCCTTCAGGATCACATTCTTAAAAGTCGGTCGCACAGAATTTTGGAAAATTTCCACATCCGTTCTTAATCGGGAGAATTGTCCGAATTGGGAAAGAATTTAAATTCTCTATAAAATTCTGCACAATCTTTTTAAGAAACTACAGGAGGTTTGAATTTTTTTTAATGTAAAAATTCAGTAGTTATTTGGAACCAGGGTCATTTGAAATGAGCTGTGGGAAAATAACTCCCAATTTAAGATTGAACTCAAAGAATTCTGCACAATTTTACAATACAAGGACAATGATGGTAATCATAATCCTTGCATTTGACATAGCACCCATCACGCCTTTGAGACATCTCAAAGCGCTTCACAGAATACACTGACTTGTATACTTCGTGGGCAAACCGATCTTAAAGCTAGGATGGGAAAGATATTCTGAGCTGCTGATTTCCGAAAGCCCTCAACTTGATTCCATTTTGAGAAGTGATCGAATTGAGATTCTATCCATGGATCAAACCAGGGAGCATGTTTAATGTGAACCCCAGTTGGGCAGCTGTGATTTGCTCATTCACATCGGCTGTCAAGCAGCAGATTAATTAATCGCAGCCTCTCCAAACAGGAGAGTCTCCATTGAATAGCAATAAAGGCAGAAGCCCACTCCGTTTCATTAAGACTGTGTGAATAATCTGTTGGGTGGAAGTGTTTGGTATTAGTCACAGAACGTGCAGAGTGCGCTGAAGTGGAACGTTCATCTTGCAATTTGATGCGACGGAACCTCGAGATAAAACAGGGCGAAGATTTATAATAATAATAATCCTTGCATTTGATATAGCACCTTATCACGTCGTTGAGACGTCCCAAAGCGCTTCATAGAATATACTGTGAAGTGTATTGACGGTGTATTTTGTGGGCAAAACGTGATAGCCAATTGCGCACAGCGGTGTCCCACAGTCGTGGATTTTTTTGAGGAATTATTAACCCTGGAAAGCAGTCCGCCCATCGACTAACAACCAGGTTTCTACTTATTGCTAGGTAAACAGAGTGGTGTGGAGTAACAAAACTTGGCTAAGGATCACACAGTCCAGGAATCGAACCCAGGTCCTCTCACTTGTGAGGCGAGCGCGCTAACCACTAAGCTACAGGACTCCAAAGATTTGCATTAAAGGAAATGTAGCTTCACACTCATTTACGTAAACCGAGTGGCTTTCTACATCGGCGAGCAGAAGAGAGACATGGAAACCGAAAAGATGGCTTCAATGGACATGAAAAATGATACCCCTTAACAGCACATCCCAGATAATACTATTTCAAGTAACACAGTGAGGTATCATCAGATACTGGACAAACTTTTCCTTATATACAAAAAGCGCTCATACTTCACCTGGGCAGCTTCTGGATAGGACTCTCAGACACCGTTAGTTACCAACTACTTAAGTTATACACCATGTGGAAGTGATAGCAGTTGTTTAATGATCTGCAGACAGACTACTGGAGCAATGGATAAGAGTCGTGATCCTATATAGAATCTGGCTTTTTTAAAAATATATACCCGTTTAAAATAAGAGGCAAGCCAATTAAATGTTCTCAAAACATGTTTTACAAACACACGCTAAAGATGGATGATTACACACACACACAAAATAAAGCACCCATGATGTCAGGTAATAAAGAAATCTGATGAGTTTTTTTAATATATATATATGTATATAATATATATATTNAAAAACACTCCCTATTGATATCCTCCAAGTAATTTACAAATCACAACTCTCACCTCGAGACGATGAGAAAACGTCCAAATTTCACGAGAAAAGTAAACGAGAGTTGTTTGAGGGGATTCCAAGTTTTGTCGAACTGCAAAGTTTTAATTTGCAATTCGCTCGGAAATGACTCCTATGTCGGGATTGATCGGTTTAGAACGAAGATAAATCGATCGTGTTACTCAAGCTTCCTGACGCCAGAGATACGGTGAGAACAATTTTTAAAAATCCATGAGAAATTCAGCACCCAAGACATAAGCAAGAACAAATCCAGACATTCAGAATCGATTGGATTGCAAAAGGCTGCACCCAGTCAACGCGAGGCTAAGCGAGTCAGTGACGGAGACGGAAATGTTTTGGCTTTGTTTAGCAGAATAGTTAGCGGGCACAGAGCGGAAGCACAAGAGATACTGCAAAAGCAGAGATAGGGATGGAAGTGGCAAGTTTCTTTTTTTTTTGCAGGTGACTGAAATTAAATGAATTGCTAACCTCCAAATCCTGACCAGTAGGACAAAACCACCATGGCAGGCATGCAACAAAGGAAATAAAAAAAAAGACTTAACTTATATAACTCTAGAGAACATCACCCCACACCCCCAAACCCACACCCACAAAAAAAACAGAAAGATTGAATCAAACTTAAAACTTAATCTTAATCACGATATAAATGGCACGTAAAGACACAGTTGCAAAAACATTAAGACACGTAGGGAGGGCAACTACACAATGGCACACATTACAGAACGAGACAACATAAAGGCATTTAAACATAAATTCCCTTACAGCAATACCAGTACAATATAATAATACTTTGATATAGCGCCTTATAGCGTCTTTGAAACTTCTCAAAACATTTCACTGAATATATTGTAAAGTGAATTGACTGTATATTTCGTAAGCAAAATGCAGCAGCCAATCGTGCACAGCAGTGTCCCACAAACAGTCGTGGATTGAGTGACCAAATTATTATTATTATTATTATAATATCGCTTGATGTTGAAAATATTCTGCTGAGGGTAGAAGCGATTTAAAAAAAACTAAATTGGTTATGCAACACATGGTAACTTAGGAAACGGTCTCAATGATTTGTGAAAACGAGAAAGAGGAGGCTTCTGAACTGACTCAGATCTTCCCACTGATAATGGAAGAGAGGCAAGTCCAAGGAGGCCAGCAATAACGGTGCTTAATCAATGTGGCGGCAACACGTAACACAACACAAAAGCTTCTAAACATTCTGGTTTCCTGAACTGATGTGACACAAATTAACTACTGGCTGACATCTTACCCACTTCAGGTCATAAAAGCTAGAAAGCTAGAGTGCAATACCTCTCTTTTCTTTGTTCTCGTCAATATTTAAGGCATATTTAGCACAATTTTAACACACACACACACACAAAATGTCCTAAATTGCTTTGCGCTTACCGTGTAGTTGATGTTGCCGGGCTGGATCCTAAGTTCCGCCAGCACCCAGATTCCGTTGGTCAGTTTCAGAGACTGATATAACATGTCCTGCCCTTCAACATTCCGCTTTGCAACTGTGTAAATATTGTTGCTCTGAAGCTTATTGGTGACGGCATCTGCAAGTGGACACGAGAGACTTGCTTTGGATGTGACTTGGGGACCAACAGGACAGAATATCAATGCGCCCGAACACTGAATTAACTGGACACCGCACTCTATCTTTGCAATATTCCCCAATTCTCCCCCTGCTCCACCACTCGGTAATGTTTTATGCTCCCACCTGCTCTGTCCCAGCATTGGAGGAGGAGCTTTTACTACTTTGCTCCTGCCTTCAGGAAACCAATCTGAAGATGCATCTCTTTGACACTATCCAAATGGCAAAGCTTTTGGGACGCAATCTGGCCATTCAGATGTTGAGAGCAGTTACGACTCCCCCACTCCACATGGCCACAACTTGGGGAATGTCCGGGACATTCAGAAGTGCTCCGGGACACTACCCTGCGAGAAGGGCACTATATAAATGCAAGTTGTTGTTGTTTCACCTGGTAACAAAAGGCACTTAAACTGAAATTCCGATACAGAAATTCCAGTACAATATCTGGGGGGCTTTCCACAATGTAAGGAAAAGAGGATAAATACTAAAATGCTTACAAGCAACTGAAGCTCTATGTCTAGGGATGTAAAGATTTGATGGTCTCTGGCAAGACTGACGTACTTATTCGGGCGGACATCAAATTATTATAAGTACGTCAAATAAAGATCAATTTATAAACAGGTTTAAGACTTCAGTCAGTAATATGGCTGCCTAGAAAGCCCACTGTACACCTTACCTGCATTAAGGTGGCATTCCTTAATCTGGAATTGTACTTCATTTTCATTTGGAATGTCTTTCCAGGTGGCCAGGAATATCTGCCGATCTGCAAACAAGCACAATGTCAAATAAAAGGACAAGCAGCAAGTTCTAAAATTAGCAGAAATATCTCAATGTTCAATACACCAGGGACTTGAGAAGACCTTTTCTGGAGCAAAAGATAACTTTAATCTCAAATCTGGGAAAGGCATATGTTTAGATTAACCTAAATTGTTGCCTCACTTCCTCCAACTAGAAACACAGGAGAATGGGGAAAGAGCAGGCGAGCGGGACTAGTTGGGTAGCTCTTTCAAAGAGTCGGCACAGACACGATGGGCCGAATAGCCTCCTTCTGTGCTGTGGGATTGTATGATTCTACAATGCAGCAGTTAAATGTTCGCTTTACGGCTTGGCTGTTCCTGTGTGCTTGTGTCCTTCGATAATATTAACCAATGATTTTATTTCAGCTCATTTCAGGACCAAACATCAAAAAACGTTTTATAAAGCTACACCTCATGTGCCGTGGCCTCCTGCACTCCAGAGCGACTTATTAATATTACCAATTCTGCATAAAGATGACTGACAGCAGGCAAGGCCTTTGGGGGGGATACAACCCAGCAGATTAGGACACCAACCACTGCTGCATACTGAAATAGCTTCCCACCCCTCCACCACCACCCCCCCAAATACAAATGACATTATGCAAAGACTAAGCCCGAAGCTCATACTATTGAATCATGTAAATTTATCAGAAATGTAAGCTATGCTACTTTAAAAGAATAGAGATCAGAAAAGGCCATTGCATTCCATCAGTTTGATCCCAAACCTAAAGGGTGGGAGACAGAGCAGTTATTTCCTCAAATAGAATTTAGAAAGGAGCTTCCAAGCTGCACACATGTATATTCAGGTTCAGCGGCAGGCAGAGAAGCTCAATTACACGCTAAACTCGTTTTGCCTTTGCTTTCTCCTTCATTTTGGGGGATTCATGAGTTACAATAACTGGTAATTAGTTTCCATCCATCCTACGCAAAGCATTAAGACACCGAATCACTCACCCATCTTCCCGTCCTCCACGAACAGCATATTAATTGGGTACAGACAACTGAAGTAGAAGACGTCAATGTTGTTCTTTATTGCAACCTGTTCGCAGAATAAAAAGGATTAGCAATCTGCTGCTGCATGTGGCAGCCATGATCTAGTACAGTTTTGTTCTATCCTTTGCACTGAAGTATCACTTAAACGAAAGCGATGCATATTTAGTTAGAACAAGCACCCAAAGAGAAAGCAGCTTAAGGGAGGCTGACCGTTCTAACAGCCAGCACTACGTATTCATAAAACGTCTGCTTGGGATTATGGGTTCAGGTTTCTTTCAACATGTGAGAGGTGATAGCAACTGGATTCTCCAATTTCAGAGCAAATTCTGAGCAAGGTAGATTGTTATAGTCGACACCCAGGAGTAAACCTTTATTCATTGAAAGATGGAAATTATGCACTGTTGCCACATTATGTAACCCTGCTATTAAGAAAAGCTACCACACCCCAGAAAGGCCTGTTGTACACCAGATCTAACTAACTAACTAATTAACTAAGCGGATATGATTCAAAGTCGCTGGTTGTAAACAAGGTTCAAGCCATGGTAAAAATAGAGCTTAGACACACCAAAAATAACTCTGAATAAGTTTCCTTGTGCTATCCAGAACACAGGTTTTGAGATATAATTATGGGGTGTAGCGCTTTTTATTTAAAGGGATTTAAGATTTAGAAGGCAGCAATTATGAAGTCCTGAAGTCACTCTATAATCCTGAAATGTAGTTATTTTTGAGAGCATAAGCCTATGCACGTGCTTTCGATTAAAAACTGGCTGCCCTTAATACAGGAGCAAAAATTCAATTACATATAAAAACACACCATTTCCTCACTTGTATTTCCTTCCAGCAATCTATCGCTGGAATTTCCATGTGCAAGTAGGATGCATGGAATTCTCAGTTTGGTCTGGATACTCTTAAGCATGGTGATGGGTTTCCACAAGTGTCAAGACACCTGGTTGTCCCCCCAAATCCCTTGCCCCCAAGCTAACATTTTAAGAGTTACAGCTACTGAAGACTGTAAACCCTTGCGCTGCGCTTTCACTCAGACCTGCAGGTTGCTGAGAGGGTCCATCTTCATAACTGGGCCGACCGTGTTGAGGGGGAGAGAGACCTCAATCGTCTGGTTGGGGGTGAGGGGCGCATTGACTTGGAGGGGAGCAGCGGGTGCCAGACCAAAGCTATGAAGCGGGAAACAATCAAGTCGACATTTTACTTAATTCTTAAAATATGTATATTTTTATAAATCCGACCAAATTAGGACACGTATGCACAAAACAGAAAAATTACTTTCAAAAAATTAATAGTGTTAATCAAAACTCCTAGCAGAACTAAATAAATCCCGTTGCTCTAGTTTAGCACAAACACTTACTTGGTGCACACAATGTTCTAGTTATGTTTTTTTTGTCTGAAGAGTCATCAGTACTTCATGTAATAATATTAAAGTTCTTAAATAGGCTTCTCCCCCATCCACCCTTTTTAAAAGCTTTCTGAAGGGCAAGGATAAAATGTACAACATGTTTGCCGAAATGGTTTAAAAGCTTCTCATGTGGTACTTTACAATATTCGTTTTTCATCCAAGTTAAATTTAACTGCAGCAACAGTAAACTGCAATCTTTAAGCCCCTATTCCTCCAATCTCCATTACAGTAGGTCTGGGAAAGTGGTTGATGGGGAAGAAGAGAAGGGACAGGCAGAGAAAAGGAGTTTGAATGGAAAGCATAAAAAAAACTGATGTCCAGGCAAAAGACAACCTGAAATGGCTCTTTCACCTGCAAAATGTTTAAATCTGTGACTTAAAGGTTATTGGTTCACAAGCTCCAAAGGGGAACCTGTTGAAATTGATGAGCTCCAGAAAGCATGGCATCTATCAGACTACACCAGGGCTGGCAGAGTCTCTTCAGTCAACTTCTCAGAGGTTTACACTGACATCACACAAGGTCAGCTTATAGAATTGATCATCATAGAGACTTGCTAAATTTCAACATGCTTTCTGTAGATACACCACTCTCAATTCCCTTTATATGTAATAGCAAAATATTGAAGCTTGTGAATATCTTTGAGATAAATTAGATCCCTGTTTTTACACACGACACAGAGGGTGGTTGAAATCTGCCACAAAAGTGGTTCGAGCAGAGGTCATCATGTCTTTTAAAAGGCAATTAGATGGTTGATTAATAAAGAGATGTGTTGAAGGTTTGAGTAACAAGCAGGAGAGTGGGATGGAATGGGATTAGGTGGTTCATGTGGAGAAAAACACCATGTATTCTTGACAGGCCCATTCTATGCTCTTAAAGCTGTGTGATTTATATAAAGCATTTACATTCTGCTGGGGCTTTGAAACCAAAGGATATTAAAGGAATTTCTAATCAGTTCTCTTTAGTAATATGGGAATGTTGATCTATAATAGCTAATGTCATCTACCCATCATGGGGTTGAGTTGAGGGGTGGGGGGGGAGGAAACAGGGACAAAGATGGGAAATCTTAAACATTAAACCCTTCGCTTCCATGATCCTTCCTGTTCTCATGCTGCACATGTATCACACTCAGCTCTGTGACAAGAGATAGTCTGCAGAGTGAATTGTCTGTGTACAGAAGTAATGAATTTAGTTTTAAAAGCAAATGCCCCAAGCACTCCAACCTCAGAGGAGAGGAAAAACGATCGCGGTGTAAAGGAGAGTAAAAGGCCAGAACTCAACAAGAACAGGATTGTTTTCAGAACTGGAAAAAAAATCCATTTGAGTTCATTCTTCTCACACACAGACACACACACACACATACATTAGGATAGCCTTACTTGACGGCTTGAAGGTGAGAATCTTTATTTGTAAAATTAAATGAGCATTTGGTGAAAGAGTCGAGACTTCTCCACTTTGCGGAATCGCAGGAGTGCTTCAGGTTGGCTCAGGCAGAATGGGGAAGGAATGGTTAATTCTTTTTAGCGAGTTTCTTTACTCTAAATTCTGCTGGTTGCCACCAACTGGGTTCGACCAAAGTTGAGTGAATTCTCACCTATTTCTGTTGAACTGGATTGCAAAGTCCGTCATTACTTGCATGGCTTTGTTCATCAGAGACAGCTCCATGTAGATATGACCCATGCGGCGCGAAAACGTGCCAGAAATCTCAAGGCCCTTTGCCTTTGCAGCCGGCAGCCATACCTATCGGAGGGGAAGGAAACGGTGCATTTGGCTTTTACATTTAAAGTCTTAACTGCGGCCAATTCGGGAAACCAGACGCAGAATTATTGTATCTGGTTTCCCCCATTTGCCGCGGTTAAAACTTTAATTATAAAGGTTAGATTCACCCTGAAGTCATTACAAAATCCTGTTGCATGTAATTGGATTTTCACGCAGTTCCAGCAGGTTTTATGGTGGAGTGTCCAATCAATTATTTTCGCACATTGTATTACCCAAATCACGTACGCATTTCGGTTCTGCCTAAGGCTGACCTCTGGAACGCACACCACGACAATCACGTCTTATTATTGTGCTGGTTAAAAACTGGTCCAAGAAGGCCGCATACCACATCTCCTTCGATTATATCGATTTTATATGTGTACGCTATATGATTGACATACCGATTAGGACTCAACAAAGCTTGCAATCAAGGATATGACCCGACAATTAAGTACAGTGGGTACAACACAGTGGATTTGCTTATAAATCTGAACTCGCCATGTCACTGACTTTTCAGTTGAAGCAGTGAGATGCACAGCGAATACTAAACACGTGTGATTATTCATTGCTACTCAGCCCGGAATTATCATCAACCATAACAAAAGATTACGACAGACAAATTGAAAATCAAACTTGACATTCAGAGCTTTGTTTAGCATTACAAACATCTGTCCTCACTGTGTAAATACCACCCCTACGGGGGTGTGGGTTACTCACTGCTCCTGAGTTGGGCCAAACTGAGTTGGAACAATGATCAAAGTTAGGTAATGGCTTGTAGCCGGTCATTGGACCGGTAGAAATGGGCCCAGGGGGCAGAGAAAGAGAAGCTACACCTTAAAAAGCTGTTCCCTTCAGAACAAATTTATTAAAAGGGAGAAAAATAACAGACATTAAATTTGTAAATTCCCAGTCTTGAAATTAAACTATACATTTGTTGGAAGCTGCGTACTTATTTAGTCTGGTACTGGACCTCTCCAAAAACGTTGGTGAGATTTCACATTTAAATATCTCATTCACCTAGCCTGAATGTGGCAGTGAACACATGACAAGATGTTAATGTCTGCTGCAATGCACTTTCATCAGAGCATAATGTGAAGCCCCCTGCATCTGTTGAGATGAATCCATAGCATGAAAGTTTGATGCTGCACTTAAATTAGATTTGCTAAAAGTACCAACCCAAACTGTTTTGCCAAGTGTTAAAATTTAACCAAGCACCACGGAGCACCTCCAACGCATTCCAAGTATTAACGAGACAAGAGATTGATTAGGCTTAGCTGCCCTTCCAATTCCTCTCAGTTAAAGAATGGTCACTTATTATAATAATAATCCTTGCATTTGATATAGCGCTTTTCACATCTTCTCGACGTCTCAAAGCGCTTCACAGAATAGACTGTAAAGTGAATTGACCGTACATTTGTGGGCGAATATGAGATACTAAGGGGACAATCGGCAGCCGCAAAAGTCAAAAAGACTGGAGCAGAACAACTCACAAGGTTTCACAAAACAAGAATGACACTTACAGATTTAGGTGCCACGTAAGAACCAGTGGGCATGCCTACTCCACCTGCCAGGTCAAACAGGTCACCCAAGCCTCCAACTGGTGCGTTCAAAGACGTTGGCATGACTGCCGGAGTACCATATCCAGCACCAATCTTCATTTAGCAGCGAAAGAGGAGACAAAATGAGAAATTTGCATTTCATCGACTGTTACAACGCACCCACTTACTTACTCTCTCTTGAAATATACTTATGTGGACGGCTCAACAATTTAGCAGGTTATCTTAATGAGGTATACGGATAGCTTCCAACAGAAAAACGAGTCAGCTAGAGAATGTTCCAAGAAAAATAAACACAAAGTACTGCATGAATTTAGGGAGTCGTAAACTCTTTTGAATCATATTCAACCACAACTTGTATTAAACAAAGAGATCTTTGATATAATGGAACATTCAGATGGGACAGGAGTACCTCGACAATCACCAATCCACCAAGTTGGGGAGCTCGTGCAAATCATGCTTCGCTGGTGAATCCACACTTCCTACCGTACTGTATATCCAACCGTGGCAAATGGTCTAACATCATGTATATAGTAGAAGCCAGTGGTTCAAAACCAGCCATTACATTGCAGAATTGGTTTAAAGTGTAGATACAACATTATACAAATGAGGGAACTTACAGCTGGGCTACCACCAAGATCTCCTCCGAGCTTTTTAAAGAAAAAAGATAATTTTGGTTAGATGAAAAAAAACGACCAAAATCTAAAAATAATCGTCAAGATTAAATTATAGAATTGGCGTGCAAGTTTCATGCTTATATATCATTGGAAGATTGTTTATCCGAATACACCCGCATTACGGGAACTAGTGTAATTAGGTATTATGAAAGTCATAATAGTACAATTAGCCTGCAATAAGTCAAACTTAAAAATATAAGTAACAGCCCAAAAAAAGGACAGAGGTTCATACCCCTTCAGTCTCATCACCCATCTCCAGACCCGAATATGCAAAGACAGAGGGAATGCAAGGACATTCACATGCAAGCAGAAGTGAAAGAGGGAACAGCGTAAATGCAAGGAAGAAAAAAAAACAGCATTATTAGTGTACAAACATCAACTACACCTACTAAAAGCATCTCTAGTCAGTGAACAATAATCCAGTGTTAAGATTCTACTTTACCTAGAGCACAATATTTCAATGCATCTACTGAAACCTTAATGAAGCTTAAACTGCTATCTATAAATGAGTGTTTAAAACCATACAGTATAGAACTGGTAAAACCTTATTTTTTCACAATACAGGCGTTAAACATGAGTGAAAGTAACATTGGATAATCAAAGGCAAACTATTACTGCTTAGATAATAGTTAAAAAGTGTCGCTTGCCATAAGTGACATTTACAAGTGAAGATGAACGTTTTTAAGCACTATTAAGACATTACTTTCTGACAAAATTTGATGGTAGAAAAAACCTGATCCGTGAATGAACTCTACAGGTAAATAAAGGACAGCATCACAGCATTTTGGTAAAAGCCTGACAGGCGCACTGATGGCTGCTGCAAGGAGGTTTGGAAACTGAAAAGCTATGAACCTATTCTAGTACTAGGCCTACCAAACTGTCCAATCCACCACCAAGCAGGTCCATGGCTCCCATCTGTACGGTCGAGGATGGCATCGGAGGAACATTGACTGGTGGACCTAGATCGAGATTCAAAAGGTCGCCCAGGAGATCGCCTTGCGATGGAATGACTGCAGGTTGCTGGTCGCCAGGCTGGGTCGCAGTTGAAGGGGCAACATCTGGACTCTCAGTACTTTCATTCCTAGGAAGCAGACACCAAATGGTTAGTCTCCAGCTCACTGCAGAACACATAGGGACAGGGTAGGCCATTCAGCGCCTTGGGACGTCCTCCTGATGTGAAAGGCTCTATACAACTGTAATTTTGTTGTTGTTTGTTGAGCCTGTTCCACCATTCTTTTAGATTATGGCTGATCTGTACCTGACTCCAATTACCCGACTTTGCCCCATATCCCTTGATACCCTGACCTAACAAAACTCTATCCACCTCAGTCCGAGACAACAATCTGCAAACAAATAGGGCGAGAGGGATTTCTAGGTTCTCACTGATCCCAATAAAACGTTCTAAAGGGTAGCACAAGGGTTAAGAGGGTGCAACATGGCAATCACATCACACACATATAAATTAACAATCCAGGGATTTAAACAGTGCAAACATCAGAATCCCCAAATTATACATGACCTTTATTCTTGGTCAGCCGAGTGTCTGACAGATTAAGAGTGTCCAAAGCAAGCTGAGAATTCAATGCATCCCACCTACGCATGGAAATTCTGTAGATAGATTGCTGGAATGGAATGTGCACACTCTCCCTGGAGGGACGCATCCTGTTTACCTAATTCCGGAAAGTATTGGGTGCAGGTTGGCCAGAGGCAAGGCTTGGGATGGGGGGGGGGGGGGGGGGGGTTGGGCTCCAGCGTCTGCATTGAGATTGTGCAGAAGAGAACTGTTCAAATGGGTCTTATTTTGGAAGCTATTTATCAGCTTCCACAACTAATTTGAAGGAAGAATGCAAGGGCCTTAAGGTGAAAATACATGAGCATGTTCTGATTTCTGTCTTGTGCAATGATTTTTTAATCTCTTCAATCACTCCTTGTCTCAACATGCTTTGTTTTAGGGAGTGGAGTGAGAGGGAGGGAAAAGAATTCAACGATTTTGACTTACGATCCTGATCTTGGTGGCAGTCTCTTGTGCTGAACGCCTCGACTGCCTTCCACAAACGCGCTCGGTGGTTTATGATAGACGGAGGCCAGAGTTCCTATGTGACAGATCAGTTCGTCGAGCAGAGTTGGCTCAATTAGGTCCGTTTCTTCAGAAATTAAGGGTTTCTCTGCTAACACAACCTCTTTCGCTGCCACTGGATCTGTGGAAAGTAGACGCCAGTAGATGTAGCCCCGATCTCTCAGATCGGGGTTGTCAGAATCCTGCAAGATTAAAAGAGTCACTTAACCGGCTGCCACAGCGATATGTGTGAAACATGCGGGTGCAAATTGGGGGCTACAGCAGACTGTTTAGATTTAGAAGCAAAGCTTTTCGCTTTGAGAAAAATACTGGCATCTTCCGCAGGGATTGAATTCGGCTAAACGGTCTGGTTTTTACTTTAATGAAAAGGAAATTGGAATGACATTGATACAAATAAAAGTCATTGCAATTTGTTTTCTTGAAAACTATCAAAATCATGTTCTAGGGTAATTTCAACTCCAGCATACAATATTTTAACACAGTTTTCAAAAAAAATTTAGACTTAATATTGAAGAATACAATGATCTACAGGCAGACCATGATCAGTAATTTAATACGTGGCAATACCTAAATCAGTTAAGACAAGTGAAGGACGTAGACTCTGGGAAGTGGAAGAACACAGACCGACCGGTAGGTTGAACAAGAAAAAACACTTCCGATAATGTGCAGCATTTCAGTGGCAAAGTGCATTTGGCACAAGCTATTGTTTACAAAGATATACAGCTCTTTATCCTTTATGTTTGAACGTCCTCTGTGGGGAAAGGAATGACCGAAATCGCGTCACCTTGAAAGAGTGGAAGGGAGGGAGCAAGTCGGAGGGACCTGGGAATGGAGTTATACAGAGTGCAGGAAGCTGAAAGCGCATACCCGCCAATGGTGAGGGGATACTGAGACCGATCAAGCAAGACAAACCTGCGTGGCTAAGCTCAGGACTTGCTGCACCAGCTCTTGCGTCTCCGTCGGTTTCTTTAAGAAAAGCTTGACGATAGCGGTCAAAAGCTGCAGCTGAACCTGTCACCAGATAAAAACACAGGGAAGAGACTCAGAAACGTTGATGGCCCACCCAATCTTAGACAATAGTTCAAGTGCCATCACCCATTTCAAAGTAATCTCAAACCACTTTACAGGATGAAAAGACACATTTGCATATCCCGGCATTTTGTGTAAAACTGAAATACACAGCAGAGTAGAAAACAAAAAACAATCGCATTGGGACTGAGGTTTGGAGTTGGCTGGTTAATAAACATGTTAAACAAAAGTCCCCACAAAACATTCATCAAATGCATGTGATTTCAGGTAACATGGATTTAACATAACAATCCTTGCATTTGATATAGCACCTTATCACGTCTTTGAGACATCTCAAAGCGCTTCACAGAATATACTGTAAAGTGACTGTGTATTTTATGGGCAAATATCCTGTTATAGCTCTATTCTTACTTGTGTGCTTTCGTCGTGGAATCCTTCCAAGAAGCTCTCCAGAAGCTCATCAGCATTATCAATTCTTTCTGCGTATTCGCCTACTATCCAGATCATGGCGGCTCTGGCTTCTGGCTCATCCAGTGAGTCAAGATTTTCGCACAGGGTGGCAATGACACTTTCATACCTTGAGAAGAAATGAGAGCAATCAGGTGATCGATTGATCTTTCGTAATGTTATGAAACCAAATACAAATCACCTGTAACTTCCACCAGCTCAGCCCATTCGGAGCAGTCTCAAGTTCAGCACTGAGCTCACATTAATCACAAAGTTCCAGTCAGTCCCCGAGCCCAATAACACAGGGAGGGGAGTCGTACCTTCACATATTTCATTAAGTTAACTTGTCTGCGACATTGAAACCAAAACACGTTAATCCAGGCAGTTTGCATCTCGACAAAGTGCCAGAAGACCACAATGCGGCAAATTGACTCCAAGCCAACTGGACTTAATTTGCCACATTGAAGTTGTTTAATCCAAAAAGGGAAGTGTAAGGGTGTATAAATGGCTGAATCACTGTTGGAAGGGAACATAAACATCACCTACTTGTTCGGGTACTTGCGGAAAATGTCCTTAATTACCACTATCGCTTCCTGGACCACGTAGTTCACTTTTGTTTGGATGAGGTCGAGTAGTGTGCTCACACAGCGCTCTGCCGATTGCTATGGAGAAAGGACCTGTTACTTCCATGTCTACTGATCCCATCAGAATAAGATCCATCACTAGATTCAAATATTTACCACGCAGTATATATATATTACACACAATATATAACACCCTCTCCTTCTCTCCATATAAAATCAGCAGGGTCCTGCAGAGTCAGAATTGACCACTTTGTAACAAGTAATAATTCAAGTTACTCACCTCAACTTTAATGGCACATCTTCCAATTGCACGTACAGCTTTGCGTACAAAGTCGACATCGACTTCCGTTGCATATTCTTTGAGTTCGGCCAAAACCTGTCAGATTGAAACAAGTTAAAAGCATCCACCCCGAAAGGCGATAGAACGGGCCCTGGTTTAGCGTGGTTGTAACTGTGGATCGGCTACACATCAGGCTCCAGCGGTAAAGAAGCATACCTAACATCACTTCATGAAGGAAGTGACTCAAGTGGTGTTTCCTGCATGTAGCGCACAAGTGAAGTCAGTGGCAACCAGTGACGACCAGTGGCCATCTGATTCATAGCATCATTATAAACACAAGGTCCATGTTTACAGACCCAAAATGGGTTTGCCTGCAACACGGTGCAGAGAAAGCGACTGCAACATTTCCTGGTGATTCCCAAAAGACATGTCAAATTATTTAAGGTTCATTTTTCATCCATTTGAACTGGAACACAAATTACCTCAAACTTCTAAATAGGAACCTGGTTGCCAGGAACTAAAGTCCAATTTAAACCGAGAAACAAATGCGTTTCAAAGATGCAAGTGGAATGGGGCGGTCCAAGATAAACACATTTAGTGTTGGCTATTCTTTTCTGGAAGAATAGTAACACAATTCAGACTACAGCAGGCTTCAGAACAGAACGTTTTGGTTACAAACCTGTGCAATGTTGGCCTGAGAAGCTAAACGGATCATAATGTCCAGTTTTTCCAGCTTCACATAGATCGGGTCATTGTACTTGACAAAGAAAACCTTCATTTCGTGCTTAAGAATTTCAGGCCTGAAAAAAAAAACGAGAAAATGGTAGCCAGAGGGCACAATTTCAGAGTACAGCATTTTCCATTAAATGGCTAAAGCAAAGCTTTGCAACTTTCATGATTTGAGAAGCAAAGCATGGAGCCATTCTGTTACCGGTCACTGATCAAACTGTATTTGTTACAACATGTGGTCCAAAGGCATTTTGCACCATGTAGTGAACAATCGCCCTTTCACATACATCTTAATCATCAACAATTTGGAAGCATTTTTCCACAACATGATCAGAGTAATAAAATCAGTTATAACCATGTAATAAACAAATAAATAATAATACTTGGATTTGATATTATGCCTTTCACGTCAGGATGACATTGTGGGCTTCACTGCAAAGTGTGGTACACTGCAGGTTGCAGATGCAACATCAACCCAAATTTGGGATCAAAAGCTCAAACCAGTCGATCTCATACATCTGGGTTTTTAAGAAAGAAAAACTGAAAGGAGAGACTAGGAGGAAAAACAGGCGACAGGTGAAGGGCTCAATATTTTATTCTTTTCTAAATTGTTTTTATTCAAAAGCTAAAATGGTGTAGACTATGGAGCGTCCTGCATTGTTGGAAGGTGCCATCTTTCAGATGAGACGTCCTGTCTGCTGTTCAGTTGGACTTTAAAGATCCTATGGTGCTATTTGAAAAGAGAACAGAGTTTCTCCCAGTGTACTGACCAAGAATCCCCCACATAAAATTAGCAACTCACTGCATGAGTGTTTGTGCGACATTGCAGTGTGCAAATTGGTGGTTGAATTCACCTACAAAATGCAGTTGCTACACTTACAGTATATCCTGGGAAGGACTTTGGAAAGGCGCTATATCAAATCTTAGGATTATTATTGTTATAGTGTCAAAATCCAAAAAGAAATTGGACAATTTCTGAACAATTAGTGAATATAATTTCTAGTCCCAAACGCCAACAACCGACACACGTGCACAAGTGAGTGAGATGAGGCACATCAAACGAGATGAGACTTCCAGTGGTTTTATGGCAGGTGTGAATTTAAAACCCTCTTCTCAGTAAGGGTTAAGTACAAACTGGATTAGTAACCTGTTACTAATGCTGAGCTGTTTAACACAAGACTGCAGTTCTGGACACGAGCTAGCTTGAAGCAAATTACTTTTTCTTGAAAAAATTCAACACCAGGGTGCGGTCTGACCAGAACAATTCATGGCTCAAAGCGTACAGGCTTCAGCATGCTGCTCAATCAGATATACAGTCACTTCTCCTTTCCAAGTAACTGATCAGTCATTTTATCTTTGGAAATCGGTCTGATAAAACCAGTGGTTCTGGCTATTCTACAAGAAAAATCAACACTAGCTTTTTATTTGACATTTACTTTAGTGTTAAGAGGCTTTCTGAAAATTGCCTGTCGGGTAATGTAGCTGAAACAACCAGTTTAAGCACCGGCCCCGGTCTTTGATAACCTCTTGGGCAAATCATACCAGAGACCTCTCCAGAGCATTTACTAATGATCTGCCACATTTTACAAAGAAAATGAACAGGTCCCTGCTATCAAAAAGGTTGCGAGACACTGCTGCGTTTCTCACTTCTACAAAGACTCAACATTCTGGATTTAGAAAGCAATAAGTTGAAAGACTTTAAGCACATCCTTGACAGTCCAAACAAGATCTCGTCACTGTGACCAATATATAAGACACCGATGCTGTAAATACCCAAGAGTCTGTTTTAGACATGATCCTTCAACAGAACTAAAGAATTTCAGCATTTTTGACTTTGCTTCTGGTTACTGTGGTGGTTGTGCTGTGCGTTTAAGTTGAAACATGCAGCGGTAAATAGCTAGTAACTTTTCTGTCTCCACTCCAGTCAGGTTAATGTTTTGTTACAGGGTCACCAGCGGGCAGAACACCAGCAGGAGAAATTCCCATTTCACCTAGTGTTTGGAGCCAGCCCTGTGCAAGTGCAAACACTTGATAAGTTTGTTTACGATCAGCAAAAAGAAAAATGGACTACAGCTTAATCAGCAGAGACAGCACTTCCTCAGACGTGTATTGGTTCCATTAACAGCTAGACAGGAAAAAGTCACACTCCACCAAGTCTGGGCTGGAAGTGAACCCAGATCCAAGTGCTCACCAACTCCACCACCCAGGCACTATGAACTGGATACAACACAAGCTGACAACAAACCCCATGCAAATCATTGCTCTGCAGGCGTGGGTGAATTGGAAAGATAGCATCAGCCAGCTGTGTTCAGTTTGTTGTTTCAGTTTGTATGAATCAAAAGAATACAAGGAACCCTTGGCTGGAGGTTATTCCTCCCTGCCCCCCACCTCTCCCCTCCCCACCAGGACCCATCACTGATGAGCAACCATTGAGTCACTCTGCCCTCTGGAATGCTTTCAAAGTCACTTTACCTCACTTCCTCTCTCCCAGTCTTCAAATCCCTCTTAAAAAAACCACAATGCCTTTGACCACACTTTCAGTCAATATCCTTAATTCTAACTCGTCGCTCTCTCTTGGTTGGTTCTCCCCATCACATCTGTGATGCTTGTTGATGGACTGAGGGTTAAGGTCTAACTTCAGAAACGTTCATCCAAGATAAAGAGCACTTATTAATCCCGGCTCCAATCTTTTAATGGAAGGCACGCCTTTTGTTTAAAAAAAATCAAATGAATAAAAAGTTTCCATCCAATTTTAGCACTGCTTCACACACAATCGTTCACAGTAACTTAGTCAGGTGGTTAGCAAAAGCATCACTTGATAGAGAAGCGTACCTTTTCTGTACAATAAGGTTGATGTTCCTGAGGGCCACGTATTGGAGCTCTGGCTCTGCAGACAGCAGCGTTACAAGAGGAGGTGCCAGTTTCTTCAGCAAAGTGCCATAGTAATCCAAGTCTTTTGGTAACATTTCCATGAACTTCATCAGAACTTTCACAGCTGACAGGACAACCGCGGAGTTTGCGTGAGATAAACGTGGTGTCACACGCTCACAGATACTGCAGGACAAGAGACAAGGGAGAGGCTTAATACTGTACATCTACAGTTCACATGTTACGGAGAGCAGTTCTAGAAGATGGGATCCAAAAGCAATTTTTACACCTCAGCACGATTTTACATTTTCTTTTCTTTAAGTGACCTACTTTCTCCTGAATTTCCACAAGACCCTTACATTGTGATACAACTTCCATTGCTGCAATATCCTGGCTGAAAATGTTGTCAAATAATTTTGTTTAAAAGCAGCCAAAAGGCTGGACCACCAGCCTTTTGGCTTTTAGATCATTGTTTTCTCACATCATTTGATGCTAATGATAATAGGGGAAAAAAAGACAGCTGGTTAACCTCCGATGAATGGTGGGATAAAACATTACCTCTGAGCCTCTCGATCGTCCTTTGGGCTGTAATTGGCCAGGCAATCAAGGATAAAGATCTGCCCCCATTCAGTGCATTCGTTCAAGGCCGTTAGAAGCTTGTTGATGGTCTGAGGGTTAAGGTCCAACAAGTTGCTGTTGGGATGGGACTCTGCAATCTCCGACAGAGCTGCCACTGCATTTGCTACCACCTGCAGAACAGAGTCAATATAACTTGAGGGTTTCTTTTGAAAGAATGTCCATTTTCTGTGATGCCTTTATTTGCTGCGGCAGTATAATTTTCATGATTTTGTTCTTGAGAAACAATGTCAAGACAATGCCTTGACCCATCATCTCACCAACCCAGGATTTATTAAACTATTATGAACTGGGATAATGAAATTTTCGAGACATGCCTGTCTCGTCGGCTAAACTATTTGAATCAAAATGCGCCTTTGGTTGTGGCACTTGTAATAACTGCTGGTCATTTCTCCTCCAAAGGGGAGCGAATTGACAGAAACCAAACCAATTTTCCTTTCAGTGCATTTGTTATCTTCAGATGTACCAATGCTCTGACTAACCCCAGGCAACCAAAATTCAGGCATCTTCAAGAAGGCACCACTGAGTCAGAATGCAAAGAGCTGTTGATTTAAATGGTAATAAATAATAGTGTCAGAGAACTAAGCCCATTTCAAGCCCTAGCAGGACATGCATTTGCATCTGCAAGAACCGCTTACCCGAACAATTTCTTGCTTTAAAAAGCTTAATTACTTCAACTGCATTTTCTCTCTCTCTCGCTCTCCCTCCTCTCCTCCCAATTATTTTTCTCAGCAATCTATTATTTGTTTAACATTTTACTCTCTGAGCTCTGACGTCAAGATAATAATAATCCTCATTATTAAATAATAAAATTACTACCATTTAAAATGAAGTCAACTCTCATCAGATATGACCATTATTCACTGTTCCCCTCCGCAGCATGTCACGCCTCATGTACGCATGAATATTTTACAACATGAGTTTCTCACTCGAAGACACTCGTACATTATTACTGAGTCCTTTTCCCAAGACCCACTTACATTCAAACTGCTTCATATGCTCAGATTGTCTCCATAAAATAGCTTTTAAGATCCGCTCCATTTTTACTTGAAGTGTAAGGTTACTTGGGATCTGGATGATTGAAGCATCATCAAGAACGATGGCTTTGATGCCTGAACGACCTCATCAATAGAGAAAAATGCTAAAATAAAATGCTTCAGATTACTGCAAGGTGCCCTTGAGTTATCAAAATTAACTGAACCAATGTCAAATCATATTATGCCCTGTCACCGATAGTCCCAGATGAAGTGACAGCACAGGAATATAAACGGAATAGTTTTGGTAGTGTTGCTCTGAGGGCTAACACAAATACGAGGAGATTCATCTTACTGCCATTAGATAAAATGTTATTAGCTTTGAATGTTGCTTTGCATTAAGGAAAAGGTTAACATGAGGGTAATAACTACTGATCAAACAAAATTGGTAGAGTCAAGTTTAGGGACTTTATTTTCAATCAAAAGCAAATAAAGTCAGACTCTCATAACGCCACCTTATATACAGTGGGTATATATTAACAGTGTTTTGTGGTAAGCAGTGCAGAGAGAGAGAGCTTTACAATGCATGTAGCCAATGTCATATCTAACCTGAAATCACTAGTTAGCCACACAGGATTTGAAAAAAAATTCAATTTCTCTAGAATATAACATTATTTATCTCACAGCTCACAAAAACACTTTGATATGTCATCTGGATAAACTCATCCCTGCCCTTAGGTATTGAGATTAACTCATGCCAGTTGCATTCACATTAGCAATTATTACACAGTTCAGCTTTTGCAACAGCTTGAAGATGCATACATCACGTAAACACTTTAAATACTTTGACGATGTCACGAAAGTGGGCAAACTTAATGTGACAGGACAGCACAAGTTCAGAGCTTGTGGTCTGAGCCACACCTATATAATTGGGCAACTTTTAGAAACCTTTTACAAATAATCCGTGCAATTAAACCGAATTGGATCCAGATTTCATTTGAAATTTGGAATTGTTCCGGGATGGAATTAAGAATCAAACAAAGTTGTGGGAGGTGAGGGCATCAATTTTTAAATCCTAAATTACTATTTACATTCACTTCTCCAGATGTAGTAATGGAGGTCAACAGAAAGGAACAATTTTACAGACTTTTTGCACCACATGAATTAATCTTCTGCCATGCAACAACAACTCGCACATATATAGCGCCCTCCACACCGGGCGTCGTCTCAGAGCACTGATCAATGGTGGAGCCCAAGGCCAAGCCAGGGGAAGGTGACTGTAGGCGCGGTCAAAAAGGAAGGTCTTCAGGCGTGAACTGAATGATGGGGAAAGGAGGAGGTGAGGCGAAGGGGTTGAGGAAGGGAGTTCCAAAGTTTCGGGCGTAGTGGCTGAAGGCACGGCCACTGATGGTGGAACGGAGGATTCGGGGGATGCAGAGGAGGCCAGACACCGTAAAGCAGAGGCAGCGGGTACTGTTGTGGGGAGAGAAGAGGTGAGAGAGATAGTGGAGGGTGCCAAGGAAAGGAGGAATTTGAACACTAGAGTGAGGATCTTGAAGTCGATCCACTCTGTGACAGGGAGCCAGTGTAGTTTGGCAAGCACTGCAAGGACTGAACCAAAAATATTTGTTTTTTTTGGCGCTATTCGTCGGATTTGAACTTCTATCTTTACAATTGAATGATTTCCTTTTACAAGCAAGTGAACAGTAAACAAAACTGCAGCAACCCAATAGCTGGTTAAAGAATAATTTGAATGCTTCAGCGAAAGCATCCATTGGTGTACTGCTGTAAATAATATCCACAACAGTCACTATATCTACCTGACTGCGGAATCAAACTCTCTGTAACAACTGCTTGTTACAGAAGTAATATTTAGAATTTAAAAAAAATTGGCTGTTCCACTCAGGGAATAAGCTTTGAAAATAACTCAAATGTCTCCACACACTGATAGCTTGGAAAAAGCATGAATACTGAAAATATAATAATAATCCTTGCATTTGATATAGCGCTTTTCATGTCTTCTAGACGTCTCAAAGTGTTTCACAGAATATACTGTAAAGTGAATTGACTGTATATTTGTGGGCGAATGTGGCAGCCAATTGCGCACAGCAATGTCCCACAAACAGTCGTGGATTGAAAATGACCAATTTATTATTGTTTTTGGAGGGATTATTATTAGGCTCTGTGTGGAGTAAGGAAACTTGCCCAAGGTTTCGCCCTCTGCCTGGAATTGAACTCAGGTCTCTCGCTTGCAAAGCGAGTGCTCTAACCACTGAGCTACAGGACTCCATAATCTAAATAATCCATTCAACTGGAACGCTCCTCATTTCAAGATTGTATAAAGATACACCCGATGGTGCACCCAACCCTCCCATTCACAAAACCCTGCCCATAATCCATCCTCCTGCTGCTCTCCCGCTCAGATTGCTGAATGTACTAGGCCTGAACAACAGTTTGAATACAGACTTAGAGACATCTGTTGCACCATCTAGTGGCAGTTTTCCAACAGTGATGTTTCCCTCCCATCCCTTCACCCCTCCATCTATACTAATAAAGACAAAACGTCTGTCTGTGTGTGTGTCTGTCCGCCAATAATGCAATAACCGATTGACGTAAAGGCATGATTTATACCTCTTTGGAAAGATCTTGCACAGGGGTGTAACATGGCCATATTTTTTTGCGAGGGGATCTTCTACCATTGGTGAGCTATGACCCAAATAAGCTCACCGTGAATGATCCTCGCGGAGATACCACAGCTCCGTCCTTTCCGCCATGTTGGGAATCCGCGGCTGCGCAGATGGATCTCTCCCCTACCCCCGTGTATTTTGTGCTGTATCACTGAAATCTAGATTCCATATTGGATCCTTTGGTTGCAATGGGTACCGCTCATTTTAATATAAAGCTGGGTTTATAATAATAATCCTTACATTTGTCTTGTCACGTCTTCGAGATGCCTCAAAGCACTGCACAAAATATACTGTAAAGTGAATTGACTGTATATTTTGTGGGCGGAATGCAGCAGCCAATTACACATACCATAGGATTGGAATCAGAGATAAGATCCTTTAGGGTGTCCAGAAATCCCTGATCTTCCACCAGCTGTGCGTTGATGTCATGCAGTTTGGCAACACAGACCGCAGCAGTCTTTCGGACATAAGGGTCTTCGTCCTTCAGGCATTTACGCAGAGGTTCACACAGGTACTCTGTGATCTTATCCACCCGGATACAGCCCATGGTCCTCACCGCCAGCGCTCGAATGAGTGGATTGGGATCTTCGCAGTCCTGAAATAAGTTTTTTTTCAAGGAAAAATATAATTTTAACATCAGGACCCATATTTCTGTTCACTTCTGCAGCCTGTCTCGAATATTAGAAAACATACACAAACATATATTTCTAAAAAATACAGTATATATACATAAAATATAATATAGAAGTACATAAAGAACTGATTTAGTTTATAAACCATTCATGCTTGTTCAGTAAATTGATTAAATTGGTCACTCAATCCACGACTGTTTGTGGGACACTGCTGTGTGCAATTGGTTGCCGCGTTTTGCCCACAAATATACAGTCAATTCACTTTACAGTATATGCTGTGAAGCGCTTTGAGACATCTAGAAGACGTGAAAAGCGTTATATCAAATGCAAAGATTATTATATTATTGTTATATATAACCCAATCTTGACTTAACCTGTCATCTCCACTTAAGTCATCGTGTTGTCAATATCCCAGTCGCATTTATTTATGTCTTTATATATATGCCTAACTCACCACTCCTGATACCTCATCACTGAGCCCTTTTCCCTTGGAGTGACGAGTTATCAGGAGTTTACTGCAGTTCCATCCTATCAGTCGAGGTTGTTGTAAAAAAAAATTGTATTAAGAAATATTCTGAATGGTCAAAACTTTAATTGTTCCGCAACACATTATAAATACCTTGACAAAAGTGTTGACAGCCATAATAGCCATATCAGGCTGACTCTTTGCATAGTTCATTAAATATAGGTACACCAGCTTCTTCAGTTCCAGGTTGTCTGTCTGCATGCAGTTCACCACGTCAGGAAAGAGGGCACTACAGGCAAACCACAAAGTAAACACAAGACCACAATAAGTTCAGTCATATACAATCCATTCAATAGCTGGAGCTCAATTTGTTTTGGACACGGCCTGGAATAAAAGTATTGCAAGGTACAGAAATGTTTGCTGTGTGTGTGTATGTGCGTGTGTGTGTGTTGTGAGAGAAGAAATTCGGCTAAACTGCCATTCAAGTTCATTATTTTTCTTGGGGTTAAAGAGGATTATTCTCACTGTAAACATACTGCGGTGTACATCTGAAACACGTGCAACACTACACAACCTGGGTCTGGTGTACACTGAAGGTTGGGGCAACATCATGACTCGAGACCCACCCCCACACCTGCCCCCCCCACACTCCTGCCCCCCCCCACAACCTCCTGCTCCCCCCCCCACACCTCCTGCCCCCCCCACACTGACCCCCACACCTCCCCTCCCCACACTCCCCCCACACTAACCCCCCACACTACCCCACACCTCCTGCCCCCCCC